TTTGGAATTTAATATTTAAAAAAAAGTGCTGATATTCGATAAACCACCACTAGCGTAAAAACGATTCAGAGCGAAATTCAGTGAGACATATTTTGGAATGCCGCATGCCGTAACTCATGATTTCCGTCAAACTTTTGTTTTTCAACATATAATACAACGTATACAATATATAATATAGCATAGTATATGGTATATAATATAACAAAAACTAAAACATGACATTTCAAAACAGTTTGTCTTCACAAACTTCGCTCTGAATCGTTTTTTCGTTACCAACGGTTTATCTTTGGATACAGATTTAAATTAAATAACTTTATATATCCTACATTTTCAAATTCCTAACTACACAACAGTGGCTGCACCAGTTCCCAGTATCAGCTATTTTTTTAAATATTAAATTCTAAATGTATACCGTCCAGATTATTACGGATTTCAAAATTGTATATTCCAAATCTGTGCCGTCCAAGATTTTGCATCCCGAGATTTTACGCGCTCCTGACGGAACGGACTCGATTAGGAGACGGTTTTCGTATCGACCGCCGCCGACCGCATTATTTCGTGTTACAATAATAATATTACCGTACGCGAGAACGTCGGATTCGTCTGTGTTTTTTCCCCCTACGTTTCAAAAGGGGGTATACCTGCAGCCGCTATTTAACGTATTATTATTATCATTATTATTATTATAATCCGCGCGCAATGACTGGAGATCGTAATCGCGTACGATCGGTCTTCGGCGTAGCGTTTCCAGAGAGGCCGCTTCTCTCCCAGCGGGATTAGTGTCGTCGTCGTCGGGTTATTTATTTTATTAACTACCGGACGGGCGAGCGCGCCGGGGACGACGTGCCGGCGCGGGGCCGACAAAGAGACGCGCCGCCGCGACTATACGCACGCGTATTTATGTGTGCGTACTGCGTACACGCGGGACGAGCGATAATCTTAAAATATTCTTCGGGACATCCACTCGATTTACCTTTTGTGCCGGGGCGGCGGGCTCGCATGACGGTTTCCCTCCCCTCCCCGCGTCTATCGCGCGTATCGGATTTTTTCGTCATGCCTAATAACATTATATTTCACCCGTTTCGGATGACCGCCGCCGCCGCCGCCGCCGCCGCCGTTCACCTGTCCCTTAAACCGCCGGGACACGCGGTAAACGAGCGTGAATATGCGTGTGTGCGTGCGCACTGTGCCGGTGCGCTTTGTATACACACATATAAATATTTTAAATTCGCCTACATATTATTTGCCCGTAAAAACCGACACTCGCGGCGGAAAAAACCCCTTGTCGTTTTGCAATTCCACATCGAACGGATCGCAGTACATCATTATTTCGGCCGGAACACGATAATCCCATCGTCAGACGGAACAACTTTGAGAGCACGCGTCTTATCCAGACGACAAACGTACGGGCGCCTTTCCACACCCCCCCCCGATTTAAGCCTTTTTAAGCTTCCGTGCGACACCGAAACAGCTGCGGTACTTATAGCTCTACACATACACCCACTCTCGTATATTATATTCTACGCCCGTTCTCTTCGACGGCACATTATGCAGTTGCGTTTTTTATTATTGATAAATCGTCCGCGCTCCGCTGATCCCACACCGTGCAACTATACAGTAGCTACTATACACCTGTGATTTTTCGTTTTATTCGATTATTTACACGAAAAAAGGTTTTGATTCGAGGTTCCTGTGATAAAACGGAACTTATTCGTGTATTATTAGACGTGTGTATATTAAAAAGGACTCTGTCATTCATCGCGGTAGACAGCTACTGGCATATATACGCACGCATAATATCATGCTCTCACTGAGGCCCACGTGATAATATACAATCGTTGGTAATAATTAGGGTTAGCGAACATTTGCATGTTATTTTCGAAGGACTAAAAAAATAGCAAAGTGAAATATGAATACTGTTCATCGTGTAAGGAATCTAAATCCTAAATTTTATTTTGCATATATTTGCATAATTTACAATTTTTAATTTTTAAAGCATATTTTAGCAGTATGTAACTTTCAAGTGCTATAAAAATACATTCCCTTACATCTTATCTTATAGTATGCCGCGTATTGTACGCGCTTTTTTCGATTCGTTAAATAACTCTAAATTGTTCATTTCAAAACACAAAGTTTTTACGTAAATACTATTAATAATAATAATAATAAATTAGTTATATTTCAAGTTTTTAGTATACAAATTCTATAAAAAATATTGTGTACAGCATATTTTAGTGTATATTTGGTTGTTTTTTAAAGGACATTTGTATGCATATTTGCATAATTTTTATAAAGCTAAAAGTCCCTAAGCTTAAATATAATATTGTTAACTATTTCATCGCGCGCGTTTTGACATCGCGTATTAATATCACGAAAGAACCACATCCTTGCAAAGACACGCGAATATAAGAGAAATCCGCAGATTTAACTAAAAATGTGATGCTGTATATTATTATAATACAAAACGCGTCTGTGCCGGGAGAAAAACAATTAATATCATATTCACAAAACATCCAAAGCTCTTAAACCCCGCAACATAATTACAGGCTGCCGCACGAGTAGAATAAATTATCTTTAAATCTAAAACATTTTCATCTGTAACGAATAATAATAATGATACATCACTGCCTCACTGTCGTTAGTCGTCTTGGCTTATTTTGATTTCAATGCTAATACGGTTTCTATTTAATTTCAAACAATACGAACATTGCGTTCAGATATTCAGCATCACTACAGCACCTCTCTAATCATTACGCCTACGGGGCCCCTTATTATACAGAAATGCGCTCGACTATAAAATGTGACAGGCAAAGTGATTATTTTTAGGGATTTATTTACACTTTCATAAATAAACAAAATTCAAAGTGAAAAATGTAATAAGTTTAAAAGGACAAAACCTTTTAACGAAACACGTTTGAAACTAAAAATTGTTATTCAGGAGCTATATATAATCGAATTCTTTCTCTCTCCTCTCTCTCTCTCTCTCTCTCTTTCCCTCTTTCTCTCTCTCTCCCTCCCTCTTTCTTTCAGCAAACTGCATTAAAAATGACTTGCTTAAATAAAACATAAGTTATTTATACTTAAAATTTTATCGTGAATTGAAGTGAAATTTATTTAATTCACTTAAAGTTGAACAAAAACATAGGTGTGCATTCTATATCCAATCGGATATTGGATATACATTTTATGTATACAGTATACGTACAAATATAATAAAAACATCTTAAACTTTCACAGTGTTATAGGTAAAATGAATAATATTGGAATTTATCTAACCTAACCATAAAAAAACCCCCGATTATTTTGTCAATTTAAAAATATTTTGAAAAATTCTGTAATTTGTTGTACCTATTTATTTTCATATAATATTATGTAACTAATGGAATAATTGTCGTCTCAACGTATTTCATCCGTGTCATAAAATGTCTAAATAATTTTTAATTTTACAACTTTTCGCTTGATCGTGGTGGTTACTAATCGATTTAGATCATCAAATTTAAAATGATTATCCGTTTATTTTTTGTGAAAACAAAACACGCATTAAGAAAAGAAAAACAACCAAATTAAAACATTCAAAAGTGAGTTTATATAATTACAACTTAATTTACCTGCTAAGGATAGCTATTTCTTATGATAAACTAAAAAAATCACATTTGCTCTAATATGTTATACTATAGTATTACAAAGTTTAAATGTTGAATAAGCATTAGTATTCTTTTTTATTAGTACAAATGTTCAAACACACTCAAATTATATGAAGCTACGTCAGCTAAACAAATTTGCATTCATATTTCGTAGGATGAATACAAACATTTATATTTTGCTTTTTTATACTTAAAAAATCGTATATTAAAATGTGTATATTTACGTATTTACTACTTGATATATTTGATAAATTATGCGTCATATTTTCAAAGGATTTGTTTCTTTTTTTTTTGTTTTTACTGTCAAAACTCGCATAGCTCTTAGAATGGCCCGATTTAAATACATTTTTTTTTTTTAAAAGAGGAAAACTTCTTATGAGACATATATTGGTCTTCGTATATGGAAATTATAATTCCAAACGCTATAATTAGTAAGTTTAAATCTGACCTATTTTTTAAAAAAAAATAGTTTTGTGATTTTTCGTTACATAAACAAAAATCGAAATCCATTAGCCCTATAGAAAACATAATGGAAACATTTTTCCAACAGAAAAAAAAAATTATTGATCAGATTACTAACTACAGATACTACTAACTACTAGGTGCTATTTACTACAGGTTGATCAAAATCAAATTACTCTATAAAATAAATGCGGTTGTTCCCTGTAAAGTATGTTTCAAGCGAACAAAACCCTATCGTACGTAAGCCAAAAAGTATAAAAACTAGTTGACTATATGTTTAAATTAATTTTTAATACTCATTAATTGTGATTACTGATGATTTTTAATTATTTTTGTTAGTTAATTATAAATTTCATTATTAATTAATGATAGTTATCATGGGTCTCAAATGTTTTTTTTAAAATATTGTTTAAACATTTAAAAATGTCCATCTCTTGACGCAGGGAATATTGAAAAATGTTTGCTCCGAAATTAACTAAGTTTCGAACGTTTTACTTCTCTGTGCCGTCTCTTTGGGAGGTTAATATTTTATTATCTATCCTAACACTGAATAAAAAACGTCTTCCATCAGACCATTTTTTTTTTTTTTTTTTTAATAACTTTGCGTATAATTCGCGGACGAATTATTGTTTGTCACCTATTAGTGCCCGTGTATTTATACCGTATAATATTATCACCCGTATATACCCGGTACCAATAGTACTATCGCGTATATAACATTATACACAGGGATACGTACCTACGAAACAGCCCCGCCGCCGCCACCCATACGATATTGTATAAAGTGGCGGGGTGTGCTAGGTGGGTGGGCGGAGGGGAGGTGTTACACAGATTCCGTGCACCCATACGGCCGCGCGCGCCGGTGCCTCTACACCAGTTCGAACCAGACGTCCGCGTGCTCCAGTGGTCCGCCGGCGTTCACGGTCATACGTCATTTACACGCGACCGCTACCGCACGTAACGTTACTTGCACTATTTTGCACGTTTGTTTGTTTTTTCCATTTTTTCGTTTTTTTTTTTTTTTTTTGTTTCTCACACAGACGTTATTATTATTGTTATTTTCACACTCGATTTCCGACGCGTACAACTCGCTCGTATAGGTACCGCGGTCGTGTCGCCCGAGGATAGCTTAGAATTCAATATATTGTAATACACGTGTATACCTAATAAATATCGCATATCGTTTTACCCGGTTTTTCTGCCATTTTCTTTCGGTTTTTCGCGACAGTCGACCGTCCATAACGACATCGTCGATTTCACTACATCACCGTCGCGCGTAATAATATTATTATCCCCTGTGTACGCGCACGAGCACGTAACAGTTTTTTTTCCATTTCCCGAAGGCTTAAATGAGCCGCACACATGGATATCATACGCGTAAGTTATTTTAAATTAAAACTGTAACAATAATAATAGGTACCTAAACTATTACTGACGGATTGTCCGATAATATTATTTGGGTAAAATACTCGACGGCTGTGACGCTCGATTTAGTGTCGAGACGTTTACTACTTGTTGTTCTAAAACAAAAAAACAAAAAACAAAAATTGTTTAATTTCCCTTAAATTCTACATTTGATTTTGCTCGAAATTGGACATTTTATTTGAAATTAGCTTCGGGTAAAAAAAATGTTAAGAATTATTCCCAACTTTAAAAACGTCTCCCGATACAATAGTATATTATTATAATGTAACAATGTTGTAAATGTATACAATATCAATATCGGTGGATAACGTAGGCGGTGTCAATATAATAAGAAACGGTTTTGATTGTGACAATATTTATCATCATATTCTAAAATGTGTATAAATTAACCGAACGGTTTGTGAGCGAAAAAAAAAATGCCGACAAAGACGTAAAATAAGCATATATTTTTATTTATTTTTTTTTTTTTTTTTTGTGGCTTCTAAAATTTAGCAATAATTATTTCCCTATATATACCAACAACCATGCGGATACTTTTTTTTTTTTTTATACTACTTTCGTATTTCATTAAGTAAGTTTATACTGCAGGTATATTTATTTAGCCACGCACCTAAAGATTGAGATGCGAATTTAGTGTACCGAAATATATAAAAAGTTGTTCTACAAAATAATATTATATAGGCAAAATTTAAGATTTATTACAGTTTTAAGCTAAAGTCGTATGTACGAAAACGTTGTTTACTATATACCTATTTCGCATAAATATAGACGATTCTTTTTTTTCGAATAACTTTAACGAATTGACTATGGAATAAAAACTCACTTGGTCCGAAAATCGCGTTTTTCAAAAAACCGGAAAAAAATTAAGAGAGAGGTTTCCCATACAATAAAGAACCCGATAGGGATTTTTCTCGTGCAATTTAAGCTAATTATTTCAAAAGTTAAAATTTTAGCCGTTGCAATATTCTAATTTTTTTTTTTTTTTTGTGGTTGGAAATTGGAAGATGCGAGTTAATACTGGCTTAATATTGAAAATGAGTTTTTGATATAGTTTCATTTAACACGCTAATATATAACATTACGACTTATTGTACCTGTAGTTAATATGCTTGAAACACATTCAAAACCGTTTCATACTCTATAGAAATATCGTTACATACTTGTGTACAAGCACTAGAAGCAACACGGACGTTTTCGATTTAAAAACGCGCAAATACTAACAAACAAATACGATAATATTAAGTACTCGAGGTGATCAGTCGTTTCCGAGCGTTTCGTCACAGGGCATCAGTATAGTAAACGGCATTAGAAGAAGGCTTATTTAAATCGCTTGAACCACATATTCTATTAATAATGTTAAACATCGTCAAGCCCGGATTAAGACATTTAGAGGCTCCGGATCCGAAAATTTCAACGGGACTTTCGTTGAAAAACTAATAACATAAAATGTTTAAAAATGTATACAAATCAATGTGTTTTAATAAAAGAAAAATAATAAATATAATATAATAGACATTACATCATATAGATCTCAATTCAAAAGCCACGAGTATTATTAATTAAATAAACGAATATATTATTTTTTGCAAAGTCACTAGTATAGTTTCTGTTATAATATAATAATACGAATCATCACCAAACAACAAAAAACTATTTAAATATCAAAATACCAAGTCAGTGGTTAAATACGTACATAATAAAGAAAATGCTGTGTCAAAAACTGAGTCCCCGAGAGTCGGTTGCCCGAGGTTCATGACCCTCCCTGGACCACCTCCTTAATCCGGGTTTGATATCGTTATCGAATTTTTAGACGGTCTGTAAAAATAATATAATTGTTTTTACTCATACATATCCGCGCGCGCATAAACATCGTATTATAATATTATTATGATTACGGATTGTTTTTCGTTCGGTTTCGAAATCTCTATGAATACAATACTACAGACGATAATAACAATAATAGGCTACGTCATACTCGAGATGTGAATTGTCGCCGATACGCGTATATGTCGTCATGAGTAAGTGCGGAGGCGTACATTATAATATTGTACAGGGTACATTTTTTTTTGCCCATCACAATTATCTACGTAGGTTTCGAGCGAATTTCGTTTGAGTTTATTTTTCCGTGGTTAAATAATAATACGATATAGACACATAGTATAATGGATGTATCCGAAATGGTTCCTGAGCTCATAACCCACATGACCAATTGGTTCCCATTCGAAAAAGGTACTTGATGAAGGTGTGCCGAATTGGTTCCCGTTCAATACCTACATTTATACAATAAACACAATAAATGTACCAAGGTATAATGTAGTACATTTTTAAACTTTTATCATACTACGACGGGTATTTTACAGTTATCAAGTCAATAAAATAATGTTATATCGGTGTATTGTCTGAAAATACCTATTGGTTGAGATAACATCAATCCATCTGGATATACGTTTATATACTGAATACAAAATACAGAAATGTTTCTAGTATAAAATCTAATAATTTTAAGTGGACTAAGCCGCCTGTAAGAATGGGAAGGGAAATATGCGTATTTGACTATTTCACTGTGAACAGTAGGAACCAATTCGTTTAAAAAAAGCATATATAAGTATTTTGTTCGAATTTCAAATCTCTGAGAATATTTGTAACTGAATTACAACAAAACACAACATTGAAAATAATAAAAGCATTATTTTCGTAAATTGCCCCGCTCTTTCTACGTTTTTATTCGGTTTTAATCAATTATTAAAAAAAAACTTTAGGGACCAAGTAGAATAAAAGTTTAACAAAAAAACGGTCTTTTGTAGTTTTTCTATTCGAGCAATATTTCTGGTAGAAAACAAAAGCCGTAAAAATTTGAAATAAAAGACGGCAAATGGCAGGGTTTATTTGGGTTTTATATTTACCAAGATCCGGGCTACTTTATAACATTACATATACTAATAGTCACCCTATATCCCAGGGGCATCTCCAAATCTTGACTATGGGGGAAAGGGTGAAATAATTAAATTTAATATTAATGATTGATAAGAAAAAAATTATATCAAATAATATATTAATTGTATCTACTTCTGTACCAATAACTATGCCAAATGCCAATATTGATCGCCCCCCGCCCCATAAGGGCAGTCCTGCTACATCATATACACCTTTCCCCGACGTCTTGCCTACAACAGTTTACCGCGTTGCAAAGTGCGTCGGGTTTTTAGTTTTGTTTAGTTTTTTGTTTTTTTTTTAATAACGTAAGCTTCCCGGAGGAACGAAAGAAAATAATACGGCGCGTATCAAAACGTCGTTAGCTAACGGCACGGCGGCAGCGAGTTGTCGTCTCCGGGCGCCGCCGCCTCCGGTTCCGGCCGGCAGGCGGAAGTGAGTGGCGTATACGCCGTGGTACACTCGTTCTGTTCGTCATCGTCGCGTCGCGTATTGTTTTTGTTTTTTTTTATTCAAGTTTTTTTTTGTTCTTTACTTTTGCCTCTTCGAGCGTTATAATAATAATAATAATAATAATATTGTGTTTGCACTAGTTTTCATATAAGAGGGGGGAGGGAGTTTTCGAGCGCCAAAGGGGTAAATATAATATTATAGATGCTGACGGGCGATGACGATAACGCACTAGAAGACGTCAACGTACACACTTACACAACATATACACTCTTATAAACGAGTAGAAAATATTATTATGTTTTATAATATAATACGGTGAGATATTTACATATTACATAAGGGGACAAAATGGGACGTTTGCTCCAGCCTCTCTAGCGAGGGGGAGGGAGCACGGAATAAGAAAAACATTCAAACAAAGTAATATCGTCCGCATAACATTTGTTTGCTTATTATTATAAAAAAAAGGAGAAGAGCAAAAAAAAATTACCCGTGTCAAATATTCCTATTTTAAATTCACAAAATTATATTCCTTTAAAAACATTGACGCTCACATGAATGCCCAGTTTTCGTACCTAAATTACAAATGTCTGTAAAAATGATATTATTTTAATATTATTCTTCGAATAAGTTCTACCGACTATTGGTACTTGGTGTATAGGTATTATTTTTTTTTCCTCAACCAGCAATACGCCCACGTCCCCAGAACTATCCAGAGATATTGCTCCGGGAAAGGTGACTCCTAAGACAATATAATTTTCAGTAAATACTATTGTAACTTGATTATGGCAACAAAATTCATCCAAACCACCGGATTTGTTATGTGATCGATATTCAAAAGGATCTTTTTAAATTCCGTTTATGTCCGCAATCAACATTTCAACCAGAAATTATATAGAAACTCTGTAAGTAAATATTATTATTTTGTTAGTGCATTTGGTAGAGTGTTCGGCAGAATTACATTATTAGCTCACTATCTATCCAACTTAGGGCTCTATGCTCTAATAATATCGGTTAGTACTCTCTTTACACGTAGCTAATATAGTTGTGATAGTAATGAGTATTAGTCAACAATAATACGTTTTGAGTTGATTTTGACCGATTACTTCGGAGTTAAGTTGGAAAATGTGAAATTGAGGGCCCACATCTCGAGTCAAAGGACCAATTGTTATCACTGATTATTTGTTAGTGTGTTTATGTCCGAATGTATTCGTGAAAACAGTACGGAGGCCAAGAGTGGTAAATCTATAGCCGTCTAAGACGTTGCCCGGGATACACTGCGGGGAAGCGATTTGCCGTTGCGCCCCTAAAATACGCTAATAGCTTTTTGAAGAGTGAAAACGGCTGTGGGACAAGGCGTCGAGTATATAGTGAATATTACGCGAGTTACAGGTTAGGTTTGTAGGTAAATTACTTTTGTCCGTCATTATACCGTACTCCATATACCAAATACTTAACGTCTCTACCGACGTAAATCGGGCTTTTTACCCTGAATTCTCGTGCGCGGCCCGTGCGTGACTGTATATGCGATACGGCTAACGTGAAGACACGAGATAATGTTCGAGTTAAAAATCGTCGTGTCTCGCCAGGAAATCAGAATATCGACAAAAAAAAAAAACCCGACCTTACAAACACCGCGGACAATGTTCTTGCCTTCGACTCTGATACCAGGCCGCGATTCGCGCCGATATTGAAACCGTAACAGCACGGAATCCACCGAACGAAAATTCGAGATTATCCAATTTTCATCATTAACCGTAACATATACATATTATACTCGTATTATTGTAATAATATGTAATGTGTATTATAGAGATCTTTACGGTGAACGCCGCCCGCCGACGGGCCTCGCGTCACGGTACAAATTATGTCCGGGGCCGAGGAGATACGCGTCCGCCGTATACGCACATACGCAGCATACGTATGCGTACATAATATACTTATGTATGTATGTATGTGTATATAAATGTATATATATATATATATACACATACATACGTAAATAAGTATATGTATATATATATATTATTCAACCAGCCCCGCAAACGCACCACACATACTCGCGCGCGCGTTCTGTCGTCAACCGGTTTTCGGGCCAGAGGCAACGCGCTCGGGATCAAAAGCACCGCCACCGCCGCCACTGACACACACACACACGCGAGCGCGCGCGCGCGCGCATAAGATAACAGATACATCCGACGCTACACACAATCGCCGCCGCCGCTCTTCTTCTATTTTACTACGTATTATTATTATTATTATTATTATTATAAATTTATATTTATCCGCGGTGTATTATAGAAAGTTGAAAAAAAAAAAATCATCATTAGTAACCGCAGTCGCCCGGAAGAAATTTGAAAAAAAAAAAAAATAATAACAACCGCCGCCGCCGCCGATCATTGTCGTTTCTAAAAAAAAATATTTATTCATTGTTATTGTTATTTTTTCCCGTATATAATAATATTATTGTATTGCTCTGCATACTTACCCGTTTAACTATTTTTATTATGCGTACGCGCGCGCGTCTTCTGTGTGCCAGCGTAAAAAAAATTCGAAACCCGGAACGCGCGAGTCTGGAGACGTACGTAATCTGTAGTCCGGATTTTTACGGACATCTGAACCGTACTTAAACCGATAACATTCTGGAAATTAAATTGTTTGAATTTAAACGAAATTATCGAAACATCGATAGTTTTGTGTGGTTTACCTATTTTTTGAAATCTAGACGCGTTCCGTGGCCGGTATACTTTTATCACTCGGTTTTATAATAGCAATAATAACCAACTTCTTTTATTCATTCAGATAAAAAGTCACTATAATATTATAATTTATCTTTAACTGAATAATTAAATCACTAAAAATGTATTTTTTATTAATTCATAATTAATCTAATAGTAATGATCTCTTATTTGTATCTAGGCAATTTAAATTCTATTTTTTTATATAGAGAATAGAGATGTTCCGGGTACCGAGCCATCGAGTTCTAACCGGGTACCCAATATCATATTCTGTACCCGACAACTACTCATTACCCGGCGTCGTAATTAAATGTTTAACTCGACTTTACCCGGTACCTATCCGACGTAATAATATATTTTTTTACCGGTACCCTGTGTGAAGCTCACTTTCCACGTGTCAATGAGAACAAATTTATGCCCACTATCGACCAATCAAAAAGAGATTTTATATTGCCGTTTTAAAAATTAATTACATTAATAAATTAACGCGTAAATGGTTTGCTATTCAATATTTATATTTAATTTTGTATTGAGCGACTACTAAGGAGCTACTAGATTGTGGCTAGGAAACTTAACTCTTAGTAGATATTCAATTATTTTCATTATTCTTATATATATTATCTAATCTTAATACTTTAACCGGTGGGCGGTACCCGAGACCCGATTTCGATAAATATTATTACTCGGCTAATACTCGATACTTTGTTTCTATGTAAATTGTTACTCTATTATACTCGAAACCCAATTTTAACAGATATTGGTACTCGGCCAATATACACGGTACCCGGTTTGTTTGTATATAATACATCCGGAGCACCTCTAATTTCGTACTTTATCTGGATCTCGTTATACAACCTTCTTCTTTAGCCTAAAATAATAAACTCAAGTAAAGTCAATTATAAAAATGCAACGAAAAAAAAACGCCCAATTTACGTGTATTAATGAAAATTCGTTATTTTCATATTGTCTTTTTTCACTCCATTAGCCGCATTATTCACCCCATTTATAATATTCAATTTACCTCATTTCAAATGTGAGACTCGATTCGATATTTACGCCGCCCATTAATACGTATATACTTATTACGATATCTGTAATACGGTGTATACAATTTGAATAATTGCGGTAATTGTATCGTCTGCACGAAGTATAATTATTTTCATAAATTAAAAAAAAGAAAACACGACATTCATACCTAGGCACGATTTCAATAACTACAACATTCGAATTCGTAACCGATCCTATTTCCTCGTGCAAGCTTTGTTCGGTCGGATAATTGAAACGGCATCGTTTTTCGTGTTATTTACAACCCGCACGAGTTTAATAATAATAACAATAATTTGTTTTTTTTTTTATATATATATATTTTTAAAACAATTTTTAAGATTATTTTACCAACCTTTCACACGTGCCATCCCAGTTACTACGTTAATATCGCAGCGATAAAATTATAATATGACAGTTTAGTGGACAGAGTTTAAGTGTTAGTCTCTGATGGGGGCTAACACTGATCCCCCCTAGTGCATCATACCATATTTAAATCACAAAATATCTATTATCTGTAATTCTCAAGTAAGAATTTCGGTAAAATCCCCCCCCCCCTCTTCGCTGGAATTTACCTGAAGACGTCGCCGATAGTACAGGGTTGAATAAGCATTTGCCAACTCTTGAAATATCAGCGTATTAACCACCCTCGCAATCAAAGGGTTTCATCATTAACTATTGTTTTCATTTTCAGTCTCGCGCATAGAATAATACCAACAAAGACATTCGGCTATTTCCGAATTTCATATAGAACCGTATTTATTATGATTCTTACAAATAAACATTTTTAATGTTTTCATTTATTGATTAGTTAATGGTTGAAATTAAGTTAAATTAAAACACGAGTATCTTGATGAAAATGAAAATATTTAAAAAAACCTTTGGTAGTCAATACTTGTCTTTATAAAATGCATAGGAGCAACTTGAAGGTATTCAAATTATAGACATATTACATTGCACAGACCCATGGTTTCTATGCCCACATAATCCACTTTACAAGGCTCTTAGAATAAAAAACTACAGTTCAGGAACCATTAATGGCAGCCCGTAGAGAAGTAGGAAAAAAACGAAAACATAATACGATATTTTAGAATCGTAAGTTCTTATTTTTGAGTAAGATTTGTCATTTATCCCACTAAACCATTTTTTATTTTTTATTATACATTTTTCCAAATATTTGTAACATTAATTGCGTTCTTAATATTTAGAAACAATAGCAAATAATAATTAAATAACAAACAAATTATGTTCTCATTACTTTCAGTTGTATAATAATAACCGTATCTTATTACATGTTGAAAACATGTACTCTGAATTCCTGGCCCTTCCTGGTAGAATGTTGCCCTTCAAAAATATTAATTGGTGACCCCTGAACTACACGTTTAATCCACAGTTGTATACATAAAAAATGTATCTCAACTATTTTAACATTATTTTTCATACACAATTAATGCATTGTCTATAGGTAATCTGTATTTTGTATTACGAAAAAGCTTATTGGTTTGTTACAGGGGTGCTGAATTACCCCTAGCAACTCTCTAGTTGCACCTATGATAAAGTATATAATAGATGTCCATTTGCCTACTAAACTCAACCGGATAATCACAATCACGGGAAATACGCCCCTTATAATCAACTAATCTAACGACTAATTCCATTGTTAGGATGACTACTATCAACCAATATGGTCCTCGGCTTAACAATTATTGAGTGTTGATTTCCAGTAGTATCGGCCTAGAAACTTAAAAATAAAACGCGTGTAAATTGTAATAATGTTCGGAGTAATAATTCGAATTAAACTCACGGTGATGGATAGTACGACCAACGAAAACAAGAACCACATTTTTCACGTCATAATAATAATATCATCGCGTAACACAACATTATAAAAATAACATAACCTATATTATACTCGGCCTTGAAAGTATTCGAATAAATGTATTCAAATAAAAATGTTTTAATAATAGGCACTATCTGTTGTATCCGAATACGTACTTTGACAATTTTTTTTCTTTTGTACTAAATAATACTTTTCTTCTGAAACCAATAATTATTTTAAACTTTCAATCTAAATTTTAAATCGTAGATTTTTACGGCCATGTAATAAATTATGAACGTAGTACGTAATTAGTATGTTAATTCGAAGTTTAAGAATATTTGACCTATTTAACTCGTATTTAATTTGTTATAATAATCAGTAAACAGTTTATTTAATAAAATATTGAGCTGTAAAACGTTAATTTCAAAACCGAAAATGACATAAATAAGCTGTGAAAAAAAAATTTTCGATAAGTATCTAAATACTTTTTGAAATATTCTAATTCGTATTCTGAATACTCTGTTACTCGCTTATTATTCGAACAAATATTCCGTATCTATAAACAAAATAAAATAATTCTTTACAAGATTGTCTGTATATTGTAGACGACGGCGCTCACGTGTGACACGGTTTTATACTTAAAATAATAAATTATTCAAGCGATATCTTTCTTGGCCGGTTGCTCACGGTCTAGACTCGTGTCTTGCAGAGATATTATTGTGAACGATCGCCGTAGACAAAAATGCGTTTTCCAACTATCGGTCTTGGTAGGTATATAATGTACCAAAGCTGGCCACAAACTAGTTATTAATAAAAGGTTATAATCGAGTTGAAAAGCATTACTATTGTTGATCATTAAAGACTGCAACGTGGCCGGGAAGATTTCGATACGGGCATAAACTTTTTCGACCAAAATTGTTCCCTTTTCGGTTAAACCAAAAATATATAGGTGAGAAAGATAGTAATAATCTATAACAGTAATATAAGAAAATAAAAATATCTATTTGCAGAAAAAAACCGTAGGTACCTATTTGTTTTCAAAAGCCTTCGGTATTCGCTAAACATTAAAACTAGTTTTGGTTGGGCACAAAAGCTGATAATTATATAAATATCAAGGGGTTTTCATGACTTTATCGCAGCGTCATAACAATTAATTAAATTGTTTAAAACTATAAGCATGTATATGACATATTAACATACAAATACTGTTAATAAATCTTTTTTATATGTATAAATTAAACTTTTTTTTTAAATATTTTATACTTTTCAATATATATATATATGTCATATATATTGACAGTTTAGTAACTTAGTATTGTTTTGGCTGTGTGAATTGGCTGAAAATTAAATCGGCTGAAAAAGGAAAGATACGATTTTGGTCGAAAAGGGTCTCGCCCCACGATACAGTTACGGCATAAAAAGTAATGTTGTCCAAGGAGGGTTTTCTAGCCGCTCCCTCATATCCGCGGTGTACAGGTATTTTATCGAAATCTATAAACAATATTATAATTAGTACAAAATGTAATAATAATACCGCGACGAACTCTATAATTTATTTTATTATATTACGTATGTGATCCGATACGATAATTTCATTTGCACATTTTGAACGATCGGTTGACACAAATCTAATCCTAGTTATTATTTTTAGGCCCGACAACTCGGACTGGATAGAAAATTCAATGAACACCCAACTTTTAATATGATTTTATCCGGGGAGGGGGTGCTTTTTGTTTACAATACGACTGACTCGATTGTTAAATAGTACCTATAATATAATATATAAGTTGGTCACCCACCAGTTTAGAGCGTAACGTAAACTCGCCTGGTTACACATGGACGGCGTATAATATAATATTATTATTGTATATTATGTATATTATGTATGCGTGTGTAATGTTTATTATTGTATATTCGTACATAATATACGGTGTGCGCAATCGCGCAGTGTACACCGATGCAGGATACACACGGTATATATTTATATAATAATAATAATAGCAGCGGTTCGGCTTATATTATTATTGTAGGTTTTGTGGGGGGAGGCGTGACGTGATGGGGTCCGGGGGGTCCTCTATTAGCCTCAGTCGTCGCGTCTGCGGGGTTAGCGGGGGATCTAAATTTCGTTTGATCTGAGCCGACACCGCCGCCGCCGTTCTGTTCATCCGACTGGCTGCTCCTGCTGCTGCTGCTGCTGTTACCGCTGACCGCTCCTTTCCGTACTACGCTAGTTTATAATATTATATTTGACACACACATTCACGACCGTGTGTGGTGGTTTTCCGAGATAGCGTTTCCATTTCGTGTATAATATAATAATATTTGTTACCATATATACATATACATATATATATATATATATATATATACAGAGTGATTGTTTTGTTATTATACAAGTCGAGAACCTCTGGGCGAAAATCTACGAAGATTTGAAGTTTTTCGCAGACGTACCATCGAATCAGTAGCACATACATAAATGTGTATATTAAATAGAAATCCTACCTCTTCGTGTAAACGCCTCCGCATCAAATACTCATTGTCGAGGATATTTTTAATACGGCTATAAGAGCTGGTATACGTCTGCAAAGAAAATGTAACTAGATAAGAGTCATGCATTATAGTGTACTATATAAAGCCGTAGAGGAAATAATAATATGACGATGCGGAGTATAGATGAAGCAGGAATGTTGGTGATGTCCGATAGGGAGAAGGGAGACTATGAATGGCAAGAATAAGAGTTTAAAGTTGCGGGTTAAAAAGCGAGAAAAGAAAGAACATTATGTAAAATCATTATTACGATATTTTTAATTCATCACCTTTACTTTGTGGATATTATTTATTGATTTTCGAATAACATTTTAAAAGTCCCATGCAATGGGTATGTGCTTAAAAATCTGGCCAGAGGAGTAGGAAACATTCGGGGCTATGCGTATCGAAAAAGGTAAGAAATATGTTCTCTTTTGGAATCTAAGTTTAAAAATGCGAGTTGCCGTTTGAAAATCAAATCCGAATTATGGGAATACACTCTTCAGTCTTCAACATCGATTCAAAATCTCCAAAACAAACGCTCTGTATATCTAATATTATTATTGTTATTATTATCCGGATATGTATGTGTGTGTGTACGAATCAATAGATTAGAATACAATGAAAGACGATTTTCTTTCTTCTATTTTTTTTTTCTTCTTTTTTGTTTTGTTTTTTTTCGTATAACTATAATATGTACAATAATACACGCGTATATATTATATATTATAATAAATATGTATATTATGTGTTATGCCAAAGAAAAAAGACGCCGCGGCGCATTTTTATTTATTTATTTTTTTTAAATCTTTTTTTTTCCTATTCTAATGGATAGGAAAAAAGGAAAATAATATCGTGTCATTCATTAAAAACACGAATTGTAAATAATACGTACACAAATATAATAATGGAATACCGAACGCACGCACCTGGCGTATCCATTGATGTCGAGAATAGCCGCAAAGTCGGATAAGTTAACCAATTTGTTTAACTATAATTTAGTAGTAGTTATCTTAAAACAAAACAAAAAGACCAAGCTAAGTTAAATTTAATTTTAAAATATACAAATTATCAAAAATATAATAACTCGAGTTAAAAATTAATTTTTTTTTTAAATTACACTTAATTAAACTCATAAACGAATTTTAGATTCTGAGCGGAGCGAGAAATGTTTTGGTTTTACAATGATGTTTATTTTTATTATTTTTTTGTGAACAACTATTCTACAAGAAATTTTACAAGAAAAGTATAGCACTTTCTCTGAAATGATATCTAACTATGGTGGTACTTTATAGAAGTTATTTTTTTTATTTGTTTTCTGTGAAGTATTCTTAATAAATGGGAAAAATCCAGTGACTTAGCCAGCGAGTAGGCCTGATAAGCTCGAGACTACCCACTTTTCTCCGAAAATTAATACAATTTTAAAATCAAAAATTTGTATTAGTAATGTTTCTTGTTCAAACGTTAATATTATTTTATCTGGCCTACCCAGAAAATATATTTCTAAAAACCGAGAAAAGTTGTGGGTAAGACGGGAAAATTTACGAAACGTATTATTTCCAAATCGTAAATACGATTCCTGTCAAAACATGTATAATCGATCTTCGCTCAGAATCGTTTTTTGTTAGTTATGATTGATCTTTGCGTACAGATAAACATTACATTCCCCTTCTACTTCCAACTTCTCACCTACAACAGTGGCCCACCCATCGGGCGAAGTATGTCCGTTTGTTTTTTATTCTTTGTTTGTACCGCTCTTAGTAATTTAAATTATTTTAACGAAATAACCATAGTTCAGTTAAAATTATTTATCACAAACAATAATTAAGTTGTGAACTAGGTAAATAGCTATCAAAAAAATAATTTATAACTTAGTTGTAGTTACTGCTACCCAGAGACGTAAGTATAGACTATTTATTGGGGGAGGGGGGTTCGGCGGTTGACTATTGATTCTTTGTAATAGTAGTGAATCGGGTGTCTTAAAAAGAATTTAACTCCTGTAATAATTTCGAAATAGGGGGGTTCTTACCCAAAGCATCGCACCTATCCCCTTGTTACTGCCCAGCCGTTTGGAAATAAAGACGATTAGAGCCGCGGCAGCGGCGATGCAGCAATGTAGGTGCGCGTCGGGCGGATGTTGGCGGCAAAATAATAATCTGACGTATACAATGGACACCGCAGATGATTAATTATTTGAATATTATCGTATAATTTTGTTTTTTTTTTTTTTTATTTATAATAATTATCATCTATATGTTATTATTATTGTTATCGTGAACAATTAACGTACCTTCAAAACAATAATATAATATAATAATATGTAGGTACACGCGGTGTACGGAGTGGCGGCGACGGCCGACGGTGGCTGTAAGGCCAAAAGGGACGCGAGAGGAGACGGGAGAAATCTACATATTAATAATAATTGGAGTAATTATATCGCGGCGCGACGTCGGCAAAATATAAAAGAAAATAATTTTTTTTTTCTTTAAATTTATATATACATAATATTAATTATTATTATTTATCTCGTCCGACCTGCAGCAGACAGCGAATAGTGTAGCATGATATAACATTAATACTCAGGTACCCGATGTGCTGCAGTCTACACAATATATACACTAAACACGCCGCGCACCACGAGTAGGTATTTTTAATAACGACGTGTTATAATAATATAGGAGTATTTTTCGAAAAATTATGTTAATTAGCTGTCTGGCACGGGCACATTATTAAAAAAATAAAAATGGTTTCCTTATTTCCACCCTCATATCTGTCACGGTTAACCGTTATTCCCGGTGTTTTTTTTTTTTAAAGCACTTGAGTAAACTCATACGTTCCAAAAAAAAAAAAAAAAAGGAAAACGAGTTAGTGACACTGTTTTATGGGAATTTTGAAAACGATTATGATTCTGTAATAAGGTAATTTCATAAAACGCACAAGAACGGGTCTAAATTCAATCGTTTCAACCGGCTACTGTTGCGATTTGTGTCAAAAATCACATGGTCCATAATATGAAAACTCACAATAATTTAATACCTAATAATAAATCATGATCTGAATATTTTGGTTTTACCCTTTTATTACTTTTAAATTGTATAGTATTTTATTACACTTTTTATTCTTTTTCAGCCACCCCCTTTAGGGACAATGGAAAATCTGACCATGGCAGTACCTTCCCTCTAAATGTAGAAATGTCACGTCATTGAGGTGGCCATTGAAATATGTCAAAAATTAATTTTAAACCTTACAAAAGTTGGGGAATATCCCGAAAATCAGCTCCGAATCATAAATAATTATAAAAATCTGAAAATAAAAACCGAAATTTAATTTACTCAAAAAATACTCAAAGATCAAGTATTATTATACTATATATGTATAATTGCTGGTCTAAAAAGAATAAAGAATCTCCCTGTATTTCAATATACCTACCATTATATTATTTTCTAAATATTTTAGATTTTATTTCTAAACAATGGAAACCGTGTACGGGTTTCGTTTTATAATAAAAATCTGTTGTAAAAAAAAGTTTCATAACCCGCTTTATTGTTGTAAAATATAATAATATTCATGTTATAAACAACCCAGGAATCGACAATAGTTATTTAAAAAATGTATATGTATATGAATTTCTGTAAACCTACTTAATTGTTATTGTTATCCCGACGTAATATTCTGTATACAAACGAACTCGAGAAAATCAGTTTCTGAACCGCTGTACGTATGATATGTATAAGTGTATAATATACGTAACGTACCTAATAATAATATATGGCTACATTAATATATAGTTGAATATTATGCTGCTACTTAACAGAACGAATTGTTTGTATATTAAGATAAATATTTGTGTACGTGTTGAGATTTAAAAAAATAAAAAATAAAAAATAAAATGTAAACAATGTATTTCACGTGGCCTCAGTTCCTACCGGTCTCATTACTCAAAGAAACAGTCTCTCTCACTCTTTCTTTCTCGGTCTTTCGTTCTGTTTAATGATTGATAACATACTTATTGTTTTGTTTTGTTTTACGATAAAACTGCGGTGGCGGCCGCGTGACAGTATGGCGGCTTTGTTTGAAAACACTCGAAAATAAATCACATTTTAAACGCCGACCGTATAGTATGACGTGCCGTATATAATGTAACAGTGATGTAAGTTTTCGTAAAAGTCGGTTGAAACTTTACTGAAACCATGAATATTGAAAACAAATACGAGTTTTCGATTTAAAATAATTTTTGTACAAATATTTGCATAGGTACCTACAATATATACATGTCATTTCGAAGGCTTTTTATTCGAAAAAGAAGTTAGGAAAGTCAGCTTTACGAGCTCGCGAAATTCTCGGTTTTTAAGTATTTCAAAACTATTAATATTACACTTGCAATTTCAAAAGAATTCGATAACTATAGTACATATTATTTGTAAATAATTGATAGGACATGTTTTAATTTCTTAACATAGGTACTTATATTTATTTGATACTATCTACATATTTTTTGATATTACACTAGCAGTTTTGACAAAATGTCAAGGGGAAAGGGCGATTTTATTAGTAGGGCACAAAAATATTTTTTTTCTTACCAGAGAGCCCATCCAAGTTATTAACTTATAGTTATTATTTTTAATTAATGCAAAGTATAAGCAAATAATTTAAATACGTATGTAATAAAAAATAGAGAAATGTAAAATATAAATTGTCTAAATCGCCATAATTTTTTTAATAGATATTTATATATTAAAATTCCTATACTATTATTTTGTATAGGAATTTTAATCAATAATAATAATAATACATTCCTATCTCCTTGTCGACCAAATAAACAACTGTAACTATGTACTAATAACTAATTTACTTTTAACTATACAAGCGGGGGTAGGGGGTATTTTGGTGTTCAAACACCACCCTTTTACTATATTTATGGCAAAATTATAATTTGTACTATATGCAGTTTTGTATCAGATTTCTACAAGATGTGTTGTGTCACGCATAGATAATTATTAAGTATAATATGTTATATGTGTTACATACGTACAATAAAGTTAAAAAATTACGTCTAAACACAAAATAAAAACAACCCCCTAAAAAAATGCTAATGCTATGCTATACCACTGAACTATATACGAGCGGACACAAGATGTCATAACTTGTGTTTGGAAACCTAAAAATCTTGAAATAAATATAACATATGGTATTGTGGTATACTTGCAGTGAATATTTGTCTAATATTAAGTTAGTCTAAGAACATAGAATAGACAAAGAATATCGTCGTCATAGTAAGAGCGTCTTTATGGGGAGGAGTGTTCAATGACGATGATCGCCCCCACCCCCAAGAGATTTGGATTTACAATAGCATTCGATATAGTCATTGATCTTGAAATAAGTATTATATGATCGTAACGTCCATAATCAACATACTCTTTGAGACAACAATTAAAAACAATATGATTGACGATAGTATATTGACAAATAATAAACGAGAACAAACGGAAAAACAGCGGTTCGATTACGCCATGGCCAATTAAAAATTGTATACTTTAGGAAATTGAAAAAAAAAAAATGTTTGTAATATATAATATTATAATATACTACTAATGGCGATTTATTTTTAACGTTATGACATTTTTTAAACACGAATATGTTTTGAGGGTAGGGGTTCTAAATTCTAAAAAACGAAAAATATCCGAATATTTCGAACGTCAATATCAAATTTTCAATTATTCTCTCCCCCCCCCACATAGCCAAGTTCTAGAAGCACCCCTACACTATACACCTACAGTACGTAGATTTGAACCGCTCGGTTTCGTCATCGCACAAAAACCGTTCTGTGTACTAGGTTTGTACGTATATTTCATTAGTATAAACGATTATAATATTATTATAGGTTACTGGGGGAAAGAACCGGCGGTGGCGACGAGGACTTTGGCGCGACGATGACAGAAAGACGTGTGAGCGTCGTGCCGTGTGTGTGTCACGCGCGCCAGCGTGCGTGTGTCTACGGATAAAAAATAGTAATATAATAATATTACCTTTTTTTTTCTTCTTTTGATTGATGACCGTCGTCGTCGTCACGTCGGCGGAGCTGATAGAAATCTCCGCAAGAAACGGAAAGTGTGTAAATATGTGTGTGTGTGTGTGTGTGTGTGTGTGTGTGTATGTGTGATGTGTACCGGCGCTCTTACCGCGGCCGATACAAACGAACCGGCTGCGCGCGGAGGACTTTTTGTCTCGGGTTTCTTTTTTTCTCTCTCTCTCTCAATCGCCTTGTCGGCGAGAACTCTACGTGTACGGGTATACTGCGGCAGGTGTACGTTATTATTATTATTATTATACAGTCGTCGGGCACATTTTTGTTATATTATACAGTGTGAGACGTGCCTATAAATACGCGATATATTTTATAACGTAAAACGATGTTTCGATTTCGTGTGTAAAACGTAACGCGCGCGCGCGATTAAACGCGTCGGCTCGATTATCGTCGATAATCGACAAGGATGACAATAATATTCGTAGTAGGCGATATATGGTATTAACCCGTAACGACATTCGTGTTTTTAACCAGATGGGTACCGGGGCGAAAAGACAACGATGCAGTATATACATGTATAAAGTGGCGTATAACCAGGGCGAGGGGTATTGTAATCCCCTACCCGCATTGCTTTATTTTGTTAGGTAAGGTTAAAACGGTTATACACTCCCAAATGAACCCGCCTAGACCTCCCTAACATCAGTACGAATTAATTGTTGTATGTTTAAGCCAATAAGAGACGGATGAAATAACTCTAACCCCCTAACCTCCCTAATCCTCTGCGCACAACACTAATCTCGTTCTTCTCTCTTCTTCTTTTTCTTCTTCGTCACATCACTCATGTGCAGCCTCAATACTCGTCTTATTATTCAGCTTCTACACTGCACATCCACTACACTACATCATGTAGCGATCCGACGTTATCGCCGTTTCTTCGTCAGGGAAAAATTAACCCGTGTTACGATGGCCAGCGGCCTGTGAAATCCTTAAGAAAAAATATAATACACGTGATTTGGTGTAGGGAAAAAACCATTAAGAACTAAGAAAGAAAGTTCGCTTTCCAGTACAATAATTTGTTTATTATTGTATTTTACGAGCCACTCCCTTTTCCTAGCTCACGCCCGTTACCTGATTGAAATTTCAAAATCGTGCGTATAAGTACTGCAAAAATAATGAAACGACGCCCCTGACCATAATAATATTTTATGTATAAGCGTTTATAGTTTTGACCGAACCGAGTATTATATAACGACGTTAATTTCAGTACAAAGTATATACCAAACTAGCATATTAAAGCGCCATAAACTACTTTAGTGATTTCAGTGTATATAAGGTTGCCAAAATACTTTGATAATTTTTCATATTTTTTTTTATACGAAATATATAATTGGAGAAAACCTAAGAGATCTTCTTTTGATCATTTCAAATTTTCAAATGCAATAAATTATGTAAATAAAAAAAAACAACAGGGGTTATAGTTAGAGATAACTAAAAAATTACCGATTTCAATAAAACAAGCGACTTTTCTTTTAGATCTCATACATGCATTTAAATGACTCTTTTTTATTCATACAAACCTACTTATTTTGATCTCGATGCAGCTACACTCGACCCTGAATATAAGAGGACGGTCCACTTTCTGTCACCAAGTTCAATGCTTAAAATTCGAAAATTATATTTGTTTTTTTCAGTTTTCAAATAAGACGAAGTCGCTACTTATGACCGTATATTGGGAACCTATTTTTATGTTAATATTCGATTTAATTTATGTGATTATTGTGAAATAAAAATCAAAACAAAACCATAAATACGTTATAAGTTTACCAATATGCAGTTCTAATTTCAAAGTCTTAAGGACACTATGGAACGAAGAATTTTCAGTGTTAAAATTTTTATTTTCCTATCTATGACTATTTTATGAATAAAAAAAAAAATTAAGCGGCCCTATAGGTGGTGACCTACCCCAGTTAATTAGAATGTGACATTTTTCGTTTTATGTATATTGACGAGTTCCCTCGGTCAATTTTCGGGATGTAAATCGGAAGTAGAATAAATGTTCGTATTCCAGCGATCCATGGTTACGGATTACATAATGAAAACTGAAAAAATGAAGTTAAACTATATATTTGTTAGTGATTAAATCCAAAGCGTTTTCCCTGGAGTCTATGAACCGTATCAATCCAAAGGATATTAAATGATATGACTCCACATTCATAATTTCTTGTACACGATACTGAATATAATATTTTACAGTAAACGGTACTATACAATAAATCTAGAAACATTTGAAGTTAATTTAATTAAACAATACACCTAAACAGTTTTAATAAAATTACCGAGTAAAACCAATTATCTTACCTAATCTAACATTATTTTAGTCGAACTATAATTTATGTGACTATTTGTGTACCACGCAGTTATTTGAACGTGCTTAACTAGCTATTATATAGGCAAAAATATAATCGTTTATACTTGATTATTTTGAATAAGTTAATTATTTTTTTCCCGTGCAGCGAATAATATAATATTCAAATATCGCATTGTTTTATTAATACATATACGTATACTGCAATACGTTATACAAAAACAATAAAAAAAAAAACGTCTCAATGTTTCCTACTGGTACGCCACTGCGGCACCGCGACAATCGGTTTCTTTCTTTCTTGTTTTTTTTTTTTTTTTTTAAATGCTGTCATCCAGTCCAGTTGACTGTATGCGTGTGCCGGACTCGATCGCGTTATACCGGATTCTGCACGCGGACCGCGCACATTCCGTCCAGCCGTTTCGCAGTATTTCGCGGTCGTTTCCGAACCACCGTCCGTTCGTCGTCCATCACACCCACCGGCGGCGGCAGCGATTTCATTGTTATTGTTAATTACGTATTATTGTCGTGGTGCAGTCATAGTGCTTCGCGTAAATCTGCAACGACGAAACGCGGGCAAAGTTATCGGGGAAAAATCCGAACGCCGGCAACAGGTCCGGGCGATTTTTTATCAGTTTGATATTCGAATCGGCGGCCGCGTTTATATGCCCGTCCCGAAATGGTTTCAAGGGTTTTATAGAAGTTTATACGAAACGCGAACGGTCGTACACTCTTGTTCGTGCAAATTTTGCCGAAGGAAGTTAGCGTGTCCAGAATATAAAAACCTGCACAGGCAGTCTGCGCTCGGGTCTCGGCCCGTGAAAAACCGCAACGACGAGTTGACCGAGTTACGTATTTCCATTAATTATACTGTTATCGAGCCGAACTCGAAATCACGACTTGAGAACCGTAGTAAATGGATATTTTGCGAGACTGCCCTTATCGCAACCCACCCCTCTCCGACATGGGTGCGCGTAGGTAAAATTTCGGGGAGGACACGAAATAAAAAAAAATCTCAAAAATGTATTCTATTAATAAAGTTTTAGCGATATTGCAACAAAACAAAAAATGACAAAATATGAAAAAATTTCAGGGGGAGCAGTGCCCAGTCTTCTTCTAGTTTTTATGCGTATTTTACTATATAGGGTGTTGTCGTCATAGTCCCGGGAAGGGTTTTCGTGTCTACAACGCGCGGAAAACAGATTAGGTGCCGATTACTATGCGGGTGCACAAGTTTGAAAAATGGCTGATCGATCCGTCATAACATTATATATTCTATCGTATATTTTTTAATTTTATATGTTTTTCGAACCGAACCCGTTCGGACTATTCGACCGTTTCCGTTCCCGGCAGTTGGCCATTCGAACTTTCGCCGGCTTCTCCCACTGCCCCCGACCCCTTCGCACTACCCGATAGCCGTTGTCCGACGCCCGCCACGGTTCCACGGTCGTCGGCGGCGGCGGCGGCGGCGGCGGCGGCGGCGGTAACGCACGTACATACGCGTATTATATAATATCGTTATACTATTATAATATACTTAAGCTCGGGTACGCGTAGTAGGTGCGTATGTATATATATGTATACAGTAGGTAGGCACAATACGTATACAACAATATCGTGCGTGCGTGCGTGCGCGTATAGAGCACACAGCTGTCGGGCGGCGGCGGAACATCAAAGGCGCTCGGCGACCCCTGCGGGCCTACGTTCTCGTATATTTTGTTTACACAGGCGGCACGCATTCAAAGGCGGCAAACCAATTGTGATTTTGCACGTCCGAAAGGAGCCGGCGGCCGCCGCCGCCAACGGTACACACGCACGCGCGCACACACACGCACGCGCACCGACACATACACACGCGCACTACCGCGGCCCGCGCATATCATATAATATTTATTGTTCTTGATAAACATACGTATACGCGCGCGCACACACACACGATACGTGTGTGTGTGTGTGTGTGTGTGTGTGTGTGTATATACGTATAATACGACGATCATATTAATACCATTCTTTTCCCACTCCATATTTTTTTTCTCCGGCCGCCGTCGTTTTTTTCCGCTCTTTTTCCCATCGCGCGCACAATAATGGGATTTTCTTCCCGCGGTTTATACATATCATTATTATTATTATTATTATTATATTATTATCGTGCATATATACGTGTACGGTATATACAATATTCTTTTGTATAATATTATTATAATACGCGTACAACGCGCTACATAATGTACCGTTTACACGCGCGTATATGTGCCGCCGCAGACGCCGCGCCGTTAAACCGCGACCGTCGTCATCGTCGTCGCGTACCGTCACCGCGACGTACTAAGGGCTGATTTTCGGACTGGGTGAAAAAACTGATTCGAAACAAGTTTGAAATAAATCAAAAAAAAAAAATCCCGTAGTTTTTTGGGATTATTGTCGTGACGCTAAATGGCGCCCCGCGTGGCTTCGCTTAAATTTTCTCGTAATTCAAAATGCACGTGTCTTCGCCACAATGTTATTAAGAGGACGTTACGCATGCATTAACATTGTCGGTTCCGTCTTACAAACACGAGATACGGTATAAACGCGCTTACGCAGACTACACAGAACTCGCTTAGTTTTGGATTAAGAGTAAAATGACCTAGGATGAAATCAATAGAGAACAATATTTCGGAGGACAAGACGTTGCGTTTTTTTGAAAAAATTATTTTTTTTAAAGTTTTAGTAAATTAAAAACCCAGTTGAAACAGTCGTTATTTATAAACGGTAAATTGACTGTTATATTCAGATAAAATGGAAAAACGCATCGTTTCGCCCTCCGGAATATTTTTCTATTTTGATTTTATAATAAGAGTTTTTACTCTAAAACCAAAATTAAACGAGTTCTTTGTAGTCTGCGTATCGTGCGTTTTTAAGACGGAAACAACAAATTCATGTGTAGCGTCTCTTAAGTCCTCTTAAGACTTTAGTTTATCTCTAGACTACTACCCTTCTTCGAGGGGGTGGGGGGAGTACTTGACGGAGTTATAATAAAACATACACTTGAAATAAAAAACGTTCAACTCTCGCGAGGCGCCGTTTAGCGCGTCAAAATAAAATTCTAAAAAAAACTTGTAATTTTTTTTTTTGGATCATTTTAAAATATTTCTATTTGGAAACTTTGATTTAAAAAAAAATCAAGTAAAAAACACCCTAACCTATACATATAATAATATACGGTGTACGATTTTGAACGCAGTGACGAACGTATTGGTGGCTTCTCAAAGAACTCTCGCTCGAATTTCAAGTGTAGGATCTATTCTGAAAGGCAATTTTGTCTGGTTGGTACGTTCTGGAGATTTTTGAGCTTTTTCACACGCATTTAACATTTTAGATTTTTTATTTTTTATTTTTCAATAGATTTTACGTAGATAGAATTATTTTAGTCGATCAGAAGTGTATGGAAATTGTACACGACGTTCCCATTTACTAACTTCGTTTAGACGTCGTAAGCGCTTCTAAATTGACCTCGAGACAACTGCAAGTATGATAACGTAATTACATTTTTTCCTAGTTTTTTGTTTTTTTAAATTTACACGGAATTTCGTATAATTATAAAAAAAATCCAAAACGGTAAAATATACTGAGCTCATGGCGGCTGGCACGAACACCTTTGGCACGGATTTCGGGTGGTCTACAAGAAAACAAATCATCTCGTTTAACGACATTAAACTCCATTGGAAATACTTCTTTTTTTTCCCCCGATCCGTAAATAAAATATGTAACGCAGGAAAAAGGGATCGTCTACAAATAATAGCGCGGCGGGTACACCGTCGGTGCTGGAGGTCTCGCACTTCATTGTCGCGGGCCAACTGGGACGCGAGCGTGAAATCGAAATTCTCTCCGGTCGGTAGTGGTCCAGTCCGGCACTGCAGCGAGTAAACCGCGGTTACCCAGAATGCACAGTCGCGCAAGTCCTAAGACGCTTACTATAACTGCCGTAAACAGCTGAACGATATAGTCAACGTAGACTACTCCGTAAAACCGGAAACGGACTATTGTCACGTGCCAGCGGTTCAAGCGGTGAAAAACTTCGAATGGGAACTCTATATTTACCGGAAATCGAGGGGGCGTTACCGAGAACTAGCCAAACCCACCGACCAAATACTTTCAATAAACTCATCATATTGCGGATAAGAGACGTTCAGAATATCTTTTCTCTCACGCACATTTTCTCGTAAAATTGGGATACTAATAGGGTGTGCCGATAAACTGCACCCCTTCAAATATTATCCTCCACATATGCTTGGTCAGTAAAAATAAATGGAACAGTGTCCGGTTACGTGTTGTCCACTTTAATGAACATGAGAACGTCTATAATATTATAAAAAAAAAAAACGTTAAAAATAAAATATGGTTTCCATTTTCCAACCAGTATGTCGGTTAATTTCAATATAAACTCGTAAATATGTATTTCAAATGTCAGTTTTATATTGGTTGCAAATATCGACTCACCGCTTATAATGTTACCCCGAGAACGAAACGAACTATATACCGCATGTCGAATAGGCATAGGACACTTCTTCCCTCAACATAACAAGCCCGAACTAAAATATGATATGTGGTGTGTTAAGTTGTTTTCCCAAAATAGTAAGAATTCGTTAACGTAGTCCGGTCGCATATTAACATATTACACACGAAATAAAATTCTACCTGATGTGATTTTGTATTTTTTTTTTAACTTTGATAATTATTTTAATCATTTTAATAACCGTCTCAAAGAAACGATTTTTTCACATCAACTTAAACTTTTACTTCCCGATACCCATTTAGGGGCCATTTTTACGGACAAATATTACTTTTTTTTTTTTTTATAAACAACAACATTTTTCAAGTCACTCCGATTTTTCATTTGATTTCAAATAATAATATAAAAATGTTGGTAAAAAAAACATGTATACAAATTTACCTTTTTTTAAATACGTATTATAAAGACTGAAATAAAAATTTTGACAGAGTTCAATGCGGTCCGCAAAAAAGTCGTCCTCTTTGCAACACAAAAATAACCATTAATTAACAGATTATTCCGATTCCTAGTCGTTTTTTTTTTCCTAAAAACATGCGTTACAGGAGAAACTCCCATGCCCCCGTAGAGCAGTCAGATTCCAATGATATTTTTTAAATATTTTTTTTTTTTGTCCAAACAATTTAATTCGGAGGTTTCTCACTTTGTTATAAATTTTGCACGTTAAATGACATGTGTAACGTTTCACTACATTTATAATACTCATGACACGTAGATATTGTACTCGCGTATTTGATTATTTCACGTGTATATACAATAATATAATTGTGCGTCGAAAACGAATAGCGAAGTGTATTTTGTATACTATCCACAACATGGGCGGTTAACGTGAAATATACCGCCGTACAAATTGTATACAATACAATACGCGTCTTGCATATACTTGCGCAGGACGGCAGGTTTTTCGGCCCTAGCCCCACTGGGAGAGCGCTCGACGGGGAGGCCTCCAGTGTTCTCGGGCGGGTGCTACAGACAAAACGGCAAAAGCCCGCCCGCCGCGTGTTCGGTTGCTGCGAGCACAATAATAATAATATATCAGACTACGCTCACCCAGTATAATATTATTATTATAATAACAACTGCGAGATTCCTGTCCGAAATTCTCTTGTACGTTACATAATAATAATATATTAACAATAATGGCTGATGTAATAATATTGCGCCCAGCATCTTGACAACCGCGTAGAAATCCCTATTAACATACTTTCCTGGTTCCGATAGTAACGATTTTTCTCCCCGGAAACAATTCTTCGGCCAGTGAAAATGCCTCCGATTTTTCCATTTGCGGATATTTCACGTGAATTACTTTACTTTGAAATGTTCAATAGTTCCCCCCCTCCCCAGACACACCCACACACACACACTATAGACCCTTTTGTTTTTCTTGAAAAACGCTTCGAATTATTCACATCGTACCATATTAAAGATGCTGACTTTTTGCCCGGTGGTACATTATTCAAAAGACGTTTCTAATATTACGACTTTCCGAAATAACTTCAAAAAACGAGTGTCGGATACGTTGGTTTTATTTTTATTGATTTGAGGGTCATCTTAGCTGTTCAATAGGAAAAACTCGATCAATATTATAACCATACCGTTTCAACAGAAACCGTTCAAAACTATTTTTTTGATTTATAGTAGCTTTCACTACATAAACTCTTTTTCAACCCAAAGATTTATGTAACTCATTTATTGACAACTGAATATTTCTTTATCATATCTTTGAGATCTTTGTAAGGAGTAACTCTCACATACGTCTTTAATTGGCCTAACTTAATCTAACCTTAATATTGGTTTTCCTCTTGATCGTGATCCCTCCTCCACTATCCCTTCAATAATTATTGAGCCTAATTTATACCTAATTCATAACCATACCTCGGTGAGTGTCCTATATCATTTGACATCTCCTTTTCTTTTCTATTAATATTCGTTTCTCTTCTATTGTCTTTAAGACATCATTTGTTCTTCTTTCAGTCCAAATTATTCTCTGCGTCTTTCTCCAATACCATATTTCTATTAGAGCCTCAAGTACATCCTTGAGGCTCACGTGCGTATAAAGCAACGCTCCATACGTACGTTTTTATCGGTTTCTTTTTGGTATTTATATAAGTATGTTTATAGTTTTCGCTATCGGTAGTTTGTCTTCTTCATTGAGGAAGATAAGATTTTCGTTTGTCCCTTTGTTCCGGTTTTGATTTCCTTTGTGGATGAATCCGGCATATTATTCTAAGTCATCCTATACCTTCCAGACTTCCCATCCGTACAATCAGTGGCCCGATACCGCCACGATGCGAAGCACACATATATAATATAATATTCAATTTTCGTTCGCTAAATCAAAAGCCGCGGTGTATCTACCAATACGCCAAATGTACGCGAGGTACTCGAGCAAATAAAAAAAAACCGAATATTCTATCAGGCGTGTATAATAATATTTTACTACGTATATATATTATATTATCGCGTGTCTATATGGTCGAGGAAAAATTACGCTCAACGTACAACAATAAAAAAAAAATAATAATAAATATAATATTCAGGAGCCTGTTGTTGCCCATGTATAATACCAAACTACTCGAGATACGTCGTATTCGTTTTCGCGTCGAGCGTATTGGGCCGTGTACGCCGATTTTTTTTTTTAAGTGGTGCACGTGTGTGTTTTATATTACACGAGAACGTATGCCTATATGACGTATAGTATTATATTTATACAGCGAAGAATCAAAAGAAAAAAAAGAACTTATTTTCACTCGAGGGGAAAGAAAAACGTATATAAACTGCGCACACAAGCGCACTCGCCCGTACGATATTTCAGCTCTACACTCACGGGTAATTTTCGGTTTATCGTCGAATTTTTTAAGAAAAAAAAATCAAAAGAAAAATAAATACCGCTCCGGTTATTATGCTACTCGATCGCGAAATAAATTTACGCGGTATCGAAAACTCGTATGCGATATTACTCGGCAAGAGCGCGCCTTTATTTCTTTTGAAAACGGTTCAAAACGATTTTATCGAATCAGGGAAAACGTTACACGAAATTTCACTGACAAGTGGTGGTAAAATAAAAAAAAGACTGATGTTTTCCCCCATACGAATTACAATTGTATTCGACTGAATATTCCATTTTTTCCCTTAATCTTTCGAGTGATACATTTTTGTATCCAAAAAAAAAAAAAAAAAAAAACAATAATAATAATAATAACCAAATCGATTGATACAACCCTATGTCCTGACCTTTTTGACAACGTTTACTGTAAACGGTGTCAACGACTATAATGCTTAACGATGATATGATATTTCATTTTTATTCCGTTTTTAATTTTTTTAATTTATTACGATTTCAATGGTTTGTCGACCAGTTTTCCGTATTTTGTGGTGTTTACAAGAAGTATTTCCATTGACTCGAAAATCACGACCCGCCGAGTTTCCGACCCTATACACGTATATTATGTTTGATCTCGGAGAAAGGGTATAGTTTTCAAATACGAGCAAATTGAATTTCGAAAATACATAATAAATACGCATAATATACGCTTATGCCGTGAAGACTGAAAAAACAAAAGGGAAACAATAATTATACGTAAGACAAAATGATTTTTAAAAAAAACAACAACAATTAACTCAAGGACCGAAATTATAACGTCCAATGTTTCGAGCTTGTGCGTGGGTTTACATCCCCCCCCCGCCCCCTCAAACATATAATAATGGTAAAGTAATAGGTACCTATTATATTATTATTACGTATACTCTACAGTTCCTTTTCGACCGGTATTATAATAGTGTCGTAAACCCGATCGCCGTGTGCCCCTATCCCCCTCCCCCCCATTATCAGACGGCATTATTATCGTCGTATATTATATTTATAACTTCGGTTGATATTCCGAGGCGGTCCGCCACGATCAAACGGTTCTCTTCGGCAGTCATATTGTACACTGTCCGCGTTTTTTTTTTATTATTATTATTATTGTAGGTTTATAATATTGTTATACGTATTATACCGGAGCCCTTTGACCGGCTCTTTTGTTTTCTCTGTTTACAACCTTTCGGCGGGTTTGTAATAAAATACGCCTTTTAAATAGAACAGACCGCTTGTTCTATTACAAACGTACCCAACCTATATGTATACGCGGATAAAAGGTTTGATCATTCTTCGTGAACCACAGAGAGCAACCGTCGTCGTCGTAAAACGCGTCAAACCGCATTTGTCTTTTTTTTGCGAGGTATCGTCAGAGACCGCGCGCGCTTATTTTATGGACATTTGGAAAGCACGTGTACGATTATTTCGTAGTAATATTCACTCGTTTACATAAAAATTTCCGAAAAAAAAAAAAAAAAAGGTATTTAAATATAATGTAGTTATAAAATATACACGCGCTCGCAGATATATGATAAACTGGTATTATAAATTTTGATTTACAATATTATATTTACAACAATTATTATTATTATTATAGCCACGTGCACGTAATAATATTGTAAAAATCATTTTGTAATAACAACATTTATGGAACCTCGTAACGGCCGGGTGTCGTTAAACGGGCCGGAGCAAAAATCGTAAAATGTCTAACCTATTTTATTTTATATTATACGTTCAAAACGAATAGGTATAAGTACCTCTATTCAAATTCGGTCATTTAATTAATATGCACTAACAAATCGTTTCCAACTAGAAAAAAAAATAAAAATATTTTATTTGAGCGCAGCGAAGCTATTATAGTTTTACCGAGACGTGTTTTTTTCCTCGGAAGAACACATTTTCGGATACTTAAAACTTTCTGATTTTTTCACGCAATACCTTAAAATATATGTATTTTTCTCCCGATGATATTTTATTCGAAAAGTTTTTTTAATTTCCAAAAGTTTTTCAGAAAAAAACCGACAATATACAGCGATTCTTTGGTTTTATTTTTGTCGATTTCTGATGATGTATCCGTCGGACTACTGCAACAGCAAAGGAAAAAAATTAACTATACTATAAAATACTATTATACGATGCCATTACCTATTTATCTCTGAATCGTTTTTCGCTTACAACAGATTTTTAGAATAATTCAGTATATACCTTATTAAATGAGCATTATCAACAATTTAGAATTCGATACTCGATACCTACTCGTTTTATTTTGATACTCGATCCTCTATACCGTTGATCTTCCATTTCTAATACCTTCTCGACTTAAGTTCTCAGTATAGTACGTCAGTATCGCATCAAAAATCATCGTTTTTGAAATATGATATTCTTGATCGTTCTCGCGGTCTTTTTATAGTCATTTGTTCTCTCTTTTCTATTATAATATGTATAGAAATTCATCTGCGTGTCTCAATCATATTCCGTCGTCCGATTTGAATCGTACCGAGTGCCTGGTTTCATTTACTCGATTTGTTAGCGTTACTTACTATATAGTATGATAGTAAAGTAGCTCGTCTTAACTTTCAAAAAGATTTCGTTCCGATGGGGTGTTCGACACCACGCGTAATATTACAACGACGCGGTGGATCGATAAACGAATCTATATTTTTACTCCCGTGGACTTAATATGCACTGTCCCTCGTTACACCTATTCCGTTTTACAACTTGTCGGTTCGTATACTATTATTGTATTATTCGTTAATAGGCGTTTATCCAGAATTGTTTTTTGCCTCCTCTCGAGTATATATATAATTTTTAAGTCGGTCTCTCTCTCTCTCTCTTTCTCTCTCTCTCTCTCTCTCTCTAAATGTTTATTCTATAACATCTCGGTCCGCGCACGGTCGGCCCCGCGTCCGGTCCGCGAGCCCGCAGTTATCCCGTGTAAGGCACACCGTACGCGTACGTATAATAATACGTACAACAATATAATACACAACGACTTTGGCGGCAAAAACTCGCGCGGCGCAACATTATACGCGCGTTTCGATTATTATTATTATTTATACGTGTCGGATAAGCCGCCGACGACGAGCGCATATATTATAAGAGAGATAAAAAAAAATAAAAAAAAAAAATGGAAAAAAAAAATACGCGCGTGTTGTATTACAATACGTACGCACGTTACGTGGTGTACACGTATATACACAATATACTTACTGCAGTATAGACGAGCGTGTTATAATAATATTATAATATGCGGCGGCGGCGTCGTACAGGAGGTACGCGCGGGTGTACTACGCACAGGTATATAATGCAATATAATATACACGCGACGCGGTGGGCGTTACCTCTCGGCCGGGCGATAGTCCTGTTCGGTATACGCGTACCCAATTAGCCGCTAAATTACGATCTCCCGGGTCCCGGCTACTGAATTTAACGCGCGCGCACACGCGCGCGCGCTCGCGACACAATGTACCGGGAGCGCTCGAAAACCGAACGTTTTTTTTTTTTTTTTTTGTGTTTTCCTCTCCGTCTGCTCTTCTTTTCCCCCCCCGCGACCGGGGCTGCGACGGCGGCGCGGTATTATTATTCTCTTCTGTATAAAATACGCGTGAATACGTATTATAGGTATACCCACCTACCCGCCTACCCATTTACCTACCCACCTACCTAATTCACTCGGAATCGGTTGTAAATTACACCCTTTGAAGTGTCCGCGACCGCCGCCGCGGCGTATTTCTACATTATTATTATTATTATTATTATTATTATATGTACGCGCGTACCTATACACGTTTTTTAATATATTATACGACCGCTGTGCAACGACTCCGCGCGTTGTCTGCAGCTGCGCCGGGGCCGACGACGACGACGCCGGATTGGTTTTACGCGGGGCCGGGGGGAGGGGTAGGGGGAGGGGCGGTTTCGGTTCCCGAGTGCCGACGAGACACTTGTATATTATCGTTAGATCCCGAGCGAAAAACGAGAATAATATGTACGTCGGTTTTACTAAATTGCTATTACTCGTACGATGCGTTTTGTTTTTTTTATTTTCGTAAACGCCCGTAAACGATTTTTCCGTACCGGCAGATAATAATCTCGCTCCGATCGAAAAACCTATACTTACTTGAGAAGGTCGTTTTTTAAATTTCCCCCTAGTTTCCATATAATCAGCGGGGAAAAACTGGCATATTTGTTTGAATATTTTTCTTCGATTTCCGGGATACCATTTAACATACACAAGGACATACAAAGATGTACAATACTCTGCTCAGAATCGATTTTCGTTAGCAACGGTCTATGTATCGTTGAGTACAGATGTAAATTTGATTACTATAAATATTCTCGCTTACGCTTACGTTTATATTTCCCTGCTAAAACAGTGTCCAAACATCAGCGGTATCAGACTTTTCCGGTCAGGTTTTCACTGCATCGCACGTTAAGGTACGCGGATTTTTCGCAAGGGATAGGTACTTTATTCAATATAGAGCCTAAAGCTGCGCCAAAAAGTGCAAAAAGTGGTCCACGCGAAGTTTTAACTAAATCAGTAACTGTAAAAAAGCTTTAAAAATAACAAAATTCATTCGATTAGTATTCTAGATTATCGTCTTAAAAGTCCGTTGAAAAGTAAATAATTTTAATCTTGTATCATCCGATTCTATGTTTCAGTAATAACTTAAAAAAATATGTAATACTAACAAAAATCCAAGAACTAAAGAACTTAATTAAAACACACAAAACAATCCATAACGACCATAACTCGGTAAAAGTATATATTATATACTTCATTTTGAATTTTCAGTTTGTTGTTTTATTTACACTTGAAACAACTTTAACGACTATTTGGCCGTATAATATTGCACTTGTTATACTAAAATCGAGTGCCGCCCAATGTATGCTGTTGGTTGACCTGTTAACCGTTTAACCATGAACCACCATATTGTATCCTACATTGAACTATTTGGATAAAACATTATATACCGGTGTATATAATGATTTTATCAGCGAATACAAAAAGAGGGTCAATAATAGTGATGACCACACTCTTAGTACATTGTACGTCGTATAGACTATAGTCACCTGTAGTTTTCATAATAATAGCCTCGCCTGTTTTGAACTGTAATAACTAATAATATTATTATATTATATTATACAAGTGTAAAACACAGCCTCACTACTGGTATCAGTTCGAGGCCTCTTTCGGTGATATTCCATCTAAGTATAATATATATTGGACAATTTTTATTATCGGACACGTGTTCGTGATGCGGAGTTGTAACGGACATGATAGTAATATAAAATCGCAATCGTGTCTTACCGTCGTGCTAACAAACGGGGTTAGGTTACCGTCCGCGACCCAATTTTATCTTAAGTACACTCGTGTGACGAAAACCGCGGTTTATACCGTTATTATAACCTGGCTCGCCATAATATTATTATCATTTCGCGTGTACAGATATAATTCCGATTTTTCGATGTACTTACTATCTATAATATTATAATAACAAGCAGATCCATGATTTCGAAGCCCCAGGCATTTTGTGAGAGTGTCGCTGGAACGCTACAAAAACAATAGTATTTCAGGGAAATTCTAGGTCAGTGCGGCCCACGGAACCTTTTTTCCGGTCCGCGAAACAAATTTATTTTACTACAATATGTGTGGGATACACTCACTTATCCCCGGGTGGTAAAAAAAATTAAAACAACCGAATAACCAAGATCCGGGTACACCGATTTCGAAACATAAAAATGTCTGCCATGATACTGTTCCAAGAAAGTTAATGTCCTAAGTGTAAACTTAAAACCAGTTAAATATTAGCAGCCTACCTATTTACTAATTATTTATTTAAAATATTGGGAAATATTGATGGGTGGGTGTATTATATAACTATATAGGCTTTTATATATGTAACACCTGGGTTATTAGCATTATATAGGTTATTATTTTAGGTTCGTTGTAAAACCGCGTCGGGTGTAAATAAATGTAGCGAAAAAAAGTCACGTCGGATAGGTCACATTTGAAGTAGACAAGTGGATAATCTTGTTTATAATGATCCATGATAAGTTCGTCAATTCATCAGCATTAAATTCATACTGATACTGAATTCAAATTGTATTAGTTAGTACTTTTATTTTAAATGTTATATTTCTCATTATCCAGAGAGAAGTTATGTATGCGTACCCAATGTGTATGTATTTGAGTGATTTTTTTTAACTGTCGTGTGTTTTGACCAGAAAACTTGTTCCTGTAGCAATCGTCATCGACGTCACAGAAATCTTTTCAGGTAGCAAATTTAGTCTACAGCCTATATAATTTTGTCTATAATTGGCACACTGGGGAACGCGATACTTTTATAATAATTTCCAAAAACCTATTTTGAACTTTTACAGTGTGCTACTTATTTATGGATAGACGTTTGAAATATTCCGAGGTTTTTTTTTATTGTTAAATCTTCGTTTGGAGAACGGAATCGAGCAAATCTTTCTATATGTATACATAGATAAAGTAAGACTAGTTTCGGAGGGGGTAGGGGTAATAATCAGTCCAACACGGCTGCCGCTCGTCGTTAAATAAGTTTCCGGTCCGCAAATGGTCAGCTGTATAACGACAACACAAATACTACTCTGTAATATAATAATACTGACTATTACGATATGTATTTAAAAAAAATGCATACATATTTTGCATAATAGAAATATTCATTGCAAAACAATACATAACCAAATTGTATAGTCTACAATCCGCCCACAAAACTACTCGCTAATTCCCGCTAGTGATATATAAATGAAGAAGCGGAAAAAAGGAATATTTGTATTGCTTTTGCGTGTACAACGAATATCCACACGATTGTACAGTAAGTCGGAAGTTCAAAAAGATCTAATTATCAGAGTACAAATTAAACGTTTATGAGCGAATAATAGTAATACGCGGTAACTTGTAAGTTATTAATTCGACAGAATATAATCATTAAACCAACAGTATTTTTTTTCTTTTTTTGTAACTCGACTCGGTTACCGATTTAATTCGTTTGAATTTTAAAATCTACTTTAATACTTATAAACAGCTATTATTATAGTTATTTTTAGGATATTATCAAGTCGAATAAATCGGTTGCCCGGCTTAATGCGTAAATGCTTAATGGTCGCGGCCGCGCCTGCCGCCTACGGCCACAGCGGAAACCTCGTCGTCGCGATGACATTGCGACGTTTGTTGTGTAGCCGCCGCCGCTGCAGCCGCGGGCCGGACAAATTACCAGCGCACGCGCGCGCTCGCGAGACCGGCCGGGTCTCTCGCGGCCGGTCATTGGTAACGGGAATCCGGGACGACGGCGGATTCCGAACCGACAACGGCAACGAGAGAGACGGAAATAAATACCGGATCGGTTATAAAAAAAAAACAAAAACCGTGCCCGTCGCGTATCGGTGCAATACGATCGCGCGTCGTTATATTTCCTTTCTTGATAAATTTAATTCGAAAATCTAACGTTGTACGGTTTTGCACGGGCACAGTATTGAGCGTGCAGAGCCGTCCTTAGGGAGGAGAGAGGGGGCCCAGGGCCTCGAGGTTTGTTACCCGGATTTGGGGTCTCGCGTTCGAAAACAAAAACGAATTGTTATTATAAGATATAATATGGAAATATTTAAAATATACCCTGGGCTTCGCAAATTTTTAGGACGGACGGCCCCATACCTCTTGCACCCTTAATGGGTGTCGGGTAGTAGCTGATTGGTGGAAAAGTCGTATCGTTATTAAAACGTTCAAATTTCTTTTTAGAAACAATCTAAAACAACGAAACTTGTACTGCCGTCATATGATTTTCCCGACTATTATGTACCTAAACCCCGAGAATAATATCAAAAATATAACGTTCTGAATGCACCAATTTTAAACTATTTTAAACCATGTTATTATTTTTTCCACGATTACAAATTTAAATTTCTTGCGTTCCTCAGAATCGATTTATGTCGACGGCACTTTTGAACACTGTGCAAAGCAATTTGTATCACAGTTTTTAAAAAAATGTATTGTAAAAAAATCGTGTGTAATTACAACTATCATGTGTGTGAGAAAAGATCAATAATTATTTGACCAGTTTTTACACCATGCATTTTGGCCCGATCTCGGGGTGTAATGAAACGTACGAGGATATTGTTTACGGGGCGGCAGGTATAGACAGAATGTGGCCCGGTCCCCGACCGCCGCCCGTTTTGTTTCGTTCTCCGTGTGAAAATCGCCCCGCGGGCGCCCTTGTCCGGGCGCATAACAATAACAATAATAATGTATCGCCGACATCGAAACACGCGCAGTATCGCGGTAACCGCGGCCGGTGCGGTGTCGCCGAGGCGCGCCCGGCGACAGCGGTCGCGATTCAAGTACGCCGCGCGACGCCGAGCCGGCATGCGACAACGGCAATGATACGCGTGTGCGCGTCATCGGCGAGATGATAATAAGTGCGCGGCGGCGGCGGACGACAATTTGTTTGCCGTGTAATTAGCGGCACGTCACGGGCGGCTGAGGTCAGTGTTGTTTTCCTTTCATGTCCGGCCGCCGCCGCCGCCGCCGTAAATATTATACACGGTACCGATAAGTACAATGTCTGCCGCCGCCTGTATTATAATAATAATAATAATATACTCGCGCTACACAGGTATAACAATAATAACAATATTATTGTTAAGAGCGCGCCGCCGCCGTCGCGCGGGCGCAAAATTATTACGCGTTATTATTATTATTATTGTTGTTATTACCGGTATGTATTGCGCGGTGCGGTATACGCCATCCCCGGTACGTTATGGTATACGGTATAATAACCGCGCGCCGGCTGACCGCGGTCGTCGCCGGCGCCTGGCGCGGCCGTACGCGGACGGGTATAATGATAATAATAAAATACGTACCGCGCGCGCCACATACAATGACCGCGGTATAAAACGATAAACCGCGGTACTTATTATAGGAGTAAAAAAAAAAAAGTCGAATTTTTCCGATACGTTTATTTGTTTGGTTTTTTTTTTTTTCTTCTTCGTTATTCCTCGCATTCCTCACGAATCGTTTACCCCGCTCGTGCGCGCGTTGTCAATCCGCCGCGTTGTCTGCCGTGCAGTCGATATTATATCGTTACGACGCCGAAAGAGTTTCAACAACAACAACCAGTGGCGGCTCGAAAGAGATATATTCAAATCACGTGATTCGCAAAATTCGCGTGGGCGAAACGTGGGAGTTCAGAAATATAACAAAAATTATTATGCTCATACAAAACAAAATAAGTCATTAAAAGAATTTTAGACTGCGGAAATTCGATAAATTTAACAAATTCCAATGCATATTTTGTAGTAGGATGGGGGTATTTTCGGGTTGGGATGGGTGGGTGGGTAAGTTGAAAATTTATATTCGAGGTAAAAATACTTCGAGACGCCACTGATAACAACAAATAACCTCAAATGCTCGACGTGATCGTAATATGGTACTCTTCGTTATAGTCATTCGGGGGCTACAATTATTATCAGTATTATTATTGTACCTACCCTAGTTATTATATACTGCATTTATATTTGTATATATATACAAATCACATTATTGAATTATTTTTGCGGCAAACAAGTATATTTATAATAGACCATTTTTGTTTTTTTTTCGATTTTGTAATTTCATCATATAGAATGGCAATTGTATACAATTTCCAGGGTTTACTTATCTATATTGTATATATTGTATACGTTGCTTTTTTTTTCAGATATTACTCTTTGTATCGGGCGTTTTCCTAACCTGCAGCAGCAAAAAGATTGTCGCCGAAAATGAGATCGCGATGACGTCATATCGATTGACCTCCGAGCAGGTAAATTAATCAATCGTATTATAACAATACTACGACACACTATTGTATATTATTATTGTTTCTATATAATAGTACAGTATATCTATATAATAATACGGATCCAAGGGGAGGCTCAGCCTTTTCAGCCATATTTTAAGTTGTATACAATGTTCCTATTAAGTATTTAAGTATCAACTATTTATTCTTTGATTTATGATAACAACAAATGTATAATAAATAAACAGTGGTTAAAAAAATATGTGTTGGGTTAGCAATCCCACTTCTTCCATTTGCGATTTCCAAATCAGCGAACAGCGTATCGGCAACTATACGTCTGTACAGTAGGTGTATAAATATAAATTACTATAAGTCATATTAAAGATTTAGAACCTCAATGATTAAAAATCGATATACTCTTAATTTACACTCCATGTATACGTTTCGAAGCTTCAACCAGATCTCTCCACCGGTTTCTATCCTTCGCATCCTCCATTACTGCAGCCTCATCATTCCTCACTAAATCCTTATTTACACAGTCCACAATAATCTTTTGTTGAATATAATATACATGGAAAAAATCTATATACCCTCATTAACGCCTTCATATCAAATTATTATTCAACGGTAACTATTATTTACTGTCCTATTTCAAACACACAAATAGTAAACGCAAATATTTCGAAAAACGATATCCTGGAATGTTCCTATAGTTTAAATAATATAAATTCTGCGTCTTTTTTATGTAGAAGGTGAAGAGTCGTAAAAAAACCCCCCGTTTGATATGATGGAATAATAGATTTTATAATGTCTTGTCAACCTCGGGAAATTCATCCAAAACTAAATAAGGAGCTGAGTTCGGCTGATGTTTGCAGGCCGGGAAATGTTACAGACACTCAAAACCAAAATTGTCTTTATATAATTTGTGCACATTTTTAATCACATTCCCGAAATTTTTACACCTAGGGACTTAGAAAAGTATAGTAAAATTTTATTTTTATTTCACTTGCCAGAATGATGACGTTGTGCCAACATACGCTTTTTTAAAAATCTTTGATAGATGAAACTCGAAATTAGTGTTCATCAAAATCATAATAATATTAAAAATGTAATCGTAACGTATACGTGTATTTAAATATTCCCAACAAATAATACTTCTTGTAGGACGGCAGTATACGAAAATTCTACGAGCAAATACTATAAAAAATATAAAAAAAAAACAACGATGTACTTTTATAGTTCTAAATGATTTAATTGTTTCCCCCCCCCCATAAAAATTAAACCATTATAGACACTTAATTTAATGTTTAAAAATGCAAACAAATAAATACATAGATTTTCTAAATTGCTGCACCACGCGAAACAAATGTATATCTATACATAGATTGCACTGATCCATAATTCACAAAACTTGCAAAAAAAGAAAATAATGCAAAAATCATCAATATTCTTTAACTGTAATTGTTATAAACCGATAATATAAACTGTTCAGGCTCGTTAACTCTAAAAGTAATTCCTATAAAGTAATTTACGGGTTAATAAGGTACAAGTTGTGATGCGCTACATTCATTTTTCAATGACTTTTATTGCATTTTTGTTATTATTTATATTATATAAAATAAATTATTATATTAATAATTTAAATTATATAACACACCTGTATAGGTATACTGAATTATGAAATTAAATATTTTAAAAAATAAATAAATCGCCGGACATACTTCACGCTGCTGTAGATAAGAAGTTTGAAAGTTATGGGATAGCTGTTTAAATTAATTTATGTAATATGTATACTCTACTGATAAGTCATCGATATCAAAAAACGATTCTGAGCGGAGTAATATTAATTGTATTTGTATTCCCTTATTGTAACTAGGTAAGCCGAAAATAAAATGGATATAACAACATTTGGGTAATTTAAACAATATTGTTTTCAAATAAAGTACGAATGAGCGAAAAATACGAGTATTTTGAGGTATGATGCGAATAATTTGGAGTATTTTTATTTTGTATGAACTAAAAAAGTGTTTCCAGGGGAAAAAACCAACAAAAAAATATCCTTGAGAGTAAGCTTTCAATTTCAAAAAGTGTTTCAAGTAAAATACCACCGGACGGAAATTTCGCATCTTCTAAGATACTGTGTGAGAAAATTTAATAATTTCATTTACTTAGTCTTTTCCAAAAACAACACAAAGTGAAATTTCTTGAAGATTTTGAAAAATTATTCAAAATTGTACCATCAGTCGAAAAATCCGCATACTTTAAGGGAACGAAATGAAAAAATTTAGCATTTATTAAGAAATTTCAGGGAGAAAAACACATCTTAGTAATAATGTATAAAAGCTTCTTCGAAACGCACAGATTCAAAAAATGAGTTTTAAATTACGAACAATAATTGCAATTTTATTTTGTATGATTTCGAATTATTAATACGCGTACGGTTTTCAATTGAAATTTATCAAAACACGTTTAACCGAACTAATTCGCACACAATCGTTTTTCATCTTACCCGCAAACCCATATACTTCTTCTTCTTCTTATTGGTACCTTCTTATTTAAAACCATCCTGTCTCACAAACAAATTTCCATCCTTCACTGTCACACGACAGATCTCCTTAATTGAAAAAACCTCCCATCTGATTCACATCCTTCTTTTGACATCATACCAAAATGAGTGTATAGTACTCACCCAACATTGCATTATCGCAAATCAAGTTATATAAATAAAGCCCCTAGTAACTATATATTAAAGTATACTATCATTGTACAATGAATCACTAAACACAGAAAGGACATAATATGTTCAAATTTTAAAATATTATTCAAGCAGAAAAAATGTCATGTTAATAACTAATGTAACGATAAATCGTCTATGAGGTTCAACAGTCGTTAAATATTGCAAAGCTTAAACAATTTTTTGTCTTGAACATTTTGTAATATTTGAACACGAGCCTTTTCTGTATTTAGCGGTTCAGTTATACCGATGAATAAACGACGGGATGATTTAATTATAATTTCTGTCTGCATAGGACACCAGTAATTATGTTGAAGCTGTAGGACAGACCTTGTTGAAAAAGTATATGCTCCCGTCAGACGTCACGTGCAACGATGGATCTCCAGCAGGGTAAGTACCTATCAATAATATCAATATATATACTACCTATGTATTAAAGTGGTCCTTATATTGAGTTTTATTTTTTTTTTTTTTAATTCCACGTCGGATAGACATTAAAAAAAAAAAAACCAAAAATAAATTTCCATAATTTTTGAAATTTTTTTATTTCATTTCTTAAGTCTCTCTGTGTGAACATTTGATGAGCAGAAAGGACGGTTCGTTTTTTTTTCTAAATACCATGAAATGTTGACGATAAATGAAGAACAGAAGTTGTTTGCACCGTAGATCGCCAATGAATGTAGTAAAATTAATTCCGGACGCAAAAAAAAAAGAAACATCATGAAACAATTCAAAAAATTTAAAGGAAGATTTATTTTTTATCGTAAAATATTGCTTAGATGAAAACTTTATGGTTGTATAGTCAAATTTAACGTGAAAACATGTATTGAATCTAAAAATATGAAAAATTTGTTTTTAATATTTCAATCCGAATAACGTATGTACAACGAAATGTTCCATTCAAGGACCACCCTAATATATACAGATCAATTCAAAATGTATGTTACAGTCATTTAATTATATAAATATTCAAAATAGAGAAAATGTTTAATACAAAAATGATTCATATTTACAAACATCTAAAATTATTTGTATTTTTTTTTTTTTTTTTATTAACTTTGGAGGATTAAACTTTTGTAATTCAAATGGAAACTTGGTCGGGGGAGAATAGTGGAACACTATGAGCTTGTATGGTGGCACGTCAAGGCATGCGACGCAGCGTTTGAAGCCACTACGCCACCCCGACCAAAACTAAAATATCGAATATCTCGTCAACGAGTTCACGAAAATCAAAAATGTCAACACCAAAATTTATTTTAACTAATACTCCATCTATACAGGTTTCATTTTTTTTTTTCAAAAATCAACCCCCAAACCCCCCTAAAAACAAATAAAAAAAAATATAAACAAATTATTTTATATGGTTATAAATCGAAAAACTGTAGTATCATACATCTTTCTCTATTTTGAATATTTACACGATAAACGACTGTAACATAAATTTTGAATCATTCTGTATGATGTATATCGTATATAAATATTTAATAGATACAATTTTATATCTAATATATATCTACATTTTTATATTTTACATTTTCGCAGGTATTTCGCGCGTCATTCGAACAACAGCAAAACGTGGATTGTGTTTCTCGAAGGTATACCGACTATGAATAACGAATTAGTAATATTGATAAAAAAAACATCATAATCGCCTGCAGTGACGCACGACAATGATATGAAGAGTATTAATTTCAACATTAAGAAACAATCTTCTTGGGAGTGTAGAATAGGTTACATAAGTTAAGGGCAGTGACGTAGCTAGAGATTTAAACGTCCTAGGACAAGTTCAAATATTGCGTCTAAGCTAGTTCGTTGACTTTTTCATAGGATAATTTCATATTTTTATATTCTTTCCACAATGAAAATCATAGAGTTTAAAACGTTTATATCAAATCCCGTATGTTTAAAATTCAAAATGCACACGTTATTATAATATTTTCCCTTACAAATCCAATATCTATTGTAAATGATAAAAATTACAATTACAATTTTGAAAGTCTTGAAGCAGTTCACCCTTATTTATTGCTACGCCACTGGTTATAGGCAATGGATACCTTCCGAGAAAAAAAACCCTGAAAATAAGCCGATCTCGAAACAAGAGAAAAATTATACCTAATCGTTTTTATTGCATTTGTTCTTCTTTTAATACAAAAATTCATCATCTAATTGCGCCACTGTATATGAATATATAATTTGTCAATATGAATAATATGATTTGATTTTTTTTTTTTTTATTGACACAGAGGGCTGGTGTTGTTTCGATAAACACAGTTGCGACGAACGGTGGTCCCGTGCCGAATATCTCATGTCGTCGAAACAATGGCCAGAAACTCGATTATGTAAGTAACCATTGCCATAATAATATTATTACAATTTACAACTTAACTCGGCGAACGTTTGATTTCTCGTCCTAAAAATATGTTGGTAATTAAAAATGATTTTTAAAAATATCCTTATCTATATGTTATAGCCAGCGGAATATTGTCAAACGACCCGTATGAAAATCCTTACTGGTGGGAGGCAAATCACGTGTGAGTATTTACAATTTTTTTTTATACGGCTTGTATATTTGAAATATCGCGTGTTTAATTTTACCGTACAATAAAATAATACTATTGTTATAATTAGTAAAAACTAGGCGAATTTATTATAAAAAATAAATTTCATTACAACGTTAGGCGTGTGGGCTATCTCCGTTTTAAAAACACACGGTAAGTCAAATTTTTGTTCGACCCGACTAATTTAATGCTGTTAGTTTTAATATTAGAATGGATTGACCAATTATCAAACATAAAAGTATAAGAACACTACGTAGGTATTTTCTTTGACATTTTAATTTTTAAGCTAAATATATGCATTTTTAAATATTGTGATATTTCATACGCTCATAATATATAGATACCTACGTACCTATAATTTATTTGAAAATTTAAAAAAATAGGCGTAGTTGCACAATGCAAAAATTGTTCTTATTTTAGATTCTGAATGGAGCGAAGAATGTATTGGTTTTACAAATATGTTTATATTTTTTATTTTTTTTATGTGAACATTTTTCTGCCAAAAAGCTTACTCCGATGTATATGATGTAGACTTTTATTGAAAGGAAATTTTCTTGGATTGGTACTTTAAGGAGATCATTTTTTAATTTTCCCAAAAGTTTTCCCAATAAAAGAGAAAAAGTGAGAAAAAACAGGAAAATGTACAAAATATATTAGTAAAATACTATGATTTTTTTTTGCGTGGACTACTTTTCTACCAGCAATTTTTCTCCAATTTACAATGATAGCACATTTTCTGAATAGAAATCTGATTAGGGAAGTCATTTTTTGATTTTCCCAAGAGTATTCCCAGCAAATATGAAAAAACGTAGAAAAAAACGGGAAAATCGGAACAATATTAAACAAATATTATTAAAGAAAATATATATTGCTTATTTAATTATTTAATCATAATACGACGTATATATTGTTGACAAAGCATCACTATCAACTAAACTCCACTCAGAATCGCTTTTAGTAAGCAATGGTTTATCGTTGCTTACAGATACAAATTAATTTCCCCTCTATATCCTACCTTCCCAACTTCTCACCAACAATAGTAGACAATAGACTGCACCCGTCCCCATTATCCTAGGACAGCTCTTCTAAGTTTGACAATAAGTCACAATTCACTTTAATATTAAAAGTGACAGCGCAAAGTTGTCCCTAATGAACAAAAATTTGTTTTGTCGTGCTACATTCGGGTGTGACGTCCTGGTAATTACTAATAATTTCAAAAAAAAAAAAATTGATTCAGGTTTTTTCTGTCATTATAAAAAATCTTATTGGCAACATTTTAAAAAATGTTACCCTTTATTGTATTCTGTATAAACAAGTAATAATCTACTCATTTGATTTTCAGTAATATCGAATGAATAAAATATATGTATAAGACGTTATAATATTGACGACAAATTCGTTTTGGATTCTGAGCTAAGCATTTTTTTTGTTTAAGTCTTTAAACAACTTTCATTCGATTTTAAACGTAGTTTTCCTTAAAAATGAGAAAAACTGACAGTAATATTCGTATAATTTTTAGTTTATTTCCAGATAAATAGGGCCTGAACAAGAGAACAAGGAAAAAAATACGATTAATAATATTCTACTCAGAATCGTTTTTCGTAAACAATGGTTTATCGTTGCACACATTTTAAATCAAATTACTCTATGCGTAGGTATGTCCTCGCTTCAAACTTCCCTCCTGAAACAGTCGCACATCCGTCAGCAGCATAAGACTTTTTTTTCTTTTTTTTAACCATACTATTTTTAACCGAGATTATTATATAAATAAATTACTATATTTTAATAATCTATATACGCATGTACAACGTATTATTATTAATCGTTACGTCGTTCATTTTACACGTGTTATCGATACATCATAAAAAAAAAAAAAAAAAAAAAAAAAAAAAAACTATGTTTATGTATTGTGGTATATATTATATTCGTTTTAAAGATCAATGAAATAAAAATAGACCGACAACAAAATCAACGACTAGCGGCTGTATAATATTATTAAGAAAACGTTTATGTTGGCTTGTTTTTTTTTTTTTTTGTTATTATTTATTTTGTTTGTGCTGTTAAGTTTTATTTGAATACGCGGCGGCGCGGTGTTCGTAAATCACGAAAAAAAAAAACACTAATAATATCGTCGTCACGTTTCGATCCGAACGTAATAATATTTTATTCGTAATTATTATTATTTTGTTTTTTTTTTTTTTTTTTGTCGTTGTTATTTAGTATTGTATTATTGGAGTCTTATTTACTCTTCACGACATAGATAAGTTCGTAATATTGATTTCTATACAATAACTGTATACATAAATAAAATATTGAAATTTGTTGTATTTCTATGCACACAAACACGTGAGCGCAACGCTGATGGCGAAATAACTAATATCATAAATTTATATAAATATTTATAGGCAGTAGCGTAATCAGGACTTATCAATTAGGATGGGAGAATTCTAGGGGCTACAACCTTATTAACCGTATCTATAAATAAAAAAAAAAACAATGCAGGGTTACAACACCTAAAACATCACCTTGGCTACGCCGTGATTTGCGGGACCCTAAAATCAAATATAAATATAAATGGGGGCACTTTCCGAAAATACCGTAAAAGAAAATCCCAATCAACCAAAGTAACCTTAATTCCTTTCCTCGCCCCAGACAATCAAAATTATTTCCTAAAATTAAAACACATTTTACAAAAGCACAACACAATATAAACCTATCTACTAATAAGTTTTCGATAGACGATACTTTAATAATAATCGAAAAATATTGTAAAATATGTACAAAGTACTGGAAATATAATAAGCCGGTGGTGAACCGAATATGATTTTTTTCATCAGATATCCATAGGTGTCCGCAGACTTTTTTCCGGGGGGGGGAGGCAAACATAATTCAAAGAATATATGAAGATTTTGTTTTATGAAATAAATTCTTAACTTTAATATATCATAATTACTATAGGTATTTTTACTTAAATTTATTATTTTTCGTTAAATACAAATTGTAATCTACGTGAACATTCTCTAATAAATTTTGTTAGTGCTTTTTCAATTAATTAGTCTTTCTCTAAATTTACTTGTTTGCAATGAATATTTAACATGCATAGCCCGCTCAGTCTATGTTCACCAATTATTAATCAAAACCATGTTTTAACACGCCTTAAAGTACTAAAAGAACGTTCTTCTGTACAACTTGTTGCTGGTAGGGGCATAAATATTTCCAAAGCAATTGCTATTCTTGGAAAAAATGTACAGTTGCTGTTTAACAAATCAATAAACTTAATGTCTTAGCAGTCCCGATTTTGCCAAAACTTGTAATAACTTTCTGTTTCAACTTGTAGATAGTAAATTTTAAAGAAATTATAAACTTTTTCAACGCTCTCGAAAAATATTTTTTTTTCGAATTGTTTAAAATTTTCAGGGTGAAGATATTGTAATAAAAAAGCATTATTATTTTCTTTTTCAAAACGTTCTTTTATGGATTGTGTAATTAAATAAGATATAGTAAGATATGGTATAAAAACTGATACTCGGTAATAATCTTCACAACTTTCAGTTTCATAATTTGCTCTTAGTGACTGTTTTTGCCGTTCTTGGACATGTAATTCAAATATCTATAGCATTGGCGATTAATTCAGCTTCGTTAAATAACGTTTGAAAAATTTCATTAGCGTCCTTTCGATGATTATCGAATATTTTTAGTAATGAATCTATAGTATATGTTTGCTGACTTGATAGAGATCTACCGATACACCTTGTAATATATTTGTCACAGGTTCTAAAATGGCACTGTATCTCGCCATAATAATTATAGAAATCAAGAAAGATGAACTTGAGACTGCAGAATATAAGTATTTAAAACCCAGGCTGGGTATTCCCCTTCTTGTCCCCTCCTCAAAGACGCCCATGACGATATCCAATAACTGTTACCAATACATAAAACCTACACCCGATCCGTTATTTGAAACCGATAATTATTATGAGTTAAATTAACCGATAAATAGATTGAAAACCAGGTTGGTGCTTTGTTTTTCACACTGAAATGTTATAGACATTTTTGTCCCGAAAACAACAGGTCAAAGATCGATGTAAAAAAACAAACACAATACACGACATCAACTTATGCCGATATGAATATTTGTAAATTAGTATTTACATATAGTATTTTAATATAGTATTTGGATGCTGTCGGTGCCCCAAAGTTCCAACTTGCACACTGCCTATAATAGTGCTGTGCCACTACGCAACATGCGAATGAGTTGATATTATGTTTAGTTATTATGTGTGTTGATTATTATTTTAATTCGTTGACAAATTACACAAATCTTACCCGTATAATTTATTTGAAGAGTAGGTACATCTCTATAAATACTTTCGAGTAATTTGCCCCAGATTAAGTATAATACAATTCAGTGGTGTATTGCAAGTGTACAGGATATCAGAATATTTACGTCGTATCCCCTTTCAAAATTTCATTATACGAGAAAGTAATTTGAACCTCGACTATAATATTATAATTTAGTATTATTATTATAGTTAACTTTGTTGCGTAATTTAATTTGTTGTTTTTTTTTTAAATTTCAGTTACGTACCGTATTGCACGAGTGATATATGGTCGGGACGGAGAGCCGAACCCCAACACGGTTCGAGATTCACTTTTATGGGTTCTATAGTGATTAAGCAAGTCATCAGAGAACTATTAACGGTCGGTCTGGCCAATGCCGACGCCCTTATACTCTGTGGAAGCAGGTACCTATTATATTATATTAACCGAAAAATCAGTTACCGCCCGTACGGTTTTAACGACACGTTTATGTTTTTTTTTACGATTATGAGAAGGAAACGATTTTAATTATTTGATATTTAACGTAATGTACTACGTTTATCATTACACGGCAAGTACTTAGGTATATATATGTAATAGTTTTATAAATAGTATGATGATTTCAAGCAAGCCCATAGCAGGACAAACATTTTGGGAGAGGTTTTCGTTTGAACCATCGGTTACTTTCGTTACAGACATCTTGAAAATAATAAATAATACTTTTTTTAGAAAAAATTCCTTTTTTAGGAGAAGATATATTTTGGAAACCCTATTTTTTTACTCTATCGTAAAATCAGCGAATGTCGACCATTGAAACATGAACTCGATGCATGTCTTAAAGTAAAATATTCGCAAGTCTCTAACGCAAATAAATTATTTGGTCGTAACTCGTACAGAAGACACAAAGAATCTATTTCAAAAACTTTATTTACCAACCAATACACATACCTGCCGTTGGTGACCAGAGAAAAAATTAACCAGACCAGCCTTAAATATCCACACCCTGGAAAGATCGTGTTATAATAATTTTCGGTGATATTCACACAGACACCTAATTGCGAAAAATTTGGTCGTGCATTTTTCTGGGAGAGGGGGGGTTTAAATAGTTTTATTTTTTATTTTGAAGGTCCATTAACGTTTAAAAATTCTATTAAGAATAGTTTATAAACACTTAAAATAATAATATATATATAGTATATAGACGAATTTACACGGTTTTCGTTTCAGTGCTGGGGGCGTAGGAGTGATGTTGAATCTGGACCCTATTCAAAAGATGTTGAGACAGTACAGCGGCATGTCTGTTCACGGTATCATGGACTCCGGTTGGTTCATGGACCAACAAAAATACGAATTCGGAGACGCGGGCGGCAAGTATCCGTCGCCGATCGAAGCCGTAAAAAAAGGCATCCCTTACTGGCACAGTCAGATACCGTCCAGATGTCGAAACCTTTACATCAACGAGCCTTCCAAGTGTTTTATCGGTTACAAAATTTACCCTACGGTGTCTGGTAAGTGTTTTTTTTTTTTTGGCCTAACACACGTAGGTCCAAGGTCGACGGGTATCCGCCGTTTATACGAATAGTATTTTAAGTGACTTGATAGATAACGCGTATTTCATTACCTAACCCTAAAACAATTCTCATGAGATGTTTTTACATACCTATATACTCAACCCCGTGGTACATGATTGTATTATCTACGTCAAATACTTATATAAGAACGTCATAATTCCGTCTAATATTTCTGCAGACAGGAGTAGTCACACCCCTCGATGCGCTTATTATATTTTAACAAACAAAAGAGTATAATATTCTCGATCAAACAATTGCATTTGCATTTTTCAAAATCACGATTACGACTACCTATATATAATATTGTACCTACACCTATTCAAGTGAAATAATTAAAATAATACGTAAAGCAAGTACGTTCATTATTTTTTTCTAACGGGAAAGACGGTGCGCGGTAATCTAAAAGTCATTAAAAATACCATTGTCCAATAATAATATACCTGTTATTATAATCACGACAAAATTTATGCGCAGTTCCATTGTTCGTGTTCCAATGGCTGTACGACGAGTTCCAACTGAAAAACGACGTCGGCACGCCGGTCACCAAACAACAGTGGGACTACATACACAAAATGGGAGAAGGATTGCGCAAGTCGTTGCTGAACGTCACGTAAGTGTCATGGCTTGGTTGAATCAAGGGTCACCGTCCGTTAGTGAAGTACAGTGGAATAGCCAGGGTTCTTTTATCCCTAAGAGGGGCTAAATACGTTTTTTGATTGAATAGTAGAACTTTTCCCAAAACAAGTTCAGAAAAGTTTTATCATCAACATACATTTGAATGGATTATTTAAAAATAAAAAACTAAATAATAAAATGAGAGTATATTAATACTATACTACATTATTATGTACAGAATAAACAACCCTCTGACAGATTTATCCTTTTTAAATTTTGAGCAAAGACAGTACCTAAATAAATCATCATTTCCATTAATGTTTTCTTTATATTTATATTAACCGTAGACGTCATTACGAGGTAGCGAGAGGTAGCAACTGCTACTCCAACTTTTTTTATCGGGGTTGCAGATTAATCTGATCACGCTACCCTAAAAGTAATTTTAAAAAAAAAAATTATATTTTTCTTGCTTTTTTCATTATATAATTATAATTAGTGCAATCACAAGAACGTAATACATGTATACTATCAGTTATATCGAATATTCATAATATAAAGATCAGTCAACCAATTATTTATACTTCCAAATTTATTTGATATTTTTCTATCGAATTATAATGAACAATAATTGACTAGGATCTGATTGACGATCCACCGACTAATGAAGTGAGGGACATCCAATCAGACCACAACTGAATTAAAAATATTACACAAACGATATGCTTGCTACCCAGTGGCGTCATTTTCGGGATGCAAGGGTACATCACATGAATTGCTTTTAACACAGTTAAAACATGTAGAATGTAGATGCAGATAATTTCATAGAATTTTCAGAATAATAAAGTTATTTTGTAATAAAATTTACAAAAATGTTTTGTCACGATAATTTAGCGATAATTACATTGATATAGATATGAAACTGAAGTTTAATACCCTTATAGATTAGTACCGATGTGGATATTGCCCATTTTTTTTTCAAATTTAATTTGATCAGTATCAAAAAACATAAAAACAGCATAAATAATATAGATGCCTGATAGAATATGCATCGGTAATATAATTATTATGGAATAGTGAATTTTGTATTTTATTATTGTTAAAAATATATAATGTTCTATACAGGTATGTTCTACACTGTTGAATGTAATTTGTGCAACTTACATAAACAGTATTTAATGAGTACCTTTCTTCATACTCAATTCGTTTATGTTTATTTAAAATACCTTATGCTAAGATAACATACTGAAATAGCTATTGAATGTATAAGGTATTATCAATAATCAATATAATAATATAATATAATTGAAAAATAGAATTTTTTATGGAAATGTATTCATTATATGTTCTCTGAATAGTACGCAATCAAAACGAACGGCGTTGTTATTGAATTTTGCATCCCGTGAAAAAACACCCTTGTTGCTGCTACCCCGTGATTTCATTACAAATGACGTCCATGGTTAAATAACTAAGTTTGTTTGATGATATAGTGTTCCTCCTTAAATACGTTTTTCTTTTTTTTCTTTTTTTTTTTTTCAAAACCGAACACTCAAATATCATAATAGTTCAGCTCCCCTGGCTACACCTCTGTATCAATAAGAGTATCGATATACCTATAAGTTTTCATATTGTGGTCGTGTATAGGTCGGTGTTCGCTCCGTCATGCGTGTCGCACACGGTGCTCACGAAAAAGCACTGGAAAAACATAAAAATCGACTCGGTATCGCTGCCGTCGGCGTTGCACTGCTGGCAGACCGAGACGAGATTCGCCAAGATCAACAACAAGTCAAAATCCGGTGGTCCGGCGAACAACAACAGCAACAACAACAACAACCACCGAAACAAGAAAGCGAACGGAATCGATAAGCAGACGGCTGAGAACGCGTTAAAGAGGAAACAGAAAATACGCAACAAAAACGGTCAACAACCCAGAGGTATACAATTGTATTATTAGAATTATTTATAATCATGGGGCAAGCCCAAAAAGAAAAAAACTGCAGTGTCGATACGACTAGGGCTGAAACCAAACTAAAATTAAAACTAACTAAACACGCTGGCTAAGAGAAATGCTTAGCTGCTTATAGCGAGAAGCTGACGGTAAAAGATTGGTCGTGGTTTGCGGTGTACATAAACTGAATAATAGAGGAGTTTTCTAGTCGGAGATAAAGGAATATGGAAAAGGACTGACGAGCGAGTAAAGCGGAACGGGACTTTGAAGGAAACTTGGCATTAGAAAGACAGATTATACCCATTTCTACGGTCGACGAGACAAGGGATTAAGAAATTCCCCGCTTAATAGTGGAAAATAATTTTTAACGAGTTTTGTTTTATATTTTTGTCTACTGTCCGAATCGATAACACCAACCAACCAACCAATAATTATTAACACGGTCATATTTTTACTATGGATTATTGTATAGTGATCGTCCAACGCGACAGAGTTCACAAAAAACGCAGACGTCATCATAAAAATCGTGAGACTTGCCGACACCAGTACATCCAGAGCTGCACTTGGCCACAGTGCAACAATTCGTGCCCGAAACTTCAAAATCCGAACACTGGTAAGTACCTACATTCAATAGCATACACACATCATAATAATGTATAGTCTGAACATTTTCAAATAAAATAATGGAAATATATTCAGAAGCCTACTTATGTCTGCAACAAACTCGTACAAAGAATTTCAGAAAAATTATTTAAATGCATAACCTACATTATTTGTATTTATTTATTCAATCAATATCAATCAAAATATTAATAAACACAAAGTATACAAATTGAAAATAAATTTTGAACCCATAGTATGGAGTATAAAGAATTTTGGTGAAGCTGTCCCAAACAAACAAGCTTTTGATAGGGAACAACGAGTTAAAATACATACACGCAATAAATTATTCACGATTTAAAATAATACTAAAAATAATATGAAATTCGAAAAATAAATTAACTAATTATATTCGTAACGAACATACGCCACAATTTCGAAATTTATTTACATAATAAAGTTTCTAAGTGAATTTTGAATTTACCAAAAATGTGGAAAATGTTATCGCATAGCATACAATCGACATTATTAATGTCGATTTTTCCAGTCCATATGTAAATAACGCCATTATATTATGAACAAAATAACAAAAATACAGAGATACTTTTCACGATAAGTAGACCACTGTTGTAGGTGAAAAGCTAGGAAGGTAGTATACAGGATCGGTGATCAATCTACCGTAATACACTCGATATCTCAGAAAGTGTTAATTTTTTTACCAGAATTTATTATTTAGAACATTTGAGAAACAAGTTGCTCTACAATTTTAAATTTATGTTATTTTTTGTCACCCTTATTTTTAGGGATAAAACCACTAGCTACTTTTGATTAAAAAATGGCAATCTACATTAAAAATTCCATAAATAGATGGAATATTATTTAAAATACAGTTTGGTGTTGACATTTTTGATTTCCGTCAATCCGTTGACGAAATATTCTCCCTCAACAAAAATGTAGAGCAGCTTGTTTCTTAAATGTTCTAAAAAATAAATTCCGGAAAAAGTTAATACTTTCCGAAATAATGAGTGTCTTATGATAAATTGATCACCCCGTATAGAGGGCGATTTAATTTATATCTGTAGGAAACAAAAAATGATTTTTTTTTTTTTTAAATGCATGTACGTAAATTTTTCATTTATCCCAATTATGAAAACCACTTGGAAATCAAAAATGACCTTCTTAGAGTGCCATCCAGATAAAATTTCCTTTCATAAATGACATTACATTTTAAAATCGGAACAAGATTTCTAGTTAAAAAGTTGTTCATAGATAAATAAAGAAAAAAAGGAATAAACATTATTGTAAAACCAATACATTCCTTGCTACACACCGAATCTAAAACTTGTGAAATCCAAAATGTTAACTGAAGTCTAATAATAAATCAACATTCATATATTATGGATCTCGAAAATAAAGTAAAAACACAAAATATAATATAAAAACATAAAAATAAACTTTTAAAAGTTAACGCAAAAACAATACGTAAAAAACTCTTAATATGTAAAACACTCTCTCAAAAGCTTTGTGGTCGCAACTTGATTACTTGAAAATAACTCAAGATTGGATAGTATTGAGTATAATATTTCGCGTCTATACATGGATGTTACAGGAGAAGAAGTGGACTTTCTCGAGCTCCTACAGTCATTCGGATTGAACATACGGAACCTGTCAACTGAACTCGGAATTGATGTGGAATCACTAATACATATGGACCAGGAAGAATTACTCAACTTACTCACTCAGCAGGCGAATTAATTGACTTTTTAACTATGTATAACATTTATCCTCGCGATCATTACGAAGTCGACAAAACACAGTGGGCAAATATATAATAGGAGTAAACAAGTCGACCCAAATTTTCGAAATGTGTCACCTGTGATAAATTTTTACCAAAAAATAATGTTTGTAAATACATACTAGTTTTTTTTTTTTTAGAGTACGGAATTCAGTCAATTTTTTTTTAATGTATATAAGCGTTTTGTTCATTTCGTTATAGGTAACCAAACTCTTAGACTACCATGTTGTAACAATAACATATTGCTTTTGAAAGTACTTTGTTATTTTTGAGTACAATTTATTCCTTTATGGGACCAATAAGATTTTTTTTTTTTAAATTCATTTACTGTATACCAAACTACCTGTTCCTTAATTTTTAAAATTAGTTAACACCTAATATTTATATACTTAAAAATAAGTCAATATAATAATATGTAATTATACATTTCATAAATGCGGTTTTTAAAATTTAAAATAAATATAATCATTAAATTATAGATTCATCAGTACTGAGCAGAATTGGATAAATCGCATTTATGAAACACCAGACCTAAAATAGTATAGTATTAAAGAGTTACTACTTTAGATTCTTAAGGAATTAGAATTCATACATTTCAACTTTGATCATAAAAAAAAGGAGGAAAGTTCCAAACAAACAAAGTACAGCAAAACCTGTCTAAGATGGAAATTTAAATGGTCCCAAAATTGAATTTCACACTTAACATATTATAAACTTCTATAATTGGAAATTTGCGATGAACATACATTTTCTTCAGACACCAGGAATTCCGTTTTAGACAGTTTTCACTGTACTTTTGTCAGTGTTATGTATTCCTTTTCAGCAGTTTTTAAATATTAAGAATAATTATTGTTAAGATAGATTAATAAATTATTTATTTTTAACATATTATTATTATTATCTACTTACAATGCAATTATTTGTATTTATTTACAGTGTGTGAAAAATTTGTATTAAAAATGATAAAAAAAAATGCATTATTAATAATGAATACGTTTGTGTAAACGCACATAAGTGTGTATTTAATAAAATAATAATTTCCGTACAAATTTAAATTTATAATATAAAATTAGTCATGTGATTGGTCATTGTTTTTGTTTTGCATTTTACTCTATTTCCTAAATTTTTGTGTAGTTGAAAAATAATCTCAATTTCCATTTTCAAAGCCATACTGATGAAAATCTTTGAATATAACATTAAAATTTACCCAAACGCATCCTTGACTTCTGACTCTTGTCACTATAATATTAAATAAGGATAAGAATTTATTTTGATATGTATACAATCGGAAGAAAAAAATATTTAAGTCTTATATATTTCTACCTTCTCTGCCATCACCTCTAGCTAGTAACCGTGCATCCACATACTCGGGTCTTCTACCAGTTAACCACGAAGTCATTTTTTGTAACATTGAACTGGATTCAGGGACAAACATTGTGATCCTGTAAATTATAATCATTACTTTAAGTACTAGAAACAACATTATTAATACAGGCCAAAATAATTTGACAAAACCAATTATAAAATTAATATATATAATTGTAGATTTTTATAAACACGATTTATAAAAATTAATTTTAAACAAGAATAAAAACCTTGTTTAAATAAAATTATATGGCTTATACCAGTGGTGGCCAAATTTATTTTGGTATAGATCTACTAATATTATATTTTCCCTTTGAGGATCGACTTTCTAACAATAAAGTATAATTATAAATTATGTCATAGGTATTAATAATAAACATACATATACAAATAATAAACCTAAAATACATAATTAAATAATGTTTTACATCACACTATGATTAAGACTAATATAATATAATAGTAAATAAATTACCAGTATAAACACTGTTGAATTGTATTACTTGATAAATTTACAACAAAATAATGATAATATATTAAGATAAAAATTATCAGCAATTAAGATTTATCTAGAAATTACATAAAAACAACAAATTCTCACAAAAAGGAGATAGACATTTAAATTGTCTGTGGTCTACCGGTCAATTGTGATCAATCATTTGGCCACCCCGGCTTATACATAATTAAAATTCAAGTTTATCTACCAATGATTAAAGTTTTAACTTAAAAAGGTACTTTTTGGTTATCACAACTACGGTATCACAATTTCGTTATCGCAACTACCAACAATAGTTAAAAAATATTATAATATCGATTTGAATATAAAAATAAAATTCTATATAATTGATAAAATTAATAATTTAAACAAGGTGGAAAATGTTGTGATTGTTGATTAATAAATCAACTAAGAGATCATCTGTATGAAGAGCTTGACGCCACATAAACTCTACCAAATAGCTATAAATAAACATGCTGACAAAATGTTCTCCTTTGTTTTTTGTATCGCCATTTAGCTGATCCCCACAACTGTTTGGTGATTGAAAGTTGAAACCCGCCTTTTCTAAATCTTGTTTTATAACCATGCTAATAATCAGAATAGATGGTTGTACCTACTTTAATATTATTTTAATTTACATCTAATAGTGTAGATGCAGTCCTATCTTTGACCTAGATTAAAAGCATTCTTTTATTTCTTTACAAAGGCCTCCAAAAATCCATTGGTGAGGTAAAATTTGTCCAGCGTTGTTTTTACGTTTTGTAAAAAGACTTTCGTCAATTTCAACAATTTTTTCATTTAAATTTTTCAATCTTAACACACACAATTCACGCATATAAATATTCCAATTGACTGTACTGCTGTATATTATCACAAATATTAAGTTGTTGTTGACACTATTTTACAGATTTCCAGAATAACGTATAAATATACGTAGTTGCGATACCGGAAAATCATCGGTAGTTGCAATAACCAAAAAGTACTCCTATAAAATTTGAGTGGCCTGGTCACCTTTGTTTACTTCACATATACACAACTATTATATTATCTTTACATTAAAAAAAAAAAATGAATTAAATAATTGTTAAAAATTCAGCATCATCGGGGAAGAGATCCAGGTCACCCTAATTTTCTAGGTTTTAACTTGGAGGCGCCCCTCACATTATTCTAAAATCATTTTACTGTCACTCACTAAAACAGTATCCCTCTATGAAATGTTCATTGTCTAAATTTAAATAACTAACTTTTGGGAAGACTGTCCGTTAACCAATGGTAAATGGCACACGCCATAGCCTCTCACGACATCGTTTCCAAAAGTATCCAATCCATATACGCTTACGATTAGTTGTGGCCCTGAAAATACAAGTATACATGAAACTATGATTAACCTTTTTAAATAAAACTTAATAAATACAATTAAACATTGTTGAATATTTTTTGACAGAAATAAATTAACAACTATTCCACAAGTGCTTCGATTTTTTTTATTAACATTACGGATTCATTATTTTTTTAGTAAACATTACAATAATAAAACCATGAACTATAACTACCTACAAAATAGGTTTTGTATAACTACAATTAATCAGTGTTCAAATATTTTTGGTACTGAGTGCAATATATCATGGATAAACAATAAAATAAACAAAAGAAATAATATTATTGTGTCAGATAAAAAGAGATAAACGAAAATCAATACAGTGCAATAGAGTATTGTTTAAACCAAATGTTCGAACCGTACATCCATGGGGATTAGTACTCTTAAAAGAAACATCTAATGGAAAGTTCCATACAACTAATTGTCTTTCATCTTGACTTTTTTGGGCGATTTGTGATATCCCTTCTTCTATGCCCTATTTTTATAATGCACAATCATGGATTATCGTTTGAATATCGACCCCGAATCGGTATTCGAAGTGCAACACTTACAGTGACAATTTCCCAGTCAGGTCCACAAACGAAGACATATTTGCAGTACATGTTGTCGAAGTTTGGGAAGTGGGCTTTTTCGATTTGACCTACTGCTGAGACCAAAAACACTCCGCTCGCCGTTTCACTGTCGGTCATTTTTAGTTCACTAGTATGAATTTATTCTAAAAGGGAAACTTATAAATTCATAATGACGAAACCAATGAAATTAATTAGTTAATAAATCTTCCACTTGACAATAGTTTTGTTTACAATTTACTGATATATGATAAGGCGATAATACGAAATGGAGATTGTTATCTTCGGCGCTATCAGGCAGTGTGACCAAGACATTAAATTACTGTTTTCCCAGCAGTATACTATCGGCATCCCGCCTCCCACGATAAAAAGATAATAGGTACATAACAATAACATATTATTTTTAATCCTTTTGTTTGAGTCAATTATTATTATTATTATTATTAATTGATGTTCAACAGCTTTTAGAGTAAAACAGTATATAAAAATAAACACAGTACCTAATTATTATAATATAAGTACAATAAAAATAAATAATAATACACAATGGTCAAATAACTTTTTTACTTTCTGTTAACTCGGATAGTACACAATATCATTATTCATCAACATTATTTGTTTTCCATTTATTTCTCCATTATATAAAAAAATTTTATATATTTTATAATACCTTCTATAGTTTTATAAGAGCGAAGCGAATAGGGGCTATCTTCTAATAATATACTAATATATACTCCGTTCCAAATAAGAACACAGAGCGGCAAACAATAATTTGTCAAAATTTGTGCAGCCGACTAACGGCAACCAATCAGTGAGAATAGACTCAGCCAAGGGAGCAGGGCGTCACTCCGTGATAAATTTGGATACGTTCTTATATGGAACGAAGTATAGTTCTGTTTTTAATTTCTTTATCTATTGGGTGATAATTATTTTAAAGCGTTTTTAATGTAAGTACAGTCCAAAGACATCCAATATGAAGAGAATATGTAAACAACAATTGCTAAAGGAAAAATAAAGCATTTTCACATTCATGCCAAATTCTATGCGAATGACAAAAATCTACAAACTATTCACATTTACAACTATAGTAAAAGGTCAGTCATTGTTACAACAAGGCTTATACCATTGACCAGTATTTTACAACATTATACACAATAATTATATCATGAAGGCAGGAGTAATACAAATTTAATAATAAACTCCCAAGAAGAGAACACGGTGTTATTGAACATCAATGTAATATTATATTTTTTTTAATCGTATTGTCAACAAATTTTACAACACATCATAGGTACTCTACTATCAATATATTATTAAGCTTCATTGGCCAACACTCGGGAACATCACAAATAATATAATATAGGTATAAGGAATATTGCAAGGTTCTATCTGTTGAATAAAGAATATTAATACAGGAAATGTGCACCATGTGTGTAACGATTAAACACTTATTTAAATTATATAAGAAAATATATAAACACTTAAAAACACCAGTATAATAACTGTATTAAAAAACGTATGTAAATTTAACCTATTTACAAAATTTATCATTATCGAATAGGTCCCTTACATTACAGTAACTTGCTAAAAACATAAGAACCTATCCTAAAATAATGAGAATAAAAAGAACTGATATAAGTTAATGGGTAATACCAATTATTAGGTAAAGTTTACCTAAATTGTCTAATATGGTCAGAGCACTTGTGTTACAGACAACGAATATCTTAAAATTATGTTGTAAATTGCTAAATTACCTTTAACTGTACATATACATATTATATAAAAGAGCAAAACTATCTTCTCTGATATGGATGATTTCGAATTTGTCTATTCTGATATTGAGGAGGGATTTGAGGTCGATTACTTCTGTTAGTAAACAGTCTCTTGTTTGGCACATTTCCCCTGAATTGTTGATAGGCTATGTCTGAATAATGTTGACTGCTGTCTACAAAATGTTGAGATCCATTATTGTTGTAACTTCCCTCAAAATCTCGATTGAACACACGAGTTTCATATATTTGTCTGCTTTCTTCTTGCATTTCAAATTCTGAGAACGATGATGGTGAGGGCAGTTGTGGTTGCTGATGTAACACAGTTTCTCTACGACTGTAATTTTCATTGTAAGGCGGTCTTGGCGGAACAGATTCGCCCCTAAACATAGGAGCCATTGTATCGCGAGACCTATATTGTTGTTCCGGCACTGTATTTATTATATTTGGAGGTTGAGTAAACATTGTGTTCGCAAATGATCGAGCTACATTTTGATGAGGTGGACCATAAGGGAACATGGGATAACTTGGAGGCCTTATAGGTGGTGGTGGTGGTTGCATTGGGGGTGGTGGCAGTTGAGCAACACCTTGTGGCATTAAAATTTGATTAGGCGCTGGTGGAAGGGGTGGAAGATTTGGAGGAGGCGGTGGAGGGGGCATTACTGGTAATGGTGGTCTTGTTAGTGGTAATGGAGGTCGCTTTAAGGGTGGCATTACTTGTTTAGGTGGTATAGGAGGTGGGGGCAAAAATGGTTTCTGCGCATTTTGAGGAAGACCAGAATTAATTGGTTTAATTCCCGGTGGTGGCATGGGTGGCAACGAATGATTGACTGGTAAAACGTTTGGCGAAGTTGCCAATTTCACATTTTTCGATATAGCTGCTTGCATCGCTTGTTCAGGTGTAAGCACTACAATAAAAATAATGATACGAATAATACTTAACTAACTCTAACAATATTCCATGCCTTTTCAACATAAAACTATTTAGTTTAAATATTTCAAACTTACTGTATTTAGAAGCCATTTTTTCCAATAATAATTTCTGATAAACCGATTGTGGTGGTATTATTTTCTTGGGAACTACAAATTTATCTTGATTAGGAGGAGATGGTGGAGCATTCCTATCTGGTGATGAATAAAGATCAAGTACTTGATGACAAATATCTATAAAAGATATAATTATAAATTGATGAAATAATAAAAAACTATAATATTTTTCTTCTACATAAAAACGATGAACGCATGAAATAATTGTTAAATCACATATGAACTATTTCTGTTTATTATAAATACATTAAAAAAATTATTTATTTAATCAATTATACTAAAATCAAAAATAATTTTTTTTCTTATTTTAATTTTATCATAAATGTATAGCAAACATAATTTAAACATAATTTGTAAAATTTAATTTTTAGAACATTTACACATTTGACTTTTCCTTCCAAGATAATTTATAATTTGACTGGTTGAAATGTTGTCTTTTGAAAATATTATATGGACTTAATTTTTACATTGATCAAAATGAGTTATTTAATATTATTGACTTATATGAAAATTTTATTGCGGTTTTTTTTTTTCAATTGGATTGATTTTTAGGGAACTATTATAAAACTAAAATATGCATGTTTTATATTATAATAAAACAGTAATTTACTAATATTCTGAAGCCTAAGACAATTTACAATAATTAATCTTCATTATCTTTTAGAATAAATTTGGATTTTAGCAAAGAACGTAGTATGTATTTTAATTATCTAGATAACAATGTATGTTTGAAATGTTATTAGTAGGATTTTTTAATTAAATAGAAAATTATTATGATTACCAATATTAGTGAGTATTTATTATACTTTTTTTTTATTTTTCCAAAGATCTAAAATGTTAATTTCAAAAGCTTTAAAAAAATGTTAACCTTTTAAACATACTAATATTCTTAAGCCAGGGTGTATAAAAAAAGATTTATAAATATATTAACCATACTGTAACATACCTATAACTTGGAAGTAGTATTACATAATATAATTTTCAATTTAATGTTAACCGCAATTACCAGATAAATTAAACCACACATAATGTTAAACAAAGTGAAAACTGATAAAACCATTATACCATTTTATCTTCACGCACCTTTACTTTAATTAATTCTGAATCTTTATTTGAAATCTACATAATCATATTCTATGAGCGGATTACTCTTGTCACAAAAATATCCTACTCCTGATAGCATAATAAAAACCTTAATAATACAATAATTGTTGTCCCTTAATGGCGATAATTAAACAGTTTATAATGAATAAAAAGATTTCCTAGGATACACAAATTTAAAAATACTGCAATAAAATAGATGACATCAATCTGTAAAAGTTTCTGAAACCAAAATTAGATTTGAAGGTATTGTTAAAGCTCTAATTTTGATTATTTTGAATATTGATACTGTTGTCTACAGTTCTGTAAGTTAAATTTAAATTACAATAATTAAATATTTAAAATAGTATTGTCAACATAATAATTTTATTATATTTTTTTTTCATATATTTATATTATTTAGTTTGACTTTTAACATATCACTAGACTACTTTATTTTATTCTGTCCAGTTTAACTTATTTCAATTGTTAAATATATAATATACATATATAAATAAATGTAATAAATATAATATATATATTGTTTTAGGCTATTTTTTTTAAATATAAAAACAAAATATATAACTAACCTTCAAGCAAATCCATATTCATTCCCTGAACAAACATATCCCACCATCGTAAATGATTTGGCAAACGACCCTGCCAATCATTTAGTTCAAATTTACTCAATTTACAAGCTAAATACATCAATGAAACTGCTATGACTTCTGGTTCCCATTGAAGGCAAAGTGTTGTACATAAGCTGCAATATTAATGAACATTAAGAAATTGATTTACGACAAAAAAACAAACAAAAATCAGAAACAAGACTATAAATTATACTTTATAAAAATATTTTTTAAAGTTTAAATTAAAAATATATTTTGTTCAATGTAAAAACCACATAGTTGGAAATTGTATATTTCTTTAAATAGTGATAATATTCAGTTCATCCATTAAATTAAATAAATAACAGTTTTTACCTATCATTCACAAATGTCCAAGCCATTTGAACCATTTTAGTTAGCTTAGCCTTATCACCTGTTAAACACAAAATATAATAGTTGAACTATTAGAAGAAGTTAAAATTAATAATAAATGCATACCTGGCATACCTTTTAAACACTTGGCATACTTTAATAAGAACTGATATGGGTGATCAACTTGGAGATCAAATTTAATTGTTTGCAACAAAATACGTTCGAGTACCATCACTTCTTCCTAAAAGATTACATATATTAAATAAACAAACAACACAATAAAATTAATTATACACAAATAACTAAATTATAATATTAACTACTAAATAAAAGTTTGATAATTAACCTTGGGGTCCATTCCGAGAGTTTCATATTTATCCTCTGGTAACAACGCTTTAGCTATCTTTATAATATCTTTACATTTTTTTGGAGTTTCTTCTACTTTACCCGCAAGGAATAGACAGCAGCACGCTGTAAGCTAAAATAAAAAATTTGTAAAGCACTGTAATTAAATAAAAAGTAATACCTATTTAGCCAAATCAATGGAACATTTGTGATAAGAGAGATAATTATTAAAATTATTATTTCTAACAATTTATTCTTTAACAGTAAATATCATTACAATTTATAATGATATAATCTTTGGGGTAGTTAATAATATTGTCAGTATCAAAAGTATTATAAGTACATTATAGTAACAAAATGACATAAAGTGTGTACAAAGCTATTGATTGATACAACCATAACCTACAAAATTATTATTCATATGGATGTATGATTATAATCATAGAAATCATTAAATGTATCAAATATTACTGTAAGGAGTAATTGTTTAAACAATTCAAGAATTAAATGACAAATATTTTGTAAAAAAAAATTGTCCTACATTTCAGAATACTTATATATAAAATCACTATAAAAATGTGATTAGGTTTTTAATTTCTAATGAATTGGTTTATTTAAACTTTGTATTACCTATTTTGAATTTGTAAATTATAGTACAAAATATAAAAACATTAAATTCCACAGTACCTAAATTAATAATTTCATAGAATATGAAGTACTGTGATAGTACTTAGGTACTTTTATACATTTAATCAATAAATGAAACGAGAATTTTAAGAAAATCAATAATTTTTAAAGTGAACTATTGAACTCAATAAACCTAGATGTTTCTATATACTTACGATAAATTTACTCAAACTTACATATCTAGGAAATGTCTTAAACGAATGGTACATATAAAAACGATGGAAATAAACAACACCAGTAGCCATTGTGTTGTAACCCAAGTCCATTTTAGTACCAGCATCAATGATGAACCGTGCCCCTTCTTGACGGTAGCGAAACTCAATCTCATGTGGGATACCATCCTGAGCAGAGGCAGTCCGGTACAACTCATCCTTATCGAAATACCAAAAAGCCATCTTAATTGTATTTTCAAATCATAGTGTAATTGTCTGAAAAATAAACGTTTTATATTTTGGTCATTTTAATAAGTGATGTTCTTATTACCTAGGTACTTACCAATACTAATAAAAGGTCATGATAAAATAATATAAAAATGTAGTACTAAAAACGAAATGTGCATTTCTTGAATGCAAAACCCAGACGTATTTGATTGATTACAGCGATACAGCCAACACGGGCGAAAAATGAAAACGCAAGTGCCTGGTGTCTCAGTGTCTGTAAATGTAAATTTTCATTTGAAACAACTATTACAGCTATCGCCTTCACGATACCAACATCATGCCGTTAAATTATGGACACACACAATCATGAAGATAGTCACGGTATCAGTAGATTGTAGTTTCGAAATATATTCAAAAGCGGCCAACAAAAATAGTTAAATTATTATTATTACTGTAACGAGTGTAACGCGTACGTTTATGGATTACATCTTTGCTAATTAACACGATACAATAATAATGTCGATAACGGAAGTAGTTAATAATTTCAAATAAACTAATTGTTTTTTATTTTTTAGTACAGTACTCATGTGAGCAGATCTACAGAAAAAATAAAAATATAAATCAATATTATTATCTTTTAATCGTAGTTGATTCAAATAATATTACGTCATCACCATCAAATAGGTATAGTCAAGGGAACATTATATTTTAGATGATTAAATAATAAATTCGGTTTATTATCTAAAGTCTTAAACAACCGATATAGGTAGGTAGATAGGCATTGTGTTAATATTAATGACTTGGGATATATTTGTAAAAATTAATTTTACAACAGTTTATACTTCGAAACTCGCAGAAATAATATCATTTTTTTGTTATTAATTTTAAAACTTAATAATTTGTCCAACGGTAATGCAATAAGTGTATGTGATGGAAAAAAAAATAAAAATTCATGAAATTTTGCCGGAAGATGACAACTAGCAATACTTTCCAACTTGTAAATAATATTGCAATTTTTTTTTTTCTAATGGTTAAGTTAATAAGTTTGCACCAATTGCGCTTAAGGCGCCCAGACGGATTACAGAAAATAGCTATATTCGCTGGGTTTAGGATTAAAGGACTATAAGAGCAGCTGAGCTTTGAATGGAACCACTTGTAAAAGTAAGTATAAGTACCTAAATATCTTTAAAAGGAAAGCGGATAGGAGAGGAGAATGGAAATTAGCTGCAAACCAATCTTAGGATTGTAACTGAGAGAGAGAAAGAGAAATACCTAAATATAATTAGTAAATAAAAGTAAGTTTAATGTGGGATTTGTAGATGAACAGTTTGGTGTTTAGTTTCGTATGTTTATTGGTCATTATACTTAATAACCATCCAATAAAGTGTTTTAAACATTTGTATAGAGAGTTGAAGCCTTTTGGCTTTGATATGGTGAGTCCAGGTCAAGGGTTAATCAGAAATATTTAACAGTAGAATTTGATGGGATTTGGGTGCCATAAAGAGTTACATCAGGAAATTGTGCTAGTTTAATAGTGAATTTCTTATGATGAATCAATTTGGTTTAATTAAAATCGCTACTTAATAAAGAAATAACACCGACCAATTGATTTCCACCCATTATTATTATTACTATACATGCCAGAGACGATATGAATATTATTTTTATCGGTAGGTACCTATTTATTTGCATTTAAATTTACTTTTGACTACGATTCCGTGCCTCTATAGTTGTTGAGGCGGTCGGAAACACACATTGAAACAGGGACTTATTGAAGTCCGTAAAATATCAAATACTACAGGTGGGAAAAAATACTTGACAGCAAATACCTACTATGGATGACGATCAGTACAGGAAGCTCGTCGGCATTTTTCGGAAACACTGTATTAAGTATCTATTGTGCGTTCAAAATCTTGATGGTTGCTCCTTTAGCCGTATGTATTTCTCAAAGAAAGACTAAATTGACGACCATCATGGAGTAAGTGCGCTATGTCAGCAGCAAGTTTTTACAGAACTTTCCGTATTCCTATACATAGTATTTGGCGACAAACACGCCCACTGACACAAATAGGAAGAGGAGTACTTGGGTGGTTTGACTTTCCTAAAACTCATCTTATCACCTCCCTCCACCCACTCAAATCGCGTACTTATCAAATAAATACTAAGTATACATAAGTAATCAATAATACCGAAAACCAAAATGTTTAGACTTTTTGCGTGTATGACGCCCACGCCCAATTATTGTCCTAGAAACGTAGCAATTGCCTACAGCTGCCCCTAACAGATATAGCGGATTTTCAATAATGTATAAATTACACCTAATAGAATAATAATGTAAAACACTGTAGACAAATTGAAAATAATTAACCATTATTGACTATTTTACATTAAAAACTTTCGGTTTGTCATTAGGTGGCTACGTCATTCCCACATACTTCTTACCTATATTATTATTGCTTGATTATATATTGTTCGTACATTACTTACACCCGACGTTTACACGTACTACGTTGGTTTATAGTAGTATTATTAAATTCGAATCCGACCACAAATAATTGGGATAAAGGCGAAGGAAAAGATTCAAATTTATAATACACAATTGACATAATATTAAGGGGTAACTATAGGCAACTATGTTATCACACATTTTTGGATCTGTCGGCGCCTGATAGTTGAAGAGTATTATTGTCGAGTGTCGCATATTGACATTAATTTATATATAGAATATACAAATTATTATTTTTTTTAATAAACACAATTTTTAAAATTCTTTAAAGATATTGTACCTATAACCAATACAACACCGCGATTCGATAAAAAACGACGAAAAACAATTACAGGCGCCCGGGTCGGCCATATCGTATAATTTAGCTGGTTTTATACCTGTACAAACGTAATATATACTGAATATAATAATATGCAAGTTGTTCTCACCTGCTTGTCGATTGATGCCCGTGATGTTCTATCAACTGTTCTACAGAATATCTTCAGCAGATATTCCGGGCCAGGCCGTACTTCGTTATCGACTTTTATTTTGATCAAATGATCGGAACGATTAAATCGACAAGATAGTCGATTACGATAGCATTTATATCAAGGGTTTAATTTTTTTGAATGACGATTATGATAGCATGCAACACCACACTACGGTTTCCATTTTGGAATGCGGACATTTCGGACCGCGCACCCCGAATTCCGATCGATTGCATGGCGGCCAGCAGTTACCACGAATAATTCGTGACGGTTAGTGGTTACTGATACAACATATAGCTACTATAAAGTCATCATGGTTGCCACCATTTCCCATTATCTCGAATTTCCTTCTTCAACTGACTTTTCCATGTTTTTTCCAGAATGATGCATTACCAGGGTAAATATTATTATAAATTACTTGTGTTATTGGTTACATAGAACGGGGAAAAACAATAATTACCTACAGGGTGAAAAACAAAAAAATGGAATCATTTAAATTTATTTTGATTCTGTATTTCTGTGTACGGGGAAACCAATTCTTCGTTTTTTGTTTTTTTTTTTAAAACAATCACAATACATTACTATGAATTTAGAAACCGCTTTGAATATAATAAAAACGGTTAGTAGCGTAAATTAGTATCAATTTCTGTTGGTGCAGTGAAATACTTAAATTTTCAAACCAAAAATACTCCAACTTTCTTGGTAAATTCCTGCCTAATAAACAATTAATTTTGACAATTATAATATTAAAATAAAAAAAAAAAAATTAGTATTGAATTATTTGAATAATAAAAACGTTTTTCATCAAATGTTATACTTAATATGCTCACCGTATTAGATAATCCTAACTAATTTCTATTGAATATTCAAGTGCTGAAAATTCAACAACATAAAAAATGCCATCCTCAACTGGTTGAGTTTTAGGTTTTTTTTTGCTAATAGATGTTACTTTTTTCTTTAAGAGGGCGTCCCAGTAACAAGCTGTCTATATAACGGACAATATAGCAATAACACAGTTACGTACACTGAATGGAACTTGTATGATTTTGATTTTAGAGTAAAAATACTTATTATAAAAATAAAAGATGACAATATTTCAGAGTGCAAGACAGTAAAGAGAGTTATAATTGGAGTAATGAAAAAAACGCAGTCTTGCTCTATGAAATATTGTCACCTTTTAATTTTATAGTAAGTATTTTTAACCCAAAACCAAAACTAAGAGTTCTTTTTTGAACAAACTTAAATATGTTTTTGTTATATTGCCAATTAGATAGACAGATATGCAAATTTTACTAAGATGTCCTAACAATGATTACCAATGGTTTTAAAAAGCCATGATAGATGCCCTCGAAAATGATCTTCTCTTTAATTTGTAATACTAATGTGGAAAGTTTATTTCAACATAATATCCAAAATTATTACATTGTTAGTAATATAATTTGAATACAATGTAGGCTAGTATTAGACACTTATGACCTATTTAATTATGATTAGACCAAAATAATAAATACAATTATCATGTCATCTTAATTAGTGGAGAGTAAAAAGAAGTATAAGATCATATTAAAATGTTTTTAATACATTGCCAAGCTTCAGAGTTTGTAGATATTCACTTCTATAACTTGAAAAATAAGTATTGTATTGTATTTTATTTTGTTAGGTAAAATTTTGTCAGATTGAAGGAATAAATATAAAATTAATACAATTTAAGTACACAATAATAATAATTTATTGTAGTCAACACAAACTTTAAGAAAAACTCAAAAAAAAAAAAACAGAATAAAAAAAAATCTACAGTGAGGTTTAAAATTTAAAAGTAATTCAAACATTAGTAATCGCACAAATTAAAAAAAAAAAGTATACATAAGAAACAATAAATAATTCTAAGAATATCACTACCCAGTCTCACTCGTGTACATACAAATGCTAGATTGTTGATAAATTTTCAAAATTGCTCATTAGCAATATACTTAAGCATTCAGGTATTGTTTTCAATATTTTAAATATTGCAGCAATATAAATAGTTAAAAAAAAAAAAAATCATAACAAAATGAGATCTAATACAAAGTGTTTACAGCCTTTTAAATCAATACTTAAATAAAACAAAATAAATATTTAGAAATCTAATGTCTATTTTTATATATTTGCTGTTTTTTTAATATTGTGGATTTAACTTATATAAAAAAAAAAAAAAAAATTATATAATAAAAATTAATATTAAAAGTATAAAAGAAAACAATAATAGTCTTGGAAAACAGGTAACTTATGAATCGACCGCTATGAAAAAGGACCCAATACTATAAGCAATGCTTATAAAAATCATTAAATATTGTTTTATCACTACAATAATTACTATTATGTTCATAATTATTATTATTTTTAAAATTATTATTAATATTATTATTATTATAAAGATAGCACAGACAAGCATCAAGATAGGTACTTTTAGACTGATTTTCCATGAAGACTATCATATGTCACGAGGAGACGTTTAGCAACACTGAGAACTGTAAAACAAGTACATAAATTGTCATCAATAAAATAATTATTTCAAAAATAAATGTGTATGTAATTAGAGTATTTACTTGTGATGCAAAGGATATTAATTGCTATTTATCGATACGAGATTCTTGACCAGCAGAGAAAGTGCCTTTGCCCAAGCAACCCTCTATGAGAGAAGCGCATTCCTTCGACATGATATACGGACGTAAACGTGGAGACGCAAAAATAAATTTGCGGCACTCATAATTGGCAATGATCACAAGCACCTCGCTGTTTGGTGCACTTGATAATTCATATGCCTGTTAAAAATGTATAATAATAAATCAAACATTATATTCAAATATTATTGGAATGATAAGAAAAATTAGTTCAGAACATAAATTAACAATACAGTAGAAATTTTAACATGTTAAATGGTTAAAATATAATAGTTGATTGAGTAGTTCAGATTATTATATATACTATTTTTAAACATTTTAAATGCTTATTTCTTGTATTATATATTTATTTCATTTCTTTTCTCAATATTGAATTACATATACAAATACATTGAAAGTTTACTGTGTTCATATTATGTCTAATTCATTATATTTCAATATTGTTATTGAAAAATAATAATAATAGGTTAGTAGATATTTTCTTAAAATCGACCTATTGGACAATTCATTTGTTAATGTACATTTGTGCAATTTTATAACGAAGTCAGAAGTGTTCAAAATATCTCAATACTTACATTATCTTCAACCAGATCAATATAGCGTTCAAATTCTGTCGAAACAAAATCATTTGCTACAGTACAATCCAAAGCAGGGCGATAGAGCGGCGGACGATTGCACATCGTCGAAGTAAAACGGCAAAGTTCAGTAGTCACGATAAATTGCTCAAGTTTGTGTGTGCCAAGTAGTGTTGTTCCTTCAGCGTGCGAGAACATCATCAATACTACATCCATACAGTGGTCTGCAGATAGGTTCCAAACCTAAGGGATATATCAAAATATCGAAATGATAATTTAATTAATAATAGATATTATAAAAGTATCAGAAAAGCGTTATGGGAAGTTTTTGGAAAACCGACGTACAAAACGAAAACTAACCAAAATTGGCCAATACAATCATTAGCGTTGGGGTTCTCTCCAGTCGGGGTAGATTGGAATTTGTTTAAATTGTGCAATGTGCGTAATACTGAGCAAGTGAATACTCGGATATATATTGAAAGATTTAAAAGATTGTGCGCAGTTTTATAGGAAACACTAGCCTAACACGAACCGACCTCAGAAGAATCCGAGGCAGTTACCTCCTAAATAATTTTCGACATCGCTATTATAATCATTTCTTTTAGTTCGATACGATTGTAGTCGACTTTTTCGGTACGACTTGGCAGATCACAACGCCTACCTGTTACAGAGAGGACGAGAGGGTGTAATATTAGGTTGCGATAGGGGTAGGTGCGTGCTGGACGGAGTAAGTACGTGCGCGTACGTACACACACACACACACACACACACACACACACACACATACTAGTGTTTTGATGTTATTTTTCTCAACAGAATACATATTATATTACCTTTTTGAACAGCTCGTCCTTGTTTACGGTTTCCGATATGTTTTTCAGCTTCATTTCAACACGGTCCAAACACGGAGCGCATAAGCAACGACGCGACAGGCACCTGCACGCGGTGTTTTTTATTATTAATTTGTTGTAGTTGTTGTCAACCGGGCAAACGACTCGACTGCGGTAGCGGTGGCGGTGGTAGCGACTGGCGGCGCTGCTGTTGCACGGTAACTGGCTGGGTGATTGGCTGCTGGCCCTGGCGTTCTGGCTGCGACGTTCGGCGGCGGGGTACGGCGGTGTACGGCGGTACTTATAAACAATTCGATTTTTGTAACTCTCTCCCTCGTCGTCGTTCGCCGGCCGGCAGCGGGTAGTCGTCAACCACCCTCCCGCCTTAGCACCGGTCGGCCGGAGAGTCATGGATCGGTACCACTCGGCGGCCGCCCATCGTTACAGTGTTACCGGTCCGACGGGCCCGAAAATATAGTCGCCAACACATTCTTAAATCGTAAATATTATTACGATCAATACGGTATAATATTATGTGGGACGTCGGTACTATTCCGATCCGAATATCAAAACCCTTGGATTCTAAGCATGAGTTTCATTTTTATAGGATAAACGACGTGTGCAACACATAGAATAATATTATTCTGCAGAAAGTAATAGGTATACTAATCTAACTCGTATTGTTCTATGATGTAACGTCGACTGGTTAATGTAGACGTATATACAGTAGACTCGTCGTGTGACGACACGATTTTTATTTTCCTGCCGGGGTGGTAAAACGGAAAAACAATAATCGTTCGTTTACTAAACAGAACCGTTCCCGAATAGTCGAATGATATTTATACCGACGAATTTTGATACGGCGGAGCGCCGAAACCATGGAGCCCGACGACGGCCGTCACCGCGCACCGCGCACGGGGGTTGATTCGCACGCCCAACGGCACCCTCCGGCCGCGACAGATTATCATCGTAGATCGGCGCACGTGCAACGCTTTGGTTTGCGCGTTCGTTCGTCGCCACCGGCGGACTTATAAAGCAGTGTGACGTAGGTACACCCGGCGGTGGTCGGTCGATAAGTTTTCATTTTTGTTTTCGATTTTACGGCCCTGAGATATTAATTTTGGACAAAAAGCTTTATCCCAATGACTACGATATACGCGGTCATATCCATGTGGGGAAATTCAGTAACATTAAAAACATTATGAATAAATAATCCGAGACGATACAAAACAAACACCTACACTGCCTATAAATAAATAATAATCGAGTTGGTGCATATTATTAAAGAGGGTCCTTTTATACAGCTTTGCTTAAATTCTATAAACACATTAAAAACGCGAACCGAATTAATTGATTGGGCATATTGTATGGTATAAAATAATATTATATCCATATAAAGTATAGAATAATATTATCTGCAACCACCACGGTGCAGGTTACTATCACTATCACCACCCCAAATATATGGTCGGGCAATCACTCAACTTGTACACCATGTTTGGCCCCATTTTTCGTGCAAAAACAAGAAAGTAATGAAACAGCATTAAATAACATAATATTATTAAATATTATTGTCATAATTAAAACCACATGACCGTTGTCGTTGTGTACTTACTGTTGTAAAGGTATTACGTATTGTCTATGATCTATTTAATCTTGTTTTGGACTACATTGAACGAGTAATTAAACCAATAGGTACCCATACACGAGCGGTTTTTTTTAACAGTTTTGGCCTTTCGTATTCCAAAACTGTCACTTTGGGACGATAGTTGTATAGGAATGGATACATTTAAAAATCCCGATGCGTGATGGTATCAAAACCGTACAAAAATCCGTCACGAATTAATCGTCAGGCATTCCAAAACTGTTAATATTAACACGCCTGACAGAATCGCATAAAATCCACTTAGCATGTTAGTTTGGTCTAAAAGGCCACGGGACATATCCGAAATCTGGATTATTGAAATCTGACAGTTCTTGCACCACTAACCAGCGATTCTGATGTTTCAAGGTTTTGTAGGTACTTTGACAACCGATTGAATAGTAATATATTGTTAATGGGCAATGAAAGATCAGAATTTATTGTGACATTTAAAACTGACAATTAAACAGTCGGTTATGGATCGCGGATCAAAATTGTCAAAAAAACTCTTCGTGTATGATCTACTAATGTAAACTACAACTGGAACGTTACCAAAAAATATTAGTATTACAGTGATTTTCATTAATTGATATTAAATATAATAGAATTATTTTAATATAAAACTAATATATGGTAATATATTTATGTTCATGATGTTCTTTGTAGAGATATAGAATAATGTTTTAAGTAGATAGAACCCTATTTTTAATGTAGGTATTCAGCTACCCAATTTGCTTCTAGACAAAAAAGGTCTCATATTTTTTATATCAATCAAAGTGTGCTTTACAGTAATTATAAAACAACTCAAAATAAATACCATGCAAATTTAATTCTCTTAAAGTTTAATATGTACCAAAGTACTATTTATTAATTTTTAATATTGGTGTTACCAAGTTCCCCAATATTATACACAATAAATACCTGCGAGGGGGGAACGGTTTCTCCCATGGCACCCTCTCGTAAATTTATCATTGACTAACCGGTATATCGATTTAGAGAAAATTAGTAATAAGAATAACAAAACTTGAACAGTAAAATAGCAACGTAATATTTTTCGATATAATTTTAAAATCAGAATTAATATATTATTATGAATTGGTTAGTATTATTATGTAGGTACCAACCTATACATAATATAATGTCCTTCACTTTCTTCCTCTCCTCTATTACTTATTTCACTAAGATGTTTGGGCTCCCAAAATCCCTGCTGTTCTTTGTTGATTCTGTTTTGTCCGTCATACGAAATATTCTTTTTTTTTTCCGAACCAACCCCGATGTTATTGACCCGGTAACCGATTTACTTTTCAGATGAGTTGGTCGCCGAAAAGGAGAAATTCAGAAATTGGTGACAGCTTGAACCTTGCGTTTGTCGACTTGTATGGCATCTAAACAAAAACCACTAAACGATAAATATTCACACACACATACACACTAGCACACCGATCATTATTATCCCGATACGTGTGCTTTTCCTACTAACAGTGCTATTAACACCGTCTACGCGCGATACCTATAAGCTTTATTCACAGGCAAATCATAACTCTATTATATATATATATATATATATATATATAGTACAGTCAGTTTTTAGATTCGGAGCACCAGGGATCTATTGATTTTACTATAATGCGTTTTTTTCACTTTTTATTTTTACTATCTATAAACAACTTTTTGAAAAGAAATCTTGCTCCGATGTACAAAGTGTAGTACATTTTCTGAAAGAACATTTTCAATAGTTGGTGTATTCAAAATAATTGGGAAAAACTGAGAAGAAAATTTTAGTTAAAACCGCAAATATCGCGCGGCGCGGCCGCAGCGTTACAGATTTTATTGTCTTTAATTTTTTTACAACTTATATTTTCTACCAGAAATATTGCTTCAATTGAAAAATGACAAGAGATCGATTTTGTTCATTTAGCTATTGATAAAAAGTAATTTTTTTCGTATCCGAAGTAGTTTTCCTAATAATTGGAAAAACCCAAAACAGATGAAAAATACGATTTTTTTCAAAAGTTGAAAGTTTCATGGATATATAATATTTTTTTGGCACAGAATTGATTAAATATTGATTGTCCAAGTGGACAAATGATCATTGTAAACACTGACCGGAAGTTTCATACAACGCCAGAGTTTTTTAAGTCATGTGGATAATTCTGTGCATAGACTAGACATTGTATAAAATAACCAATACTGTCTGTGCCAAGTGCAAAATATGTTAAATATCCTCAGTTTATTTTAGAGATTTATTAATAATAATACAAATACTTATTTATTTTTACATGTATTGCCATTATGGCATTTGATTAATATTACAAAATTGAAATATTTAATGAATTTATTTTTCACTTGTACACTAATACGATCATGACGTCGACATGCTAAATCGAACGCACCAAGGTACAACAGTAAGTCTAACCTTTAATATACACTAATTATTGCGATAAGCTATCCCTATCCGGTTAAAAATTGCGATAACGCGTCCAGAATTCCAGATTACCTCGATATTAAATTATACTTCCTTCAGTGCATCAAAATCAATATTGTTTGTCTACTAATGAGTAATGATACTTGTCATTTTGAGTAGGTACTGAAATAAATTTCTACGTTTACTAGGACTTATTATAAATTTTACACAACGACCCCACTAGTTTTATCATTATAATACAATGGCTAAACATTGTGTTACAAATTATGGTTAGTTTATATGAAAAATAAATTTTAGATTCTGTTTGGATCGAAAAAGCTTATGGTTATACAAAAAATGTTTATTTATTTTTTTATTTATTCCCTTCTGAAAGGAAATCGGACTGGGGAGGTATTTTATGTTGTGCAGATAATTTTTTGATTTTCCTAATAAATAGGAAAAACCGAGAAAAAACATAGGAAAACCGTAGGAAATATAGAACACCAAGGAGCTATTTAATGCTGCAAAGAAAATATCATATACTCGTGATAACTTTCAAACTTTGAAAAATATCATATTTTCGTCTTTTTTGGTTTTTCTCAATTATTATGAAAACTATTTTGAATATGAAAAAAATACTTTTTCTCATTAGCTATATGTTAAATAATTAAATAAATAGGTGACATCATTTGTATTTGATTTGTTTATTGTACATCAATAATTGCATATTTCTACAAATAGAATGTACCACCAGTCAATCATATTATACATGGGAAAATATGCATTATTATATTTTTTTATTTTGTCATTGTATTATAAAAGCAACAATATATGTATATACCAAATATTATATAGGCCGATCCTAAGATTACCACAAGTTCCAAATATGTATAACCTATTCAAAAAATTTAAGGCATTCCCTAGTATCGTTTAAAAAAACAAAATAGACTTGTGGAGGATGAATTTCTGCAAATTTTTCAAACGTGTCACAAGTTATAAAATCCACATCTTATAAGGTAGGACATAAAAAAACCAAAACATATTTACTAACCGAAAAATAATTTTTTGAGAAAAAAATTTTGCTGTTGTATGTTGGAATATCATTTGTCTGGCGGCACTGAACGCGGTATTTGAATAGTGATTACTACTCTCTTCTTACTCAACCTTAAAAGTAGAATAACTTGTCAATGGGTTGAAGGAAATCAAAAGTTTAACACCAAAATTTAGAGGCACATGTTTTTAAATTGTAAACAAATATAAAGTATGAAGAAATTAATACTTTCCAAGACATTGATCAAAAGGGGGTTCCAAAAAAACTTACCTTTGAAATTCAATATGAGTACTCACCCTTTTTTAAATTGAAATAGAAAAATAATTTTGTCAAAATATGAACTTAATAGCTCAACCCCTTCCCGTGCCGCAATAGGGTTAAATTATGGCAAAAGGGGTTTGTTTTTCGGTTTTATTAAATTGTATTTTTTTTTTTAATTGGTTAAAGATTGAATATTTAATGAAATAGGATATATTTCGTTGTATTTTTTTTATAAATAAATAAATACAAATTAAATTATCAAAAATACTATGAAATAATCGAAAAAAAAAAAATCAAAACAACCTCCTTCTGCCATAATTCAACCCTATTGCGGGAAGGTGAGTTATCAAGTCCATATTTTCACAAAATTGTTTCTTTATATCAATTTAAAAAATGGTAGGAGGGTACTAATTTTTAAATTCTCAAGAAAATTTCAAGCCTATTATAGATTTGGACTACCTTAATGATCATATATATATGAATATATATTCATGGGATACTTTGTACAAACATTAATGTTTAATTTTTTGCAACAATTTAAATAATATTTCAATATATTAAACAGATTTATTTTTAGTGATGTTTATAATAGCTTCCAGTTTTATTATAAGATATTTATATATATATATATATATATATATACATTTACTTAATGAATATTTTATGGCAAATCTTTAATATTCTTAATAAATTATTTAACAATATAAATATACATAAATAAAATTTTTTATAACAATAATAGTTTAATTTAAGGAAAAACTTATACAAATCTGTAATAGGTAATTTACATGGAATGCATTTACAAATATTATAATAATTGTCATAAGAGTATACAAAGTAGATTTAATTGCGCACAAATTATTGAAAATATTATAGCTTTATCAGAAAGAATTTTAAAAATTAAGTATCTAATAACAATACTATCAAATAGAAAAACAATCTAGCTAAAAAAATAAAAAGTAAATTATTTTAAGAACACAACCAATGAAAGTAGCTACAAATTCTACATTTTTCAGTGTTTGAGTATTATAAATACAGGTCACTAAAGTTAGATATTTGACTGTTGTGTTAAACAACTATTTACGAAAAATATGTCTCACAAATAATTAGTCAAATTTACCATTACAAAATTGAATACTAGAGTGGTAGGTAATTTTATTCATTCAATTTCATCCAAAGTGGATGTAAATATTAGCATTTTCAACATAATTGTAATGAATATTATTTCTAGAAATTTAGTCACAGATTTATCATTCATATATAATTCATTGAAAAATGCTTATTTATGTTGAGCAATTAACTGGTGTTAATATAATATGTCAAAATTATATTGGTTACACACTGGCACAATAAAAAAGTCAGAGTTTTATAGTTAGTTTCTATAAAAATTCAATAACCGTGACCTGTTAGTAACCAGTGACTGGACCATATAACACAAGTGACACATTTCTTTAATTAAAAAAGTTAAAATATCAGGCAAATTATATCGCATAAACAACTTTATGGTAACATACTAAGTCTATATAAAGTAAATACTAAGCATATCGACAATGATACACTGTAATAAAAATTAACTTAGTGAACTAATTATTTTGTCGTTTTAAATGACTAATTTGTTGGTGATAATTGTATGAAAATATGTATAAAATAAAAATAAAATTCACAAGAGATCAACACTAAAAATGCTGGCGAAAAATAAAAAGAGAAAGAAAATTTAACAGAATGAATATCAATGGAATTATTATGGAATATTTTAAACAGATAGGTTTTAACAAGTTTAACAGTCAATATATTATCATAACATTACAATTCTCCGATATTGTTATATTTTTTCAATTTTTTTGGAAATGCGTCTTTGTACAGGACAGGATCAACCCTATATTCTACAGTCTTTAGTGGCATTCTACCGTAGATAGAGACAAACCTATTTATACACGAGGTCCTTGTGGCCATGTGTCCTTGATCAGTTGATAGCATTTCAGTGTTTAAACACTGGGGGCATTTGAACTTTTTTTTTGGAGTTACCTATTCAAAAAAATGGTGTTTATCATTTTATCAAACAAATCTAAAACAAATTTTATAATTACTTTGATTGGAGCTTTGTTTGTTGTGTTGGATACTAAAAAATTCATTGCAATATCTTCACAATTCATGTGGTCATCAACCCATTGTTTGATATTACTAGGCATGATGTATGTGTAAGCATGATGCCAATACTTAAAATACATAATTCATAATTAAATTAAATCAGCTGTATTATTATTATTTTTAAATTGATTAATGACAAACAATTTGTTTACTTTATGATAAAATGCTGCTCCGGTTAACACCATGGATATTTCATTTTTCCATTCTGATTCATACTTCCAAGAATTAGTTTTATTATTCCACACATGAGTTCTGGATGGGTAACCTACAATATGATCAGGAAATTCTTTCCAAACCTAAATACAGTAAAACATAAGAAATTATATTTATCAGTGTGTTAATCAATAGGTAAATACCTGAAATCCAAATTCAATTTCATCTAAAGTCAACATAATTATATCATCATCTAAAGATAAAACTGCTTCTGTTTCAATTTCCTTGTATGGAAAAAATCTATTGGATAGTTTATTTTCTGTTGTTTGTATGACTTTCAGCATCACATCTACTTTTGGCCACACTGAAACTGTATTTGGTACAAATTTTATAGATAGTTATTAAAAAATATTCATTAAAGTACTTACAATGCGGTGGAGATTTATATTGATTGTTCCAAACGACAATAATTTTTTGCAGACTGGGTGCCTTACTAATCATATTTATTAGTTTGAACAAACTATCTATTCTATTGTAGGATAATATTATGGCAGTAAATCCTGACGATTCAGATAAATATGGTAGAAACAATGGGTTTCTGGCAGATTCCTAAAAAGCAAAACTTAAAAATCAACTGCATTTTATATACATGATTAATTTTAACATACGGGATTCGGTCTTAAATTCCAATCTTCATAAAAATCTGAACTGTGTGGATGCAGTCTTTGGCTCAATATTTTTAAAGTGGTCATGGTTATTACTTGTGGTGACGATAAATATTTTTGGTAAATCCAATGACCTTGGGCTGACATTTCTTTCCGTCTGTCCAAAGGAATACCAGAAACTACATCTAGTAAAGCATCTAATTCGGTTTCACTCCAAAAAATGACAGCTCTATACAATAATAAAAAGAAATAAGATTTTAAAGAAACAATGTAATATAAATGTGTAATAAAAAAGGTAAGATAATGGGGACGGGTACAGCTACTGGAGTAGGTGGGAAGTTGGGAAGGTAGGATATAGGAAATTTAATGTATATCTGTAAGCAACAATAAACCATTGCTTAAGAAAAAACAATTCTAAGCGGAGTTCAGTTGATAGTGATGCTTTGTCAACAATATATCTCATTTTGTAGTAAAATTATTAAATAGGCTTTATATATTTTCTTTTATAAAATTTGTTTAATGTTGTACCAATATTCACATTTTCTGGAAAAACACTTGGGAAAATCAAAAAATGTCCTCTTCAAAGTACATCCCTAGGGAAATTTTCTTTTAGAAAACTTACTATTATTAAAACTTAGAGCAAAATTGCTAGTAGAAAAGTTGACAACAGAAAAAAAAAATCATAAGATTATATTTATTATATTTCGTAAATTTTCTCATTTTTTTTTTTTCTTCTTCTTCGGGTTTTCGCATTTGAAAATTGTAAAAAGACCTCCCTAAAGTACCTTCCCAAGCCGATGTCCTTTCAGAAACAATACTACATGTAGAAATCCAAACAAGTCTTTTGGTAGAAATTGTGCAGATAAAAAAAAAAAAAATGTTTGAGCTTCTTCGCTCCACTTAGAATCTAAAATATACAAACCTTTTCCAATCTATAACTTCTAAAAATGGCAATACAACATGATTAATAGCCACTATTGGAATACATCCTGCCGCTAGTGAATCAACTAAAGTTGTGTCTATAAGTCGTGGACCAGGCAATATCAAACAAAATACACTTTCCTAAATATTTAACATATTACATTAGTACATTATTTATATTGTGTATGTATCACTGGGAAATGTAATATATTGACCCACTGAGTCATTTACAATGAACCAAAATAATACTAAGTTGGCATACATTTAAATAAAAAAACAAGTATGATTTTATGTGGCTCATAGACTTTTAACTCACTAAATCAATAAGCCGAAATGCATGTTTTTTTTTTTTTGTATACAAGATGTGTCTTACAGTGCTTTCCAAATACTGTCAATATTAATTTTAAAATTTAATTTTTATTTTCACTCCTAATCACTAAAAAATAATAACTTTTTATTTGTTTACTTTTTAAAATTTTCAAAATAGTAAATTTTTGAAATATATTAATTTAAAAATGTTAATATATCATACATTCATATCTGATCAAGTTTCTTAGTAATAGTCGTTTTAATATCTAGAGCAGTAGTTTTCAACTGGGGTAAGTTGGACCTATGTAAACAAAAAATCCTAGAGGAAAAAAAATAGAAATTTAAATGGTACCAAATAAAATTGTATTATAGCCATTATTGTTATGTAATGACATGTATTGCCTTTGGAACAATATAATACACACTCTTCAATAATACCGCTGCTGCTACTCAAATTATACACACTAAACGGATATACCATAAAGTTTTTATCATTAAATTATTTCTATTTATTTAGATAACTGTTTTTTTTTTTTTTAATAAAATTATAATTTTCTTCTAAAATATACAGTTTAATTATTTAAAACTTAGAAATTTGATTCATACACAGTGTTCTACTGTGTTATCTGGAGACTAATAACTCTGTCAATATCAATTATATTTTTCAATCGGATTTTAAAAATTTTAATTTTTTCCTTAATCACTGAAAAAAACTAATAAAAAGAATAACAAGTTATGCAATAAAAAATAACAATTCTTTATCTTCTATTGAATATTAATTTTTTTCAGACCTAATTTCAATACATTAAAGTTGGTATAATTAAAAAACTATTGATCAGATACAAATGTATGATACGTTAAAACTTTTAGAATAATATCTTTTACAAAATGACTATTTTGAAAACTGTAAAGTGATTAAAGTTATTTTTTTCAGGGATTAAGGGATGAAAATAGAGATTTTATTTTTCGCTACATATGTGTTTCCTTCTTACAAAATCCAATTGAAAAAAAATTAATATTAAGAGAGTATTAGGTGACGGATAACACTGTATGACACTCTGTATTTTAATGAAGCACGAAATAGCGTCAGATTATCATGGATAAGGGAGACATGAATCATAAAAGGTTGAGCACCGCTACAGAAAGGTGTAAAAAGCGAGTCTACCACATTACGCAATACTAAACATAGTCATATATAACTATAACATATATATGGTATTAAAACTGTCAAAAAATAACAATTTTTACAGTAAGCACGTTTTCAGATAACACTATAGTACACCTGTAATGTTTTAAAATAACATAATATACTTACAGCAAGGATATTTGCATAGTTATAAGTAGAATTACCATGACAAAGTATTGATCTATTATGTTTACTATTTGAGCATTTTCCCATGACTTTTATCAAAGAATTTTGTTTTTCGATTGATTTTAAATAAGTAATGAAATCGCTATGAAGATTAGTTTGAACTGTGGTGATGAATATTGGTCTGCAAATGATTAAAATGTACATATAACCTAGTTTACTTATTTCAATATAAATGTATATATGCATACCTGTATCTAAATGTATAATTATTATTTAATGAAATAGCGAAATCACTATAAATTGAAATTGAAATATCAAAAGATGACCTATAAGTCCAAGAATCAAAACCTACACCAGCAACCATAGCTTTACCAATGGACAAATCAACAACAGTTTTATAGTCTGGTGCTGTTCCTGGGACCATATTAAAGACTAAATGATTTTGGCCATCATTCCAACTAAAATTTAAAACAAAATAACCAACATGATTAATTAGCAATTTTGTTGTTTCAAAAATCAAACTTACTATGGCAATAGCGCAAGAGCTTGTGATGTTTCTTTAACACGAAACCGGTTTTGATTTAATGTATCAATGGATGGCACAAAAACACACGCTTCTTCTGGATTTTGAGTGTAATAATGACTTTCTACTATTGCATTTAACATAGATCGATATTCTTTGGACATTTTTGCTCCAATAGATATGCCATCTGAATCGATATGTCTGGCCATCGGATAAACATAAACTTTAAAACCACCGTTAAATTTATGGTTACATCTGTATATATTGAAACAATCATAAAACGTACACTGTGAATATGTTGAGACAATTGGACTGTCTCCCGGGACAACATATTGATGTATTTCATGAGTTTTAACAGGCGGTTTCTGAAGTAGCTTAAGAACCTGTGGCACAACAACTACATATACAAAGGACAGTAGAAATGAAATAAATATAGAAAGATAGATAAACTTTCGGTGCCTCAATAGACGACAGCATGCTAAGCGAATGAACATTGTTTTATCAGTGACAATAGTGAGGCGAATGCCTCGTAAAATAGAACGAGCGTTGGCTCGGTGATAGCATTTTTTTCATTTCAACGTGCTTGGCCATTAAATGATAGTTTACTTTAGCTTCATATTATTTAATTGAACATCACTATTACCTAATTGAAAAAGAAAAAAAAAAGAAAAAATTACTTTTTACGAAAATACACGTTAAAAAATTACTTTACTTTTCGCGTTTATCGACGATCCAATCGCACGCACGTACTTTATTACGAATAATTTATTATTGTCATTTCAAAATTGTCACCGATTTAAATTTCAGAATGTCATTAGTTCATTACTAATAATATTATTATCGTCATTTTAAAACTTTAAATCCACTGTATAATTTTCAAATAAAAGCATTTTATCACCGTTATCAATTATCATTGTTACCAATGTGATGAAATGGGGGTGGTGCTTCGTATCATGACACTGCCACGCACGCGCATAAATCATAGATAATATTTATAATGTGTGTATATATTATCTATAGCATAAACCCCTATTTTTATTGTAATATCGCTCATATGTATATGCCTAGTTTTCCAATGAAAAATAATTAATAAACAATAGGTGCTATTCATTTTCTGAATATTCCTATAGGGGAGGAGGAAGAGGTAGTAAAATACCATGGTGGTCAATATTTGTGGTTCCACTGATACTGACATAAACTGAATTATCTACTTATACAAAGGTGGTATGTACAAATGTGCAATAGGTAGTTCATATGACACCATGATTTGATCATTTTTGGTAAGTCATGATGAATGGTATGAGTTGCCAGTTGGTTATATTATATATAATTTCCCGAGTCTAAATTTCACTCTAATCCATCCCGACCTTCTTTATTTACCTAAAAGAAGTTGCATGCCCAGTATTTGTGTATAAGTAGGTAATTTTAGTCTTTTACAAAAAAAAATCAAAATTATTCAAATAAATGTACAATAAATAATAATCCCATAACTATACAGGAAGGTATGAACAATGTCCATATTTATTAGTAAAGCTTTATTTACAATTCCGTTTTTGAAATAAAATGATACAATTATAATACTTAGCACAAAATATGCAAAAAATATAAAAAATAGGTATAGTTTTTAGACTGTATAGGACAAAGGGTTTATTATAGGTATTATATAGGTTTATATAGGTTTATTGTAGGTAGGTACTTGACGAATAAGGACTAAGACACTTTTAAGTTTTAATAGGAAAAAGACGTCCTAGGATAATGGGGACCGGTGCAGTCAATGTTATAGATAATTTAATGTATACTTATAAGCAACGATAAACCATTGCAGGTTACAAAAAAATGGAGTTCAGTTGATAGTGATATTTTATCAACAATATATATGTCATATTATAGTAAAATAATTAAATAGGCTTCATATATTTTCTTTAATAATATTTGTTCAATGTTGAACCGATTTGCCCATGTTTTTTTCCGATTTTCACATTTGTTGGGGTAACTCCTGAGAAAGTCGAAAAATTACCTTTCTAAAATGTCTCCCTAGTGAAATTTCATTTCAGAAAAATTGCTGGTAAAAAAGTTGTCCACAGAAAAAAAAATTGTAATATTATAAAAATATATTTCGTACATTTTCCTGTTTTTTTTTATCGATTTTTCGCATTTGATGAGAAAATTCTGGTGAAAATTTAAATATAACCTCTTTAAGTTACCTCCCCACACCGATTTCCTTTCAGAAAAGTTGCTACACGTAAAAATCGGAGCAAGTCCTTTGGTAGAAAAGTTGTCAGCAGAAAAAAAAAAATCTTCGCAAAACTATAAGATTCTTCGCTCCACTCAGAATCTAAAATAAGAAATGATGTAGTGTACCTGCCTATAGTTACATATTATTTTACTTCAAATTTCGTTATCAAAAACATTATTATAACGTCTTTAAAATGTTCTTATAAAGATTGTAATTTAAAATAATTTAAAATAATAATTAATGTACTCTTTCATTCCATCCCCTTAAATTTAAACACTACACGCGTATTAAACGTAGGTACTTATGATATAAGTTTGTAAACGAGAAAGCAAAAAAACGCCTTCTGGTGCCCATCTGGATATCTGAATTTGTCCAGATGGCCCAATCCCTCTTAAAAATACTTATACAGCCCGGTGTTTTTCACACGTGTTCCATCGCTATCAAAAATAATAATATGTACCTATCTAAAATAAATATGATAAATATTTTAACTGGGTATTACGTTTTCTGGTAAAATCAGTGCTTAATCACCGGTAAAATAACGGCCTTCTCTAATTCTATTCCGTTTCAAAGTGTTTACCTATTACTATACAATGGCGTAATTACGGAAGGGGGAGGGGTTCCATGGAGTCAATGGGATCTAACAGTGATCATTTATTGTATTTTTTGAAGATTTTTGTTTGATTGGTCAAAAAATATTCGTAGTCGGTAATTTAAAAAAATGTATAGAATTATTATTACTTTTGACTTTTGTGGTTTTTGCCTAGCATTATATAGTAACTAGGGGATTCGGAAGGTCAAACCCCTTTCGAGTCCCTTTTAATAAAACTATCTAGACTTTCCATGACAAATTACTAAATATGCCACTGACACTGTTCTAAGTATCTATCTTTTCCGTAAATTATCAGTTCTCGTAATAGACATCTACGTTTATTGAAATTAAGTACCTAACAATCTGGTAAAGTACCTACGTGAACAATGTAATGCAGATACCTATCATTCAGTTTCTCGTTCTGAGCTTGCTTTCGTAAACTGGTTCTAATATTATGAACATGGCCTATGTTATAAACATACATTAATGCAATATAAGCAGAAAAACATAATATTTTCAGGCGAAGTGAATATTATTTATCTCAAGACTCAAGATTATAGAAACAAGGTTATCTAAGACTTATCATTATTAAATAAAATAATACCTAAACAGCGTCAGATTTACCTACATGCAGAACAAACAGGTGATTTAAGTAGTAACATTTTAGGGACGTCAAATTTGAACTTTTTTTAACCACAAACCATCATGCACAATAAATGGGAAAAACCGAAAAAAGGGAAAATGTACGAAATTTATTAGTAAAACATTAGTCTTTTTTTTTGTGGAGAACTTTTCTATCAACACTTTTTCTCTGATTTACAACTATAGTACTCTTTCTAAAAGAAAACATTAACTTAATAATTAAATTGGAGCTTGTAAAATGATAAATTCATACGAATATCCATTAAAAAATTAACATAATTAGTAATCACCACTCTCTCCTGATCCAAACTTAAAAGTAGAATATCTCGTCAAAAGATTGACGGAAATCAAAAATTACAGCACCGAAATTTACTACTACTAGTAATACTCCACCTATTTATAGAATTTTTAATATAAATTTCCATTTAAAAAATTACCATCAAAGTACATCAAAAGTACCGTAGTGGTTTTGCCCCTGAAAATAATGGTGACATAAAATAACATAAACGTGAAACTTAAAAATTATTTATTTCTTAAATGTTTTATGAAACGAATTCTGAAAAAAAGTTAATACTTTCCTGGATAATGAGTGTACCCACTTAAATGGAATACAATATATTGATATTTTAAAGTAAAAAATTATAAAATTGAACTACAAATATTTTTTATCAATGTCAAAATTAGGAAAAGTATAAGACCTGGTTACTATGGTTGCATGGCTCAGGTTTTAGGGTTACTGCCTTGGTTGCCTTCTCTTGTCTGTTCTGCTTGTAACCCTAAAAATCGCCACTGTGTAGGACATAGATGTTTAGCAAAACGTGCGGGTTAAAGCATATTACATTATGTTTTATAATAATTGTTAACATAATAAATAATAATAATCAACACAATATCATCGTTTTATCCGTATCTGGATATGATTTATTTGTTTACTTTTATTAATAAATAATAACATTAAAATACGGTATATTTCGGTTAGGTTTTATTTTAGCCTGTGCGTGTCCAAATAATTTAAATATTATGCGTTCCGATAACCTTTGACCCTGCGGCGTACACGTAAAGAAAATGTATGTTATACACTCACGTATATACAATAATCGTCTCGTAATATTGTAGTTTTCGTTTCCATGACTGCACTCGACAAACTTTACCGGTTAAGCGTTAAAAAAATAAAAAAGTAATTTTACCTAATAATTTATAACAAACATTTACAAAGGTACTACTTAAATAAATAGGTATAATTATATACACAATATATAGGACATAAAGGTGCACCTCGCACCTGCAACTACATACCCATCATGCACCTAAATTAATATTGATTGTTCTACTTGTGTTTAGAACATTGAAATTTACTTGTTTAATTTAAAAGAACGGTCATACTGTCGCCACTTAGTACTAAAAACAATATATAAACATAAGAATTCACATAAAATAGTTGCAAAAAGTGTTACAAGGTTTTTAATTTTTAGTAAATTGAAATTATAGAATCGCTTTTTTTTTTTTTTTTTTAACAGGCGTATTTTCAGTACCAGTAAATGCGATGATTTAATATTATGCAACTTGTTGGTAACGATTGAACCATGTCAATGATATTAGTTAAAAATTTATAAATTACATATTATCATAATATTTCAAATATATACATATTGGCAGACTAATAGTTACACACAGTCTAAAATTAAATGTACTAATTATAATCTGATATTAGTATTTTTACTTTTTATAAAATAAATTATTGGATTTTTTTATTATTATTTATGTTTTTAAATTTTTTATTAAAAACTATAATTAGTTATAATAATCCGATTGTCTTGCCAAGTTGAATTACCAGTAATTATATAAATTTAATAAATATCGAAAAATAAAATGATTTTAATCGTATTTAATTTATACAATAATTATATTTAATTTATAGAGATAATACTGCAGCATAGATTTTATAGTTTATATCTATATTTATATATTTGAAATAGTATTTTGTTTGTCACGGTAATCTCCAAAACTACTGAATTGGTGGACTTAATTTAAAAACAAAAAATGATACAAAAATGAGTACATCGCGAAGCAGGTTTTAAACCTAATTCCACTTTTGTAAGTTAATGGAGTTTTTAATAAAACTAATTTTTATAAATATATTATATAAATGTGAAAATGAGAATCTTTATAATGAATGGTCTCTATAACTTTTTAACCAATCTTCATTCAATATTTTTTTAATGTTGAGTACATCGAAGAGCAGGTTTTTTACTAGTTCTGATTCTGTAAGTTAACAATTAATAATAATTTGTATAAACAATCAGCAAATCTGTCAATGATTAATCTGTATCGCTGTTTAAATACGCCGATAAAATACTGTAATGTACATTTATTACCAATACGATTGAAATTGGGAGAACTTTTTTATTGCACAGACAAAACCTGACTTGTTTTAGTATAAAACTATAATCATAATATTTTTAGACTGTAATAATAAAATATTATACAAATTTTTGAAGTACTTAACTACTAACTATGATAAGATATTAATTACAATTATAGTAAATTAATATTATTATTAATTCAATAGAACACTATATCGCAGGTAATCAAATGTTCTATGTAAACGAGTATGTAATTATCATAGAAAATTAAGAATGTGTGCATCATAGAGTAATATTACTCTATGGTGTGCATTCAACAAACAAATCAGATAAAAAATAAAACACAAACAGCATAGGTACATTGCTGACTTGTAATTTATAAACAATAATGTAGGTATTAAAATACATTTATAAGCTGTAGTAAAAATAATATCTATTCTAATAATTGAATACTTGATAATTTATTTGATGTACCTCCCTAAATAACAAAGTGTTATTATTATGATCATTATTTAACAGCTGATGTTTATAATAGACAATAAAATTATTTAAATCATAGACTTAGAAGTGTAAACAAATGTATAGGGTTACTTCATATACAGTGGTGCAATGAGACAGTGCTCGAATTGAAAAACTAAAAGATGAGGGACTACCCATAAGACTTAAAAAAAATAGCGTCCTTTGTAATTATTGAACTTAATGTAACCCAAGGGAAGAAGGGGCTTCAGTCCTCATACCCCTTTATGCAATTTTTTAAACATAATCCGGTAATCAATAATTGTTTAACAAAAACACTATCTGCATAATAACACTACTGCTGGCTACATTATTGCTTGCATGCATATATATTTTAGTTTCTACTATATGATAGATTTACCATGAAATATGTTTTTTTTTTATGGTTTCTGGTAGAAAATATTTGTAATAAGGCCGGCAATTTTAAATAAACGCAAGTGTTGGACCCCGTAATACAAAAACAAAGTAAAATCGAAACGAGAATGTGCAAGCTTATACGATTGGTGTTTGGATATAAATACTGGAATACTGGGAGGTTGTATAAATATTGATATAATAGCTGTAGTTAAAAAGGTCGGTGAACTATAAATATATAGATTGCATAGGGCAGAAAAAAGACACGAAAAATTCTTCGATATAACGAATGTAATGAATTCTCGGGAAGACTTTTACATATTTCTTTACCGTATGCAATGCCGTGTCTATAATAAAATCGGAACCCGCTGCCAGAAAAATTTACCAATAAGCAGAAAACAAAAAAGAAGCCTATCCATTGTGCGTTAACTCATACGTTAATTGTAAACATATTGTGATTATATTATGGTAATATGGTCTATGTGGTTATATAGTACCTCTTGCAGCTCCCTAGGCACGGCCTGGCGGTAGGTACCGTATCATTGGCCATATTGGCAACTATGCAACTAAAAATATTAAAAAAAAAAAATTAAAAAATTAATCTCGAAATATCTAATAATATACTATACTATATACAACACGCGTGCTAATATATGTAAAAATCAATTTATAATAAGTACCTATCAAATTACTGAGTAATATCGGGTTGCATAAACGATCAATAACTAGTTATCGAACCGTTAACATCATAATCGGTTTGATAGTGTTTGGCTGTGGCAAAAACGACTTTTATTGACAAATAATGTCTTATCGAGTCGTTAAGTTAGAGGCCGGTCATTGGTTCGATAAATAATAAAAACAGTCCCATAATTATTTATTGAACTGATAATATCTTACCTCTCGGTAATATTCTCGCCACCCGGTAGCCGCTACTTGTTTACTCGTTGGTTATTGATATAATTTATCCTGTTGTTATACATTTTATTGATCTTATTTTTATTTAACCCGTTTCAAAAGGATGATAACAAATAACGACCGATTTATCATTCATTGAATATACCACACTACTATGACCGGGGTAAGTTATCAAATAATTAAATTTACGTTGACCATTTTATGCAACAGTACTGCAGTAATATAAATTTGTATAGTATTTGCATTTTTTAAAAAATCGTCAGTTTCATAAATGTGCAATAAAACTTTTATTTTATATAGAAACCAATCCCTCTCTTTTCATTGTATTTTTCCATGAATTTTAACGGTTAAACCAACTTTCTAAGTACACAATTAACTTATGAATTACAAAAGTTTAAAGTTCTTGAGCATGTTTGCTAGACATTTTTGGATAGCAAAGATAAGTTCAACTATTATTGTTTCATTTTTGTTTTATAATTGTTTTTAACTTATGATTGGATACTACTTTTATTCTGTTGTAATACAACTCTGCAATTTCGATTTGACATTTTTTTTCACACTTACGCAGTTTATTATGCTCTTTACAGAACAAAAACAGAAACTCAAATTGTGTTATATTATGAATATCTAATAACTATTGATTATAAATAGCATTCATAAATGAAAATTAACTGTGTATTAACACAGTTGTGAATTTTCAACTACCATTTCCACACAGTATAATTTGTATATTATAATATTGTAGATACTTATAAATATTGTATTTTTTTAAATTTTCCCAAGGGAATTGACACATTTTCGGACCAACAAAAACAATAGTCACCCTTTATTTACACTTATATTATATTTCATTACTCTAGTTTTAACATATTACCATAAATAATTTTTATATATAAACGTTCCTAATTGGAGTGTGGCCCTTATCGTTAATCTAACAAATTTTTAAGTGCTCCGAGAGTAATTATTGTTCTATTATCGTTATGTACATTTTTTTTTTCTAACTAATAATGGTCAAAAAATATATTTCGAATATATATTTTAAGTGTATATAATATATAAGTACTAAAATATAAGTGTCAATTCGTTTTTCGTAAGCAAAAAATGACCGTGAGATAGAAACAATTATTGTGGATTGATAACACGTCAACGGACTATTCGGTAACATTCTGTCAACGATTACAATAACATAGTTCATTTTGTTTAAACTTTAAAATAATATTACTATTAAGTAACAACTGTACAATTGCTATAATTGGAGTCTGGAGACAAACTAATAGTTGGTTATAGCTTGTATAGCAGACTATAAGACTATATAGGTATACAGCTAAAATAAACTGTCGAGACGAAAAAAGTGATGATTTATTTCCTGTGACCTTGTCTATATTAATAAACTATGCATACATAGCTATAAAACGACTGTATATTATTATAGAGTTATCGTTGAAAAATAATATCCACTCAACAAGTAGGCCATTGAGAAAAGTAGGCATATTGTTAACGGATTGCGTGTTCGACTTCATCGGGCTCGCTGAGCAGTCACGGTAGTGATTATCTTTAAAGTAAAGACTACAATAAAAATTATAATGTTTTTAGTTAAATATTTTAAGGTCCTCGTAATAAAATAATAGGTTATTATAGTCTATAGATATTTATGCACAATATTTTTTCTATCCGTGACAAACTTTAAGATTCAAATATTATTAAAGTTCAATATGAAGAAAACATAAAGTTTAATAAAGTTTTGAATTTTTTGAATTTAAATTTTACACTTAGTATTTTTACCTTTAACAATTAATTAAAAAATATTTACAATTTAATTTAAGTTTATTTAAATTTTAAAGTATTTTCATCATAAAGATATACACCAAATAAGTTGACAAATAATGAATTTTTAATTTTAAATGATTAGTTTTTGTAACTGATAATAGAAAAAAATATAGAGTAATCAGATAAAACAAACAATTTATATAAATTGATATAACCTCCCGGGTGCTGAACATGTAAATCATTGATAGAAAATACAGTCATGATCTGATATCTGATACCTTCGAAATTGCAAGTGTTGGTTATCATTCAAGTATTTCGGATTTTGATCAGATATTATACTGATCTCTGATTTATAGTCTACGACTGCATTTTCTATCACATTTCAATTGCATCTTCAATGCAGAATGAGAATCGTGACCATTTCAACCCGAGAAACATTGTTATACATTTTATCTTATTTCTTCTTTATTTTTCGTTCGCTATTTACGTAATTAGGTTATTTATTTATTTTTTCTTTAAATTTAATACGGTATTTCTTCCTTTTTGTCGGCAATCATTTAAAATCCCCGGGTCTCTGAACTTTTCAGATTAAAACAATTTGACAAGAAAATAATTGTTCAAAAAATGTGCCATCAGACCAGGGTCAAGACTTAGTTTGCATTATCTGTTATAACAGCAACTATACGAAATGACCGAACGCGTTGGCGTCGAGTTGACGGCCCTCCTTCCTTCCGTTGAGTCCGCTCTGCTATCCTGAACTGACTGAACTGCCTATTCGCTGTCTTCTATATTATCTACCGCCTTGGTCGCTGTCTAAGTGGCGGTGGACAATTTTACTAATATAAAACAATTTAGAGCGATATCGTCAATTGATTGTTTATTATCAGATTTACTATATTATCTCTACAGCCGAAATGAATACACGCGTTATAAAACTCGGCACACACGTTTGGTCATTCAGGGGACACCCTCGTATATTAATGGCCCTTACGTGCATTCACTCGGGTGTGACGGCCGATTTACGGTGTACTTACCGATAGCTAATGAAACACATAGACCATCCTGGGTCGGGCCAAATACTTTTTTGCGGAAATGGGCTTCGACATTAAAGCACCTCCCCCCCCGCGCACAGCTCTAGTGCCTGTGTGTGTGTGTGTGTGTGTGTGTGTGTGTGCGTGCGCTTGTATACTGTACCTACAACACGTCAATGTCCTTACGAGACGAACACGGATACCGCGCCGTGTTTTTCGTGTAGACTGGTCGTCTCGGAATACGTACGAAAAAAAAAAAACCCAAATGTCATAAAAATGCAATAATAATAACAACAATAATAAAAGCGGTTGATGCGGCTCACGTATGTTCACTTCGAGGTCACGTATCCCAGTGACGGGCGACCGTCATACGCGTGGACAACAAACGTGTACCTAATTAATAACAACACGACGAAAACGCAGGCTGAACTGGAGATGTACCGGTTCTCGTTTTCGATTTTTTTTCCCCTCCTTTCTTTATACCGACGAATACGTTGCACACGCTACGGTATTATCGCCGTGAAATTATTTTTAGTTTGGTCGTCGGTTGCGCAACGACCAAGCTGCTCGGATTAAGAGGGGGGGGGCAAGGGGTCACGTTAACGGGGCCCACGAAAAATTATCAATATGGGCCCCCGGGGTCCCAGAACTCTTAGTCCGGGCCTGGCAAACGACACGATGATATGTTATTGCGTGAGAAAAAAAAAGTAAAAAAAAACTTTCCTGGATAATGCGTGTATATCGCGAATTGATTACAACGTAAGTATATTTAGAAAAAAAAAAAAATGTTTTCCTTACATATATGCGAAACCTCGTCTTTAATAAACAAGCAGGCGGCAGGTGTGTGCGTTTTAATGTTTTGTAATGCTGCACATTTTGGGATTTTGTAGTGCACACAAAATGGCCACTGATATTTTTTTGGAATCGAGGACAAATGACAAGGACAGCGTAACCGTTTAGAAATACAAGTAGGTATTATAAATTATTGTTCTGAAAGACAATTGGGAAAAAAAAGTATTCGTATTTATAAATATTTACGGATAGTCGGTCACTACATCGATTTAATTAGATGCCATGCACTCGTAGGCCGGGTTACATAAACGGTACATAAAAACAGTCGGATAACCTATGATATTAATTATCATGAAGCAAATTATATAAATCAATTAATTTTCGTGTTATTAAATAAACATTTTTAATGAAGTATTTAACGTACAGCAAAATGAGCACGACATCAAAAAGTGGTGAACACATTATATATTGTGTTATCAGTTCAATAAAGTGATGGAACTGTTTATAATTTTTACTAAAATCTGGCCTTAAAATTATCGATCCGATAAAAGTTCGTTTGTCGACAGAAATCGATAAAAGATAAAAGCCGTTTCTGCAACAGCCAATCACTTAATCGAACCGATCAGTTCGATGATCAGTTGTAGGTCTTTCATGCCACCCGACATTGGATTGTATTAGATACGCTAGTACGCAGGTAAACAACTAGGTAACTCCAGTTTTAATAAAAATGTCTACAAAATTCATAGATAGGTGGAAAATCCCAGTTATACGAAGCAAACTGCATAGATAATAAATAAATGGATAGGACGAGCCTATACTGGATCCATAGAGATCCATAATACGACTGGATCCGTCGTAATGATCACGTTATTTTTTTTTTTTGAGGGGAAGTGATAGACGGCCTTTATTATCTGTAAATCTTCCCACTGCTTTTTCTTCCGAACGCCCTAACGGTAACACTGTTTTTTCCCAACTTGTAGCTCCATCTCCTTTACTCAATGTTGACCGACGTTTTCCCCCATTACGCGCACCTCATACTCCATGTTTATATAGTTTATATACAGTCGAACAACACGTGAATCGCATCCAATAATAATGACAATTATAAAGTATTCCTTGTGTTTTTTTTTTCCTGCACAGGTGGTTCATCGAAATACATCTAGAACAATAATACCTATCGATTTCGTAACCGTTGACGGAAAAATAAAAAATCAAAACAAAAGAAACGATGATTAAAATATAGTATGACGTGTACTCGGTCACTGTACACGCGATATTACTGTATAATTCATACGTGAACGTTTTCGCGTTCCGTCACTTGTAATGGGGGAAAAAAAAGTACGCGATTCGAACAAATTCTAATTGTCTGTTCTAATTCTAGTTCGAAAAACCTAAACGAAAACAGTAAAAAAAAAATGGCAAAATCAATAAATGTCCGAACGGATAGTACCCGGAATATTCATTTTAGCCTCCGAATCCTCCCTCCCCCCCTTTTTATTTTTAGGATATTCATTATGAATTTAATATCTGTGAAAACTGAAAATATTATTTACAACTATATGTGCAAACATAATATTACATAGCCGTGCTCGTACAGCCGTACGGGCAACCGTGATCAGTGTGATTTTCGAGGTCACGTCCGCGCGACACGTCAAACAAAAATAACAACACGGAAATTTACCGGAGAATCACCGGCCGGATCCAGTTTATATGTTTCTTTCGAATGTTTTCTTTTTTTTCGTTCCGAGGTCCCGATGACGTCAGCACATGGCGGGCCCCTTTCGTTCCGATTTTCCCCGCTGCCACCGCCCGGTTTGTCGGTAAACAAAACAAACGGCCGCCCGACAGGGCACCTCTAGTAGAGTGGTGGTGGGAGACGAACGGCACGACGTCGTCGACGCCACACCGCCGTGCTGTTGTTCGCCTATTGTGTTGTCCGATTCGTGCGCTTGGCATAGTGCAGTTATAGCTCTTTAGTTTCGCAGTCGCTCGCCGCCGCGTTCTGTCGTCTGTACGTTCGCGTTTTCGTCCAGGGTATTGTCTGCCGCCAATTCATCGGTTCGTAAAAAACAACGACACCCACGCACGGTAAGTGACAGTTTTTCCACGATGCCGCCGGACACTGTCCCGCGCTTTTATCATTTCCGCGTACACTGTAGAGCGTAGATTAACACCGTCCCGAAAGCACTAGTCCAGGTCCATACGTGTGTGTGTAATAAATGAGCTTTCGCGGTAAAGCTATCCACAGCGCAGTCGCTCCCGTTGTACACTCCCCCCCCCCGTAACGATATTTCGTTTCTCGTACGCCCCGCGTTGTTTGTTCCGGAAAGATACCTGCGTGATAATTATATTACCGGCACGCTACAGGTAAGCGCAACCGGTGTGTTCGGACGGTCTCCCGTAGGATTTCCCGGGTAGATTTCTGTGTGGGCGGCCGGGCAATGTTCCGGCGAAATAATGTTGAAATATCGCCGCCGAGTGCGCGGTTCATCATACTTTGCGGGTTTTCGGGGGAATCGCGGACGTTTTTGATTATTTTGCCATGTTGTGCCGTGCCGGGTAGTGAGTTGGCCAGATATGGAGTACTTATTACAGATCGGGGTATCCGCGGTTTGAATAACGCGTGCGATTTCTATTCGGCGACTTTCTAATGTATAGCGCAGGTAATACGTGCGTTTCGAGTCGTCCGTTTTCTATGTAATTATCGCACGGTTATAAATGGTTTTACGACGGTCACACGGTCCGCATCGCCGTATTGTTTTCGGCGTTTCGGCTCGCCCTTTCTCGGAACGTAGGCATCTGTGGCCAAATCTTTTACTCGGCCACGGGTACCGTGTACCTAACGAGCGAAATGATCGGTTTCTCGTGTTGAGAAGGAAACGCGCATCGCGGTCCGAGTACGACACCGAGAAATGCGCACTAATCCGGTTCGTGGGGTCTTCGAGAAGCGGTTGCATCCAAACGCGATTCGTTTGATATTCAGACGCGGTGGTTGCGTGCTCGATATTTGTTCGTTTGCTTTTCGTATATGTCGGTCGATTGCCGGACGGCTGTTGAACACGTAAAGTGAATTAAGAAAAAAAAAAAAACCGTGCCCGATGTGAAAATAACTGACTATCATCACAGCGCTCGTTTACTGCCAATTTATTGAAAATATCGGGAATGTCGGCTGATGTTGGTGGACGGAGGTACTGAGTAGCAGAGTACGATAATGTCGCTTTTGGATTCGTTTCGCCACCGGTCCGCCGACGACGCATCCCTCGGTAGGTAATCGAATCCGCGCGACCGCACCGATAATAACGCGTGCTCCACGACTACACGCATAGTGAAACGTTTTATCTATCTGTACAAAGTAACGAGAGTAGTATAAAAATGCTAGAACAGTTTGATATTTTCACCACTTTGAAAATGTGAAAATATCAGAACCCCCGTTTTTATACTGCTAACGGATGATAAATCGCCGCATCGGTTTACCGTTTCGTCCGAGGACATCTCGCCTTGTTTACAACACCTTCGTAGAAGTGGCCTATCCATTTCTTCAATATCTACGCGCGCGCCACGCCCCGGCGATAACTGATAAGGATAACGAATAACGGTACGCTACGCGCTCTATCTGAAGATACCATCGTCGTCCACTACTCGCGGCCGGAGTTGGCACACAACTCGCCGCAGCTCGGAGAGTGTGGCAGACGGAAACGCACGGTTTGAAAAATCAAAATAAAAAAATCATCGCGCCGGATTCTCGGAATTTTTCCGCGCCGCGTTTGTGTGAACACTCCCCGCCGACGCGCCCGATTTTCATTCCGACCCCGGAAAACCTTTTTCGACGGTTATATTCACACGAGGCCGGGCGTTGACTAGTCGCGAGTTAATTTCAACTTATCAAACCGCGTTGTATTTGTAAACATAATCGGACGTTTTCACATTGCCCGGGACAATCTATCGTTTGTTTCTATGATATCGGAACGCAAATAAGATTAATACCCATGTTTACGGAGGATTTCGTAGTATTTATGTAGATTAAAACTTATCTGCCTTATAAATTGCAGTAATGAATTATAGTTGCCGCATTATCATAATGGATTTATTTTCTTAGTAATAATATTTGGGAAACCGGAAACATTAAGTGTCCCGTATAAAGACATTAATAGCCACGAGCCCACTTCGTAGCATTCGATTATTGGCGATTAAATACGATTAATTTGAATTACGACGCGTTTCGATTTATTTATTTTTCATAATCGCCTACGATATTGGTATAATGATAACATACATACCACGCATGAGCGTGTACCTAAAGAGTTTTACATTCTGAGCGAAGCGACTAATTTGTATTGGTTTTGCAAAACGGTGTTAGTAATTTTTTTTTTTTTTTTCTCATATCTGTTAACGAGTTTTTTTACCACCAATTTTACAACGATTTTCGAGCGTAGTGCTTTTTCCGAAGGGAAACCAAATTGGGGTGATACTTCGGGGAGATCGTTAATTTCGATTTCCCCAGCTGTTTTCATAATAAACGTGGACATTCTTAAATACGCTACGGCTTAAATTGTACAAAGCAACACCATTAACCGAACTCCGCTCAGAATCGTTTTTCGTTAACAATGGTTAATCGCTGCGTAAAGATTTATATTAAATTTCCCCTCTGCCTTCCCAACGTTTCACCTACAACAGATGTGTACAGTTTTAAATTGAAACATTTTATTCGAAAGATTTAAAGATCTAAAACAATTTTCTTTTGCGTTACAATACGAGTAGGTACGAGCAGAAACAGGCACGCGAAAAACAGGCACACTGTTAAAAATGAACCACCAATTCGATTTTAGTGATTATGTGTGGGTGGTTTTAACAATTATCATATGTCTATAGATTTACAGACAAAATAATAAAAATTAATAATTAAATTAGCATCGAATGCGAATGGAATGCGAATTTAGCATCCCAGCACTACTACAGCCCAACAGATTTTGAAAACGCACGCCGCTAAATAGGTGTAATGTGCATTTTTTTTTTGTCCCGCTGTCTATAAACCCAACGACGGACAGTTGCTGCTACAGCAATCGTTGCGTGTACTTTCGAGCCGTAACATGACCGCGGCCACTGTAACGGCCGCGTATGGTCTGAAAATCGTAAAATCACACGACTGTTGTAGCGCTCATGTCCGTAATGGATTTATCGTATTTGTGAACGATTGAGGGAGACGGATCAAACGTCCATTTACGACATTCGCACTCGTCAGCGGCAAAATGTCGGCTGTGTTCTAAAAACGTATTCAAAAAATACCGTATTGCCGCGTTATGTTTGGTTGATAACGTGCGGTTTTCGATCGTAACCGCGGATATAGATAATACACCGGATAGCCATCTACGCCGCGTAGCGTAAATTCGCAAGCATCATGTATGCCCCGGGCGACGCCGCTTTTCCGCCGTGTCGGTTGGGTGGGGGGGGGGACATTGGGTTTCGTAAATTTGCGATCGTTGCGTCCGTTTACACACGGATGAATTTCATCGTGATTCGCGGACTCGAAAATATCGTCGATATTAATTAACGTAACTGTCTGCTTTATTATTACGCATGTTTCGGACATAATAATAGCGAAAGAAATGTAGTTGAACAATCGAATGGACTGGACACGTTGACGCTCCTTGGTTCATTATTTTAAATATCTATTATTGTACGGGATTATGTTTTGAGTACTTGATTGTACTTCATTTGGCTTTATACCCGTGAATTAAATAACATGTCACAAAATATGACCACTTGAACAGTAATTTAGACACACTCGTCATAACTATTCAACATTTTACATGCACGTCAATGTGAATGTATTGATTAAAAACAGAACCAGTTTAAAATATTATTTTGTCTGTTTATGATGATACCAGCTGCATATCAGTGATTTGTTTATGCTGCCTTCAAACTGTACCTCGCGATCTCTTAACTTTTTGCCGTAAAGTTTTAACATTTTTTTCTTAAACCTGATTCGATCGGAGTTTCTTTAACTATTTTCCATTTTTTTTTTTTCAATTAGTTCCACAAGACAACTTTTCGCTTGACTACAAACTATTAAAAACATTATATTATTTATTCGAAATAAATAATTAATAAATGCTCGTTTCATCAACCTAACGCACCAGAGTTATAAGATTTTATGTTACTAGATTTAAAAACCCCTCTTTTCGGGTTTCTTTTCGGAGAAATTGCAAGTAACACATTACAACTTGATATCTTATTCACCGTATAGTCCAGTGGATCTGTGGCTGAAATAAAAAAAATATTTTAATTTTGTTTCAAGGATTGTATTAGCGATGATTTTCACTCATTACGATTAGTATCACATTCAACACAAGGTTTGTTAAATCGACAATAATCATGTTCATGTTGAATCGCGTCTATATTAAATTTTTCTTGGCCAACAAATAAATTTGGGACTGCTGTTTCTTTAAGCCGTTTACTATCTGGCCGTCGTACAAAATATTTGTCAGTGAAATGAATATTACACGTCTTGTGATATGCTGGAATACGATTTTGTCTTTTTATAGCAGTTGTTCATTTTTCTTTAACTACATTATTATTTGGAAATCTATACAAAAATGATTTGGTAAAATAATTTTTACACTACCGTAAAATTATATATATATATAGATGACTATGTCGAAGCTACTGATACATACTTGAAAAAAACCATTTTATTACGACCATAACGATTAGCACATCCAAGTACACAGCAAGTTAGTAGCATTTTACCTACACTACTTACACTTTTGCAAACACAGAATTAAAATATCATAACAAATGAGCATAATGTGCTCATTTGTTTTTTTTTTTTCCTAAGGGTGTTGGATATAATTTATTTTTAGATCATATTTAAATCAGATTTGTTTTCTTTTTTACGTGTTACTAACAAATATTGTTTATTATTGATGAATAATTATAAATAATTATAAATAATTTTGTATTTTTACACAATCATTTTGATTAATGATTTGCGTGTATAATTTATTTTTCATTATTATATGTTTTTATGTATATAGGCAATAATTTAGTTTATTACCTATATCTGTGGTAATGTATGACTTGATTTGAAATAGCCCCTGCGAAATAATAGATTAGGTATCACGTAGTGATGATAACACTGCAGATCCTACAACAAACGTGACTTTTTTCGGTATTTACTGTTATCACTAGTTAGTAATCTAGTTTATTATCTATATCTGTGTCGTAACTTATCTTATCTGTTGAAAATACCATATTATTCGTTAACCAATACGTCCTAACATAATCACAGATATTATATACTATAATATAATAATAAGTAGGAAAAACCCAGAAAACAAGGATAAACGGGAAAATAGGTACAATATTAAAGAAAATATATTGGCTAACAGTGATTTTTTCTCAATAGCAGGAGCAACTGTTACTGCCACTAAAAAAGTAGCAGTGAAAAGAGCAGCGACTTCTATCTCATGCTTTTGATCACTCTAAAATAACACTGATTTTTCACATTATCTGCAGTATCACCTTTGAAAAATCACTGTTACTGTTTCTTCATGCCATCACTATTATTATGTCTGTTTAATTATTCTACCATAATATGGCATTTAATATATTTTTGACAAAGCAACACTATTAACCGACCTCCGCTCAGAATTGTCTTTTCGAGACATGTCCGTCTATTTATTTTTATTGTTTTTGTATCTTTAATATGAACAAAAAATGCTCTAAAGCATTTTTATTCAAAACAATTATTAGTGAGTTATAGAATTGACGACGATGTAATTACAGCTAGATGATACGTGACTGCTATTATTAGCAGTCACGTCTGTCGATGGGTTAACTTATTAATTTAAGGAAAGTTCATGGTATTTATCGATTTAATTTTAAATGTAATTGATGTATTCTAAATGTCTATTAACTCGAGTTTTAATTTAATTAACATCAAAAAAAAAGCATACTTAACAAAGTTTTAGATAAAATATCAGTAACCTGCCCAGCCATGGTTTTTTGTAATGAAAAAAAAAACACTAATAATAAAAATCAGCTAGACAAATAAAACCTATATCGATACGCTATAATTTATACGTACCACCCATACATAATTTATAAATAGTATCTGAATGCTGTAAAAAATATGTTCGTGTAAAAAAATTTAAAATATTCGCGGACATTTCTGATAAATCCTTATCAAATGTGCCGGCGTATAATTTGTGGAAAACTGTTACGACCTCGGTTAATGGCCGACCTCTACACCATTATTTATTTACTTTACATCATGGTTTACACATTGAAATCGAAAACACTTTTATCTATTTATTCGCGTTTTCATTATGCCATTATAATACCTATCCAATTTCGGTGTATATTTATGTCGTCATAACGGTATACAGTGGCGTACCATTTTCGTACCATTTTCGTACCATTTTGATATTTTACTCGTACCATTCGACCTAATAACCTTTTTTTTTTTTATTTGACTTATCGACAAATAAAATCTACGCGTTATTTTACATGTGCGGTGCCTGTGATATTATTAAAACCACATAATTATCATCATTGAACATAAAAAAGTAACATACATGCATAATGTACAGTTATTATTTATAGATTAATGAACTGCATTATAACTAATAGCTTTTTTTTTCCAACCCATCGAAACGTTTTATTGCGTACCACGGGTTGCTCGTCTCGAAAGTCGGGACATTTGTAGGAAATAAATATCAGATAAATGACTAATCTCGTAAAAAAAAAAAAATATTGATGCGATAATACGCCTTATACGCATTTGCCGGTCACTAATTCGCGAGCTACATGTAAACTCCTACATAGTCCCTTTTTACTTGCTAAAAATATATAATGTAATCTCCAACACAGATCTTTTTATATTTTTGGATCAGAGTGTACCGAAGAATGTATATTGGTTTTTGTTTTGGTAAGCGTCAATCAGGAAAACTGCTTCAATATCACTTTTCGATAATAATGTCTTCGTGATTAATTGAAAAATTGTCCAGCACAACGGTTATTAAAATGAAAATAACCGTGAAATTTAAAAACGATATTACGTATACGATAATACGACCCATAATCAAGGTGGATCCACCTTACCCACAATGTTATCGAGTACATACATTTATCTGATAAAATAAAAACTCTTATTGATATCTCGTAGCATGTTAGTTATTTAAATAAAACGTTATATGTATATTAATATATAATGTCGTACATAACGTTATTACTGTAAAAGAATTAAAAATAAGCCGATCATATGAAAATAAAACATTTGCGCTCAAATAATCAACAGATTACACGCAGTACTGACAGTAGTTAATGACTCATTACATAGGTTTATTTGAATAAGATACTATTTACTATTAAATAATATTTTACGTTTAATACTAACCGTTTTGTTTTCGACGAATAACAATGTGGAAAAATCTGAAATTTAAGCACAATTGCATATTTTGTGTACATCCTACCAATGTTTTAATGATAATAATATGGCAATCGGCTATGTTTAGAACAAAATAAAATGTTCCCGTGATAACATAATTTATTAAAAGCGATACCGCGGTGTTGCGATCGGTATTCGACAGGTACTAAACTTTGATAATAGCTGATATCGATAATTTGTGGTTTATAAATGATTGATATTTAATAGTACCTAACTTACTAGTGTTAAGGCATTTCACTGACACCGTATGGGCTGTGAAATATCTTAACGATATGATTGGATGAATAATACCATAACCGTAATTTGGGTATCACTATAACCGGCGTTACCGCTTGTTACCATAATGTTGAAAATACTACTCGTGACCCTAATAGTTTTATTATTATTTATCTTGTCATGTTCGTACTTTTGTATCGTTGTTGATCTAAAATAGCTGTTAATATTATAATTTGTCTTTTGTGTAATTTTAATTGCTCATGATACATTTCCATGTCTGTATCATATTTTCGTTTGAGCATAGCTACCGAGTAGTGACTAGTGGATATTCCATAAAAATATAATATAATTATTATTTTCGGACTTTGTATTTCGAATTAATCACCTATATTTGTATTTTATTTTATTTTTTTACCAAAGGTCCAATTCGAGTAGGTAATCGCATATTGCGGTGACTCGGTAAAATATCGTTAGATATTACACGGTCCACACGGTGTTGGTGGAATGCCGTCTTTACATTGCCTACATGAATGATTTACATTTGAAGTTTGAACAGTGTTTCTGTAATACAATAAATATTATGTTCTCCGAGATAATAATTTGTCTGCACGAGAATTCGTGACGACGGGGACCCACCCGCCACCAATTTTATTTGTTGGACAATATTGTTCTACATTTACATTGGGTTTGGTGTCGCTGGATTTATCAAAATATTATCAAATAATAACCGCAACAGATGTATGTGTTATATTATAATGTTCTATGTGTATTATATCTGTGGTGATAACCTAATAATTCTATATTCTATGATGATAACAATAATAATGTGTTCCTTGGTGGTATATTGTTATTATTATCATCGTCGCCTCCCACGCACGTCGTGCAATAGCGATATGTAAAATACAAATAAATTCCTCAAATTTATAATATTATATTAAATCGCATTTGGAAAACTGAAAATTATGTCATTTTATATTGTTGATCATTATAATAATTTAGAATTTATACATAATTACAGTACGTTAGTTCTCAACTAATTTGAGGTATACAAATATTTTACAAGAATACTTTAGTGATAAATTCTGAATTATCCATATTTTTCTACCTAGTAATATCAGCGTCGCCGCCGTTCGTTAAAATTCTATTTTTGTCAATTATATATCGCCAGCACTGTCATTTAAGAATTTTAATACCAAACCTTGACAGTATACCTATTATGTACTTTTTTCTATGCGAGTGCCAGGAAATCGTTTCTCCAGCACTAGTATTACCAAACCAAATTCGCATCAGATATAACTTTTCGTCGACATAGTATTATGCGGTGTGTCGCCTCTCACATCGTCCTGTGTCGTCGATCGTATCTAAAAACTGTCACACAGTCATATTTGATAACGTTTAATTATATTGAAGTCTCTGGAGCGTATTTAACATATGGTCCTTGGACCACCGGCGGTCCCTGAAACTTTGTGTGGCGGTTGAAAAAGTTATTTAAGCACGTAAAGCAGCGGCGTACGCTCACCGGGGGAGGGGGGGCAAAATATATTTTCACCCACTCTTAAAATAGAAAATTCCTTAAAAAATTAACGTCACAGATACAATAATTGTGTTAATAGATACGGGAATTGGGCTCTTTTATGTTTGTAAAACATACAATTTCAATACATGTAATAAGACATTTTTATTTAATTAAATATAATACTAAGTCCAACCTCCTGTTTTTCGTGGGAATAGAATCTTTGAACGATATCCACTGGGTATACTATTACTACTAATCGACCATCCCGACAAGAGAACATTTGCCAAACTCACCTATTTGTTTTCCGCTCTCTTTCCTCCACCATAAAAAAAAAAAAAAAATATAGTCAAAATCGGAGTTTTTCCGTATAAAGCATAATTAACGAGCCAAAACACGCGCTGCTGGCATCGGGCTCTCCTTTTTGTTCGCTAACAATCGCATAGTAACGAGTTTTTGTTAAAGTGATATAAATAATGTCGATAACAAATACTAATATTACTGACGCGAACGTGTAAGACGCAACGGATGTGAATAGAATAACTCATTGTTATCTGTTGATCTATACGTCTATAATATGTTGTCTATTGGTTTTAGTAAGATATGTGTGTGCTTCTTTTTTCTTTTTATTTTTTTTTTATGTGTAAACAACTTTTTGAAAAAAAACCTCGCCCTGGTGTACAGAGTGTAGCACCATTTCTGAAAGGAAATTTTCTCCAGCTGATCCATTGGAATATTTCATTTTTTTTTTTTTTTAGTTTTCCGAGGGGTTTTCGAAATAATTGGGAAAATTCCCGGAAGAAAATTATAGGTAAAACGGCAAATGTTTTCTACCAGAAATATTGCTCCGATTAAAAAAAATGAAACGTAACATTTTTTTTGTTGTATTTTCAACCTAGTTGGTGACAAGTAACAAGTCATTTTTTGATTTTCTTTGTAGTTTTTTCAAATAATTGACCAAAACCGAGAAGTATGTAGAAAGCACGGGAAAATTTACATAGATAATTTTTTTTTAAATTTTAAATTTTGTTTTTTTTATGTAACTAATTCAGTTAAAAATATTCGTAGACTTTAAATTTTTGGCAAACAAATTATATTTAACTTTTCTAATCGCGGTACAATTCTCAAATCATATGACATTTTAACTATTTATAGGCATTTTTTGTTTGCGATTTTTTTTTATGTAATTATTATTTGGTAGGTAAGTTTTTAAACTCTAATGTTGATAGTATACGGCATATAATGTAGTATACTGTATGGGGACACTACTGTATATACATAATTTAGATATTGTTTCTTGTTTTATGATGCGTTTTACTATTTACTTATTTTAACATTAAATTGAAAAATATTGAGAAGTAAATTTCCTGTTTTATTTGTTTCGTTTAGTTCAAAATGGGAGACTGTTTTAGCTGTTGCGGCTCTTCAGATAGGATCGAACCATCTTCGCCTGATGCAAAGGTATGTAATAATATGTTGTATACTCATAGTTTTAACTAAAGTTCAAAATTACTATGCAAATTAAATAAACTAATATTTTGTATAAATAGCTATTTAATGTGTTTTAAATTTTAATTCCTATTTGACCTAAAAATATTGGAAGTTTAAAATAAATTTGATTTGAAAAAGAAAGTGCGTTCATTGATCAGATAATAATTATATGCCATATACTGACTCATATAAATTGAAACTTTTATAGGTCTTCTAAAATTATAAATTAGGTACCTCCATACATATGCATTTGTACTGTATTGATCACATCTATTACCTACTTTATAAACGCTATGTTATGTGTACTTACTACCTATCACTTTAGGTAAAATATTAATATTTACTTACATTTAAGTATTGCGCACACAATATTTGTTTTCTTTTCGAGTTCCATTTATTAACTATGAAAACTAATTATTTTAATTGTAAGGCATAAATTACAGTATTATTAGTATAACATACCGTTGCACTTCTTTAAAAGTTATTAAAAACATTTTTAGTAAATATCAACCAATTAAAAAAATACCTTTTTCAAATTTTTCCAATAACCATATAAGGTAAAATACATATTTTAAAAATTTAACTTTTATGTAATACAATAAACAAGTCCAATTTCTGTATACCTATATCATTAAACCAAAAAAAAAATGAGGGAATACAATGCAAATAATTATAAGTTTTAACACTATACATTAATTATATTATGAGTATAATAAATTAGTATACTAAATAACTATATAGCTTATATTGTATATATTTATAAAAACTAATTCAGTAAATTGTAATACATAAAAAGTAATCATTTTTACAGTTATTTTTACTATTTGATAAATAACCTACAGTGGTTTAAAATTTTACAGGCCAATTTTAAGGGTCCTGTAAAAGGAAGATCTTGTACAGATGGTTCATTTTTGGCTCTTTTCTTATTTGTTTTAATATCTCTGGTAAGTTATTTTTAGATTTCAAATTTTATTATCAATCTTAAAATGTATAAACTTGTAATTAATTATTCTTTTTAGTTTGGATTAGTAATATATTGTTCAATAAATGGTAATGTTAATCGTCTTTTTTACGGTTTTGATCAATGTGGAAACATTTGTGGTTTTAAAAATGAAAAACCCTCAGATTCAAGGTTCTGTACTGGTGCTGATATGACAAATAAACCGTAAGTTAGTTAACATTGTAGGTAAACATTAACATTTAAACATTTTTTAATTTTTAATACATGTAATTTTTAGATACTTAAAAATTGACGCTCCAGTTTATAAATTTGCTGATTTAAAACATGTAAAGCGAGAATGTGTGAGCAATTGTTCAGATACAGTTGATTTGTATGTGTTATAGTTATATAAAAGATAATTTAATATTTCAATAATACAAGGTGATCAATTTATCGAAAGACATTAATTCACATCTCATTCAGATCTTGGAAAGTGTAAATGTTTTTTAGAATTAGTATTGTAGAAAATTTAAGAAACAAGTAGCTCTACAATTTTACATTTGCATTGTTTTTTGTCACCCGTATTTTTTAGGGTTAAACAGCTACCTACGTTTAATTTTAAAATGACAACTTATAAAAAAAAAAAAAAAATTGTAAATAGATGAAGTATTGAAGTATGAAGTGAAACAAATTTTGCTGTTGGATTTTTTGATTTCTGTCTATCTATTGATAAGATATTCCATTTTTAAATTTGGTCATATATGTGGTAGCATGATGCGTGGCATTTTAATTATGCACCACTATTCTACCCCAACCAAAACTTAATTGTGGAATCTTGTCAATGGATTAACAGAAATCAAAAATCTTAACACCAAAATTTATTTTAACTTATACTCTATCTATTTATAGAATATAGGTTGCTGTTTGAAAATCAAAATAGGTAGTGGTTTCACCCAAAAAAATAAGAGTGATAAAAAATAACATTAATGTAGAGTTGTAGAGCTGCTTGTTTCTTAAATGTTCTATGTTTCTATAAAAAAAAATGCCAAAAAAAGTTAATACTTTCAGAGATAATAAGTGTCTTACAATAGATTGATCAGTTTGTAAATTCATTGTTCGGTTTATTATTTACTATTTTATCCTTTATTGTTATAGCCGAGAATTTATGCATAGATGTATACCAAAAGGTGATGAAACAACATTAAATATTATATTATCAAATTCATCTATTGGCAGCCTTTTTCAAGTAAGTTAAAACCATGTTGTATATTTATTATTTGAAAGTATAAGTTTTGTTTATTTTTTTAGATTAACATTTGTTTTAATAGAACTATTTTACAATAAACTAATATAGGTGATACATTTATTTTCATAATGTTCTTTGAAATATAGAAAAATTTTAAACCTACATTATTGTATACTAGTTGCCATATTTTCCTCAAGAAGACAATCTAAAGTTCCATATTTTTAAATTGTTTTTTTTTTTTAAATTTCAATATAATTAGGTACCTACTATTATAATAAGAATTATAAAACAACTCAAAGTTACTAACATAAAAGTTAAGTTTTCTTGAACTTGAATAGTTGCCTAAGTACTATTTATTTACTTTAAATAATTGTTTTACCGTGGTTCTTAATAATAATAATTAAAATAATAAATTAAATAAATAATTTTAAAATATACTCGAACCCTGCTTTGAAATTTGAATGTGATATATAAAAAAAAAAGAGCTGATACTACTAATGTAGATGGAAAGTTGGAAAGGTAGGATACATAAAGTTATTTAATTTACATCTGTAATCAATAATAACAAAATATGATTTCAAGCGAAGTTTGATCATACATGTTTTGAAATGTCTTAATATTTACAATTTTCTCCAAAAAACTACTACTTTACGCACTTTTTTTCTACCGTTAAGTACAACATATAATGTGTTAAATTTTCAAGCATTTATGTATGGCAAAATAATTTTATCAACATAGTACCTACCAAAAAAAAAAAAAACATTTTATTTATGTAAAAGTACATGTTCATGTCTTCTATAAATACTTGTAAGTGCATTACAATTCTGAAAATTATCCTTTTAAACTACCTAATAAATCATTATTTGAGTTTTGTTACTTGTAAACTAATATGTGAACTAATTTATACATAGTATTGTTACTGTAATTTTGTTACATCAACAAAATGGTTACAATTATTTTGTTTACTTTGTTTTTGATTTTTTTTTTCTAATTGCGTTAACATTGTAAATTTGAAGTGTAATAATTCCAATTAATTACAAAAAATGAATTATTGTTTTCTTTAGGAAGTGACTCAAGATTTACAACACACCAAGTGGGATATAATAAATCTTTGCATATTTGCTTTTAGTAAGTGTCTAATGTTTTTCTGCATATTTATAAATATGTATATATATATAAAAAAACAAAATTACATTAGTTTCAATTTAATTATAATAATAAAATTAATTGTCTTTTGATATAATTTCCTTTTGTCCAATATTTATGTAGATTTGATTAATTTAATCAGTATAGTGACAAACATCATATAGTGATAAAACTACTGTTTATTTCTGAAAATAATAGCAAAGTTAGATTTTAATTTTTGTGATTTTTATAAATGTTTTATATTTGTAAAATATAAATTTATAACATATTTTTTGGAAATATAGTTTAATTTAATTTACAAACTGAAACAATACTCAGTTTCCCTAAAAATATGAAAATGTATACACAGTGATATGATATTAACATTAATATAGATTATTAAATAATAATCATTATTATTTTAAATCTACCATTTTATTTTACATTTAAGTCCCTTTCACATATATCCGATCCGTCAGAACATGAAATTATGAACTTATTGTTTTTCAATGTATATATTCACACACATCCATTCTGAGCATTACGAGTTCTTTCCGATCAACAAAATTATGTCGCCAACCAATTTTTTTTGGTCTGAGCTAACACACAGAATGCTAAAAGAATTGAAAATGTCTAAACAAGCATTCAATTTTATTTTAGTTTTGACAGCGTTTCATTTGAAGTTAGCAGCTTACATTATTAATTTATGGTACTCAAATGACAAATGCTCATAATTATGATTTTAATTTTACCTCATACTAAACATCAAGCAATTTTATCTTGTAAAAATTCAGATACATATTCTTTTAGAGTTTATTTCTTTCTCTCGAAGAAGTATTGGGACAACCATAATTAATTTGTCTTGGCTACATTTATTCATATTACTAGACTTACAGTTATACAAATTAGAAAACTCAACCTGGATACTTCAAATTTTGAAACTTAAACACGTCTACAATATACAACTTCAGAGTGCGTACTGAATGCTACTATAAAAATCTAAAACACTAAATCAGATTGGATTGGATGTGTGTGAAAGGTCCTTTAAACAATATTAATTTATTACTTCCACAAATAACTAATTATTAATTATAATTCATAGTTTATTTTTATAAAATGTCTTTAAATTTACAAGAAACAATATTTTGTACAATTATCAGTAATAAAGTTATTATGGTTTTTAGAATATCAAATTATTGTAAAAATTAGTGAAAATATAATTTTTATTAAAAAATAATGCTAATAATATATGATTGGTAGAATCATTAGATTAGGTTAAAGTATTTTTATTTTGTTCAATTCATATTTTATGATTTTTTTTATATAATATGCACTTAATTTTTGAAATACTTAAATTCATGTTTTGTAATTTGATTACTTTCAGTCACATCACTTGTCATTGTGTTTTTGATAAGATTTGTAGCTGGCATAGTTGTTTGGTTTGTACTTATTGCTGTTGTTGTGGTCAGTTTTTCAGCATCTATTTTTCTATGGTAATAACACTTGTTCAATACAAATCTTATAATATTATTGTGATAATAAAATTAATATGGATATTTTATTATATGTGTAAAGGATAACATGGAAACAAAAATCAAATTATGAAATTAAAGACCAAATTGTACAAAGAGATGTAAATACTTATTTTGCATTTGCATTAATTGCTACAATATCTACAGTAAGTAATTAATATTTTAAGTATAAATGTTATGTTATTTACAATACTGTTATATAAATATATTTCAGGTGATTATTTTGTTAATTATTGTAGCAATGAGAAATCGTATTGCTCTCGTTGTTCAATTATTCAAAGAATCTGGCAAAGCTATACAGAGCATGCCACTATTACTTGTACAACCGATGGTGGTGAGTGTTTATACAGGATATCCCATGAAGATATACCCATTGTCAAAGTTCAAAGAAAAAAGTGTACAGTCAATTATTCATAATAATAATCAATTAGCTAATGTGAATACAGCCTGTTACATAACAATAGGTACTTTTTTCTAAAACTTTAAAAATTATCAAGTCACAAATTTAATGATGAAACTTGAACATTTTCAGAAGAATAAACTATTAAGTGATTATCTTCAAATAAATTGTTCAAAAATAATAAAATAAACTTATTTTTTTAAGTATTCTATCAAATCATAAGAAATTAATTAAAACATAAATATTTGCAGTTTTAATCCCTACAACTAATATACAAAAAAAAAAAACTGAATTTGATTATTTTTATTATCTCAGGAGATATTGCAATGGGTATATCTTTGTGGGACATAATGTATTTTGAAATATTCTGTGATATTTATTTATAACTCATGTACATTTTATTATATAAATAAAAAAGAATAAGTGTTTTATTATGTGTACTTTAGACATTTATTTTCCTTTGTGTCATGATTGTCACGTGGAGCTATTTTGCTGTACTTATTCAAGGATCTGGATTTCTAGCAATCGAACCAGAAAGTCACAATGTTTACTACAAAAAGGACCAGCTAATGAAATTCGCAAGAGTCTATAATTTGTTGGTACTACTTTGGGTTATTGAATTTATCATTGCTTGTCAGCATATGATCATTGCCGGCGCTGTGGCCACATGGTTCTTCACTAGAAACAAAAACAATGTATCATCTCCAATTTCAACATCTGTTGGTTATTTGTTCAACTACCATTTGGGTTCTGTAGCTCTAGGATCGTTTATTATTACTGTTATTCAGATTATAAGAGCTATATTAGATTTTATTGATGAATCCTTAAAAGATTCTAAAAACGAAATAGCTCAAGCATTGTATAAAATGTTTAAATGCTTGTTTAGTTGCATCCAACAATTTGTACAATATTTGACAAGAAATGCTTACATTGAAGTTGGTAAGAAATATATTTAATATATATTAATTGTTGTATTGTATACTATACAATTTAATTTTTTTTTTTTTTTTAGCTATTTACGGTGACAACTTCTGTAGATCGGGACAACTAGCTTTCAAAAATATAACTTCGAATGTACTTCGTGTTGCTGCCATTAATTCTGTTGGAGATTTTGTACTGTTTTTGGGAAAAGTATTAGTAGTTACATCAACTGTCTTACTAGGTTTTAAAATACTCGAGGTATTTTTATTTTTAATTATTAAATTCACATTTTAAATAAACCTAATGGCTACCTGTCTGCAGAAATTTCCAATACAATGAAGTGTAGAAATAATCAACTTTATCATATTAATAATTATTGTTTATATATTATAGAACAAACCTGGAGTACTTCACTTGTGGGTTCCGTTAAGTGTTGCTGGAATTTTCGCATATTTTGTTGCTCATTGTTTTATTTCCGTGTATGAGGTGAGATATTTTCCATATTATACATTTATACAGGGCGATTTACTTAACTGGAAATACTTAATATCTCAGAAAATATTAACTTTTTTCAAATTTTTTTTTCTTGAAAACTTAAAAATTCAAATAGTTCTAAAATGTTGCTTTATCATTTTTTTTTGTACCCCTTATTTATGAGGGTGGAATAACTGCTTAATTTTGATTTTAAAATGTAATCCCCAAAAATAAGGGGTACAAAAAAAATGATAACTTAACATTTCGGAACTATTTGATTCTTAAGTTTTCAAAAAAAATGTATACTATCCGAGATAATGAGTGTTTCCAGTTGAGTGAATCACCCCATATATATTTTTTTTATATAACCACATTATTTTTTCAATTAATGCTTAAATTAATTTAGATGGTGATTGACACAATATTTATGTGTTTCTGTGAAGATTGTAACTTAAACGACGGTGTCACTCAAGAATACTTTATGAGTAAAGAACTTATGGTGAGTTACTAAAATTTAATTTTTCAATAAAAGACCACTCTAGTATAAGTTCATTATGCTCATACTTCTTGTCATAGAGAAGTTATGGTCGGATTTCTTATTATTAAAATAGTAGAACATATTCATAACAACTGGAATTGTCTTAATGAAAGTAATAAAAAAAATAATGAATAAATTAATGTTTTATGTAATTCGTTTTTAAAAGGATTTTGTTGAGAGCAGTCAAAAAGTGTTGAGAATTGGTGATGGAGCAGCAAATTAATTTAAATTTAACCATACATAATTAGTAATAATTACTCATTACTGTATCAAATAGGGAAAAAGTACAAGTATTGCCTAAAATAAAATATCTATTAAGTTTATTATTTTATTTTATATTTATTAATTCATTGCCATTATTATTTATATGTATGAAAAAAAACATTTAAAGACTACACACATTTTTTTCTATTTGTTTTTTACTTTTTTTGAAAATTATATTATACAAGGTAGGTAAGTTAGTTATTATAATATCTAATTGTAAACAACAAAAATATCAATTTAAAAAAAAAACATTTCATGATATTCTGTTGTTAAATACTTAGCATGTTTTATTACATATTCTTTTAAAGAGATTTAATTTAGTTTAACCTCAAAAATATTGTCAATAGTACATTATAGAAATAATAATTTTTATTAAAATGTATTTAATTTAATTTTTAGTAGCATATTTATTTTTATAATGTAATAATTTATTTGATTAAATATTACATAATTTTTTTTAATTTGACTAAAGAATAATAATAATATTATTTATTATATTCAATTGATAATACCTATAGTATGACCGAGTAATAATTTGTCTAATCATATTATGATTAAAAATAATGTAAAGATCACATTTTTAATATGTTTATATATGGTATCTTATTAAATCCTTATTGCATTAATTATTTTACATTATATTTTGTATAATTGGTATACCTATACTATAAAATTGAATTTATATTATTATGAGCTTTTTATATTTATATTTATTTATACTATTTTGTATTTATAAATTAATTCTATCTATTATGTATTCAAAATACCTATTATTCTATTTTCTTAAGAAAATGTTATATTTAAATATAATCAATAAAACTTCTATTGGTTGTGTTTAGCGTTTGATTTATTTCTGATGAAATTTTTATTGAATGATCATTTAATGTATATATTATAAATACAGATACAGCAAATTATTTCATTCTTGGCATGTATTATTTGGTGATACAGTATTTTAACATATGTGTGAATGTGAAACCCTATTCTTTCATTTACATTCAGCCCACTTCAGTGGCAGTGAGCAGGGAAGTCAGCAGCGCAAGTATGTAAACAGATCACTCGTGCTAACCATGCTACTTGCATTGTTGCTGCTCAAAGCTCCTGTCAAGAGCGGTAAATTGAGTAGCGCGAGCAGCAACCTAATGGTCACATATAAGCTGTACATATTAGCAGGGAAATGTAAACACTCATTTCCAATAAATTATTTTGGTAAGTAAATACAACAGCGCGAGGAACAGTGGCAATGGTTGAATTTAAAAGTAGCTTATGAAAACTCAGCTCTTTCAAAAATATAAAAAAAAAAATATTTCAGATAGATTTTTGAAAATATATTATTCTTGATACAATATGTAATATATATAATACCATTTGTTAATTAGTTAAAAATGTATAAATGGTAGTAGTTTGTTTACATATCATTCCCAACCTTATAAGTTATAATAATATGAACGAATCTATATTTTGATATTTGAAAAATGTTGGTTAAATTGGATTATCTGGTAGTTTTCACCTTACAGTTAACACTCTATATTAATAATATTATATGGATGTAAATATTTATTGGGTACTTTATTTTTTAAGATATTTTGGTTAGAAATGAAATTTTTTAATACTATAAACTGTATTTTTTTTAGAAATGTTTATAGAAAAAACCCCATAATTTATGATGGGATTTTCTTTAGTGTTACTCTACAAAATAAAACTAAATAAACACTAGATTTAAAGTTTTCTAAACAGAGAAGTATTTGGTTAAGGATTTTAAACAAAATATACCATTTTGTATTTAAAAAATTATATTTGTATAATTATGTGTTTGTAAATAGCTAATTTTAATATAGTTTTAAATAATAAGTACATTTTATTTGTAAAAAGAAATTAATCACATTTTAAAGAATTAATAGAATTATTTATGCTGTTTAAACTATCTACAAAACCATTGGTTGGTATTACTTTATTATCATCTTTTATTCTGCTAAGGTCTATCTCTGCTTCATGTACCGAATGTTCAACTTTGGATACAATCCATTCAGCCATTATTGTATCGGTTTTTAAGAGGTTCTGCAACATTAATAGGCTTTGAACTCGCTTTGTCCGTTCGGCAACTTTTGCTCTTAACTTTAATAATCGTTCTTGAATGTTTTCAACTGGGTGTTTCATTTTCACGGTCAAAACTTTAGACAGTTTTGGTTCTAAACGATCAATGTACCCCAATCCTCTTTGCATATGGTTCAGATAAAGTTTACAGAGCTGTTGACGATAAAGTTCTACCTCATTTTCAGTTTTACAGTATTTTTTTGTCTTCCGATACATGCACTCAAAAGTTTTACGCATTGACGAGTTCACTATATCAGCTATGGAACCAATTAGAATTATGTGAGTAAAACCGAATACCTTGTAAGTATTTTCTGATTCGCGTAAACGTTTTTCCAACTGTTGGTCGTACATGCCGTCATGATCCATTTCGTTGCTGTTATCCATGGCAATAACAAAAGTGAAATCGAACCGTTGAAAACAATAATTTTTTACAATTACCGAATAGAAATTAAAGACGAAGAAAATAAATACTAATAGGTAAATATTTCAAAATAACGTTAAATACAATTTTAAATTAACGAATGTTCTACTGCCAATATCAATACAAACACCAGTCCAATTACCATTGATTTGTTATCAAACTGAGCTAGCAATTCAAAATTGTATTCAGCATGCAATTTATTTTAAATATTATTCCCTTTGCCCAAGTGCACGATCTTATAGATAGATGGCAGTAGTAGTGAAACGTAGAAAAGTACTCCCGTGGAATTACTGCGTCAGACTCATCAGTTGTCCATTTACTACCTTTTCTATGCCGTTACCCATGATACATGTGAACAAATTTAATGCTTATGATCTAGCAGTTAGCACTCTACCTTAGGAATCTAGAAAACACCAACTTTCAGCATCCAATTAATAAGTCTTTCTTACATGTTTTTGCTGATGTACCGTAATTATTTAAACTTGTAAGAAATCGTTTTATTGATTATGTTCCTTTAAATAGTAAACATATTATTGAAGATTTTCTAATTTAAAAATTGCGTACAGACAAAAATCAATTTACAATATGTATATAAAGTATCCGAAGAACAGAATCTAGAAAAAATGTCTCATAAAATATTTTAACATTTTAAAAAATAATAACAGAATAGATGAAATAATTTAGGTCAGGTAATAAATAATAATATTCACGATATAAAAGTAGGTACACATGTAGAGGAAATCCTCAAGGAAAGTTATCGCCACCACACGCCCAGGAATTATTTGAGGATTTTCAGTGTAACTACTACCTACGCGTGTACTTCAGCGCGTACTCGTACTGTAATTTTTCGTGGCTACATTATTGAATATTCTCGTTTAAACAATAATATAATTTATCCGTATATTGTAACGTATAATCATAAATAAAAATAGATAATTCAGATGACGACATTATGGCGGCTATTGGTTGTTTTGATGGTAATGAATTGTTTAAAATCTCACGCGAAGAAACGCAAGAGAAATGTATGGGTGAAGAATTGGTTAGCATAGGGGGCAAAATATTCACATGTGAACCTGCTAACTGAACTCAGGATTTGCCTTAAAGACTGGCAAAAATATTTAAGAATGGATGAGGACATAAATTTGAAATTACTAGCATTGGTCACTCCTTTTATAAAAAAAAAAATGATACGGTAATTTTGGTTTGTACACGGAGTCTGTTGATACACCAGACTTTTATTTTTTTATTCTCCTTTCTACAAGCGCTTCTCATATTGTTAATTTTTCTTATTACGCTGTCCTTTGTGGCATTTGCTTCAACTTCCCTCCGTTTGTTGACTAATTTGGCATACGCAAAATGTTTCTTGTTCCTGTCATGGTATTCTTTTGATTTGATGTATCAAATATAAGGCTCACTTTCATAAAGTTTAATAAATTCTTCAATAAATTCCCAGCTCATTTTAAACGGTAGTTTATTTAAAGATACACACGTAGAAAACAAACACAAAACAAAATGAAAATAATAAGTGATACCGCATGAATTATCAAGGTAGACCCCACATTGCCTCCACACGTGCGAATTTGAACTGCACAGTTTTTCCTTATTGAATTTCGAAAAGGATTTTCGGACTTCGCAAGCTGACATAGACCTCAAGGCCATTCCTACACACGTGAAGGAAATCCTCAAGGACTTGACTGCGCAGTCCAAACCTTGAGGATTTCCTCTACGTGTGTACCTACCTTAAGATAGGTACAGTCAACTCTTAAATATTAAATAAATAAAAATAATAATAATAATACTATACAGGAAAGTACAGTGATATAGTCAGCTTATAAAATTAAAAATACAACTTATAATATAATTTAATTAATTTAATCACACATTTTTCTAATTTTATGACTGATGGCTGTTAAAAAAACGAATACAATGATTTTGTTCGTTAATATATTTAAAAACAGAACGAATTTGCCCTAGTTTTTTTCTGTTAATCGATTCTTATAATTTAGAATAGATGGTATTTTATAGTAATAGTTTTCTCGAGGAGGCAAGGAAAGCATTAAATTGATTTAATTATAAGTTGTATTTTAAATTTGATAAGGTACTCAGGTTGATAAGAACTGTACATACCCGCTACCTACATTACCTTTATTTATTTAATGTTTATGAGCTCGCTATGCCTATCTTATAACATAGGTATTGTATATTATTAATTTTTAAAATGTAGGTACGTTACAAATATCTTATATTTTTATTGGGATTTTTTTAACAAATATTATATTTGGGACTTTTTCCGCATACCGAAAAACAATTAAATTTGGTTAGATTTTTGAAACAAAATGCAAGATTAGCGGCTCAATTTTTCTTCAATACAGTTGTTAACACGATTGCTTACTGTGAACAAAAAAAAAAAATCAATTTTAGATTTTGAATGTAGCAAAGAATATATTGGTTTTACAATGATTATTATTTATACTGTGTACAGAAATTCTACTAGAAATCAAGTACCGCACCTTTTCAGAAAAGGAATTTTCCTATAGTGGTACTTTAGGAGGTAATTTTTTGATTTACCCAATAAATGGGAAAAACCATTAAAATTTATGAAAACAATGATTATATTATTACAATTTTGTTTTTCTATTGTAATTCAGTGAAAAATATTTGTAGAGGCTTGAAATTTAAAAAATATTTTATTTGTCTTTTATAGACATGGTAAAATTTTCAAAACATTTGAGTTATCTTTAAGCTATTGGAAATGTTAATTTTGCGAGTTTTTTTATGTAATATTTATTCGGTAGGTACTCTGTGTTTAAAATAGTAAGATCAAATAGAATTGCTTGACAATTTAACATGAGATTCATTATAAGTTGTACTTAGTGGTCAATAAGAAAAATGGTTTAATGTAGTATATATATATATATTTTTTTATAAGCATTTTAATATAAAATTTTGATGAAAATCGTAAATATTACAGCCTTTTAGACATGTATAACTAAACTCCACTTAGAATCATTTTTATTAACAAATATTAATTGTTGCGTACAGATATGTATTAAATTTCCCTCTATATCCTACCTTCCCAACTTCTCACGTGCACCTCACCCACAACTTCAAAGTATTCCTTTTTTTAAAATTATTAAAATAATCAGAATTATTCTAATTGATACTTCAGTATTTGGTATAATCATATTTTATTTTGAATAAATAAGAATAATATTCATATTGATAAGAAGTTTCAATATTGTTATTAATAAAATGGGCAGATGCATACAGATTCCAACACTCTCAGAGCAAGTTCACATGACAGGCGTTTACAATTACTATACAATTGCTATTAACTGTACATATGATAACGCGCGTTGGCGGACGACGCGCGTTCAATGTCGCAATAACGCCAGTAACCTGTGTTAAACTTGCGTTGACGCGCGTTTAAAAATAATATGGATTTGTATTGACGTGTTCGGTTGCAACGCGCGTTTAGAAGCGATATGTTCTTGTGGTCAAATAATTTCGGTTGTTTTTTCGAAAAGTTTTTCTTTTTTTTCTTCCTTTATTAGCTCCAATAAGTTATCAAAAGATTCAATTGACATCCTAAAGTATTTGAAAAATTTACGTTCATAGTTCCTGAGACTCGGATAAAGTGTAATGTACAGGCTTGAGGCAAGTCTATTTTGTAAAATAGGATGAACCCAAAAATTTCGTTCTTTTTGTCTATTACGCTGTCTTCTTCGATATATCATCCATAAACAAATTGCATCTGTAACGTCCATCTTCGACAGAAAGCAACACTCGACTGACTAGGGTATAAACGCGCGCTTAACGCGTAAAATCGGTAACCATGTGAACAGTGGTATCCATGTCAACGCGCGTCTAACGCCTGCCATGTGAACTAGCTCTAAGAATTAGTTTAATATTATCATCTAAATCGTAATTTGTTTATTTATTAACTTATTTCACCAGTGTAGTTTTAAATCATGAATTAAGATATGTTATTAATAGATAAAATATCTAAATTCTTCCCACAAATTTTTTTATTTTTAAAAAGTAATACACAATCTGTAGATTCAATTTTTTACAATAAGCGTATTTTATTTTTAAAAAGTAATACACAATCTGTAGATTCAATTTTTTACAATAAGCGTATGGGCGATACGTTATTTAATTAGCGTGAATTGACCGATAAAAGAGGCCACAAATAAATACCAAAACATGTCAGTTTCCTTTAAGGTAGTGCTAGTGGCTTGAAATTCAAAATCTGTGATTTTCTTTTGAATATAAAAGTGCTTTAGTTTAATATCAGCTACATTAAATACTTACTTGGTCCGCCATTTCTATACTATGAAAAAACTAAAGATTGTATTATTAATTACCTATTCAATTAAAGTTCATACATTTATGAATTAATAGGTTTTGAAAATTATATTAATCATGAATCTAAATTTACATCAAAAGTTTGTTCAAATCTATAAATGCAATTTCTATTAGAATAACTTACTCCTTTGACTTATGATTTTATTTACATTTTAATTTAATGTCTTATCTAAAATAACATGGGTGTTTTTCAATTGCTGATTTAAAATGTTAATACTTATAATTACTTCAAAACTCATAAATTCAAAACCAATATACTTGAACATATTAAATTTATTTCATAGGAATAATAATATTAATTTGTTCGATTATATAGAAATGTTTATAACATTTTTACATGTTATAATAAAATTATGAATATTATAAACAAACACTTAAAAATAAGACTGAGATAGCAGCATTTTCATTCAATAGTAGATCAAATTATACATTAAACAAATATAAAACTATAAAATATATATCGTTATAGTTATATACAATAGAGCTCATAAGCCTAAACACAATTTCATCAAAAATTAAAATTAATAAATAAATAATTAAAAAAGTTTTGAGCATCCAAACAATTTGTAAATTAATCTATGTTTATATATATTATTCTACAATAAATTAACCATACCAAAACTTATTAATGTACCTGAAGAGATACCAAAACTAAGAAATGTGATCATCAACGAGCTTGCTACTTCCTGTTCGTGCTTATTGACAAAGCTGTAAACAAAAATCATGTTTTATCAATATTACATACAATAAAAGAACACTATCAGCAAAGATTAATGCTTACTGTGGTATAGAAGCAATAGTAATATTGTTAACTATGCCATTAGTAAATCCAAATAACGACATAATAATTGCATAAATCCTATCGTTATTTATCAAGGTTGGTAGGTAATACCGAGGATTAGCATTACAGAGCATCAACAAAGGAATAAAAGCGGTTCTCAGTGTAGATAGAATTACAGATGGCCAAATGCTATTAAGTGGCTGTAATCAAATTATAAATTAAGAATTATAATTTATCCTCTTTAATATATACAATACTAATTAATAAATAATCCAGTACATGTAACTTTTAACTATCCAACCAATAAACTTCATAAAATATATTAAATAAAATAATTATTTCTAATTATATAAATATTTTGGCAATAATATTAATTAAATTAATAATTACCAATTTGAGGAAATTAGATAAAATTCTTCCCAAAAAATCACATATGTTAAAAAGTAAATAATTTATCACTGGTATGAAATATATATCTAGAAAAAGAAAAAGAAAAAATTATAATACCAAAATGACACTATAATATAAATGCAAAATTACCTGTCCAAGCAGTATGTTCTATATTGACAGAAGTGATCAATACTGTAACTGCTGGGTAAATACTCATAGTTACTACATAATTGTAAAAGAGGCTAAAACCCAATTTCCATATCTATTAAAATTAAAATATAAATTTAGTTACCAAAATTACAATAAAAAAGAAAAAAAGGGAGATGGTGCACTGTTGTAGGTAGGTAGTTGGGAAGGTAGGATACATACAGATATATAGTTAATATCTGTACGCAAAGATATAAACTATTGCTAACGAAAAACAATTCGAAGCAAACTTTGATAAGACATATTTTAAAAATGCATTAATTTTTACAATTTTCATCAAAATTTGATCATATAACACACTTTTGAAAAATAAAAAACCCATGTATTAAATTTAAATCTATTTTTGACCAGTAAGTACAACTTATTTGTGTTAAATTTTCAATCATTTATTTTAAATTATATAATTTTAATAACAAATACCTACCAAATAATATATGTAAAAATACAAAAATATCAGATGCCTAAAAATAGCTAGAATGTTTTTAAAATTTTACCAAGTTTACAAATGGTGATGAAAACTACAGGTCTCTACAGTAATTTTTAACCGAATAACAAAAAAAAATCCAAATGCCGTATTTCAGAGTTATTAGGAAAACTATATGGAAAATCAAATAACTATTACACTCACAAAATATTCTTGAATTTTGGACAAAGATTTTTTGTACAAAAATGTAATTTTATGCATTTTAAATAAGGAAATCGCTACACTGTACTAGACACTAGATTTACTTAAAAGTGTTTTAAGCAAGATTTCTAGTAGAATAGTTACAGACAAAAAAAAATACAGTTACAAAAATGCACAAAGTAAAACCAATTCATTACTAATAGAAAATTATAATTATTAAAAAAATAGTGTCCATAACTATCCATATATATATATATACTTATATTTTAAAATAATTACATGAGTACCTCAATTAACTGTACTTATTCTTCGAGAATTTGTATGTACCAAAAGTAAAGGCATAGACACGTAAGCAGTTATAGTATGTAGTTTAAGAAAAATAAATTAAAATAATTATGACTTACCTGACATCAGACATTCAGACATCAGGAATTTAAGAAAAATTAGAGGTGAAGTACAGAAAAGTATAAATCATTTCAAAGTATAAAAATTTGACTACTTCATATTTCAAGCACTGATAATTTTATAACATGACGGTGTACACATATGTACAGGGCCGTATTTAGTTTTTTGGCGGCCTTGGGCTACAACTATTTCCGTGCGGCCCCCTTCACATTTTTTTCCACATAAACTGATAAAAAAAAAAAAACATATTGTTTTTAACTCTATTATTTTTAGATATTGGTAGTACTTACTTTACTGCTGTAACTTATAAGTTAGTAAACCTACAAGGCAGTGTTTCATAGTAATATTTTTTAAATAAAATTAGTTTTCAAAAACTTAAACATAATATTATTGACAATAACTCTGTTGTTTTCATGAATAAAAGGAAATTGTTTTCCATGATTTTATTTGACCACTTACTGGTATTTATACTGAAATGTTGTATTATTTATAAATTATAACACAACTACTGGTCAACACACATTTTCGCAACAAATGGACATTGTTACGATATATTTGACTATGTTTTATTTATAATTATAAAAGTAAAACATTAAATAAATTGTGATAAAATACAATGAGTATGAAAAAAAATTTGGAAATTATTAAACACAAAATGAAAAAAAAAGATTTTTTTAACTATTTTTTCAGCACCCCTAAAATGTTTGTCCTGGGCAATTGCCTACACAAGCCATTTCCTAAATACGGCCCTGTATATGTATATAGGTATATATAGCATTGTACACACTGATATATATAAGTATAACATTGTATATTACTGAATTTGTTAAATAAAGTATTGATTAACCGTGGTTTTAATTTATCCATGTGATCCCACCCCACCATTACCTCGGATAATCAAGGTTCTACGGTATAGAAAATAAAAAATATACTTTTTTTAAGACAACATAATTGTCAACTGCCACTATTTGATTAGAATCAATTAGAGTATACTGTGTAGAAGATCTTGCGCGTATACTGGCGGGTACATCTTCAACATAATATTTGTAAATATTCTAAAAAAAAAAAACAAAATTAAATGAATGATTCAGCATAATTGTAAATTAAACCATAAATATATATATAAAATTTATAATTTAAGGAATAATTATGTGTATTTTCTGGCTACCACTACTTGTTAACTTTGTATAATATTACTAAATATTATAGTTTTGTAGTGGATATTTAAACATGTGAAATTATTTTATAAATACATTAGTTTCAAAGGAAAATAACCTAATGTTTACAGTAATTACAACTCGAGATAAAGAACAATCTTAAATTTAAAGATTATAACTTGAATAGTATAATGTAGTATAAGGCCCGTTTTACAATGTCTATTTAATGCTAATCAGCAATCAAATTTTCTGTGAACTGGTAAAATTATGTTAACACACAGTTAACCAACATCTTGAGACATAGTAAGAACCAATGACAAAAAAATAAAAAAAAAAAACATTGATTTTATAATAAATAAAAGTTTAAAATGTAAGTGTAATTTTTATAAAAAAAATTATTTAAATATTAATAAGTGGTTTGTGTGAAATATCATTCTATGAATGTTTATTAATTTTTCAGGACATAGAGCGTAACTTCAAACTCACAAGGAAACAATAATTTTTCTTTATTCACCTATTAGTCTATTTTTCATAAAAATAAAAATAATAGGTGACATCAATAAAAAATTATTTATACTGTATTTATAAAAAACTAAGTTTTATTAGGTATGTACTAGGTAGCATATAAATGTGAAATCAATAACATATATTTTGTAAAAATATATTAAAATTAATAAAATGTATACTAACCATTTTCACCAAAACAGTATACAATACTAGGGAAATCAAAATCAAAATATTGGCAAACAAGAAATAAATGAAGGCACTATGAACAGATGATGCACCCCACCATAAAGCTAGTATTTGAGATATCGCAGTGACAATGCCTCCTAATGCTTGACCACATATAGTTGCTGTCATGTAACTACTGTCAAAGAAACTGACCAGGTTGAACACAGCTCCTTGCATAATCGAGCTTCCAACTAAAAAATATTAATTAATAGAGAACGGATTTATATATAAATAAGTGTGTTTTTATCAGAATAATATATTTGAAATCTGAAGAGAAACTAATACTATTTAAATGTTTTTTTTTTTTATATTACAAAACAAAATATTAAATAGTATTTTAGTTTATGAAAAATTACTCTTTAATGAAATTTTTAAAAATAGTTAATTTTTAATGACTCATTATTATGAATTATTATAATAGTTTAAACATATTTTAATGGGTTTATGTGCATATAATCCGTTCTCTATTAATTAGTAAATTAACTGTATCTGGATTGAATCGGTGAAGTACTAAAATCTTAGTGGATTGATCAAATTTTTGAAAAGAGATTAATTTTGTGGTTTACTATTAAATAGGTTAAGTAAGAATGTTTGGCAACAAGGACATTAAAGGATAAACTTTTAGTAAATAATATTTTATAAAATATGTTTAAAAATAATTAATTATTTGTTAAAAGTTTCATGAAAGTAATTTTGATAAGAAATTTAAAAAAAATAAAATCTAAAACGCTTAAACAATTTTTTATGCAATTTACAGAGTTTAATAAATGATCCAATATAGGTACCATATAAGTACCACCTTTTTATGCTCATGTAATAAAAACAAACATTTACCCAATTACATATTCTTAAATTTACATTATTGCGCATAAGATTAAAAATGGCATTCAAAAAAAGGAATTGATAAAATAACAAATGATTGATGTCTTTTACTAAGTTTACAAAACTTGTTATTTAATATTTAAAAATTGAATATACAATTGTAAAACTAAAACACTTTAAAACTATTACATTATTAAATGATATCACCTTTCATGTAAGAAATAATAAATTTTGTAATTGTTTATTTTTACTAGTTTATTGTGCAGTAACTGTAACAGTAACAGTAAATGGAAACTCACTATTTAAAAAAATGACTGATCCTAATGTAATCAAAAAGAACAATATTTGCCATGAATCGGTATCCACATTAACTAAAACTGTAGTAATTGTGAACAAAATAATCATGGATATTAAGGAACTAATCATTCGAAATTGAATTGATGACCTGAAAATATTGACATTTCATTTTAAAATTATTCAATTTTAGAAAATAATTTACTATTAATTACTTTTTTGCCAAATGTGTATTAAGCAGTAATGTTAGTGTACTAGGAATTGATGCGGCAATAGTAAGAAGGCATGTAAAATTTGTTTGAAGTTTTGAACGATCTTCATTATTATTTAGCATAAATAAATGTATTTGATTATTTTCCGGTAATGTCCGTAATTTATACATCCAATACTAGAAATTAAAATACAATATATAAACAAATTAATAAAGTATATAAATGAAATTCATACCAAAAAAATTAACTTACATCATTGGCAGTAATAAAAAAGTACCAGGGTAAAAGAAGACAAGTGCCAAGTATACAAAATATTAAAATTCCAATATTATACCTAAAAAACATATTATTATGTAATAATATTACAACATATTAATTATAGAACTAAACAGATTAAATAACATAACATAATATTTTTGTCATTCAATTCGATTTAATTCATCATAAACCTATTGAATTGTTAAATATTAATACTAATAGTATTTAGAAACTTACAAAATTAATGACAAATTTTAATTACTTGAATTATTGAAATAAAAATTATATATTAATTACCGATCTGGTGGTTTAGTTGGTGTAACATTACATTCGTTTACAATTATATCATCAACATTTTTGTCTAATACTTCAGGAAATACAAGTAGTCTACTGTTAATGTTGTCATTAACTACAAGAGGCTCTTGATCGTCCATTTTTGATAGGAACTCTATAAGTCAACACATGATATAAAAAATAATTTCAATATGTCTAATAAAATAAAATAAAATTAGACAATTATTATAGCCAAGAGAAAAATGTCAAATCATGAGAATAAAATAAAATTACTTTTTATTCTACCTATTAGTTTTCTCAAATAAACCTAAATGTGACTGTATATAGATTCGGTTGAATTAAGGTTTTATCCTATAAGAAACATATCAATTATAAATATGTAGAAATATATTGGTTAACAACTCTACCAAATTTGTTTACATGTTAATTTTGTCTCTTTATAAAATAATGATCGATATATAACATATACAGCAGAACATTTGTACCATCTACACATACTATCATTTGAATAAAGCAATTTTATATTTCAAATTGTAGACTATAATAAAATACTTTATACAGAGTCAAAATCTTGTAGGAAATCTTTATTTCTAATAGTTTTTAAGTAATTTTTATTACTTACCAAAGTACTTCAGACTTCGGAAATATTTTTTAGCAACAATAGATATGAAGATTAATGAGACAGGTACAAGATAATTTATAATTAAATAAGGTAAATAATTTAGATTGTTATTTTTTATGAATAAATAAACTGATAATGTCAGTTATAATTTATAATAATAATAATATATGAAAAAAAAAAACATTTATTTTATATATAAAATAATGTAAATGTTTTGAATTATAAGATTATAACAATTATATATTATAATTAATAATTTTTTTTAACACATTTTAAAATTATTACTATTAGTCTAATATTTATTTTACTTTATTAATTGTATGACATATAAATATTCAGAGAAATTAACATGATAACAAATTCGGCTGATTCAATAATCATCACAATGAACATAATAATATACAAATGTTTGACAGAATTTATAAAACCTCTTAAATGTATATTATTGTAGAAAAAGGAATAAAACAATGATAAATACAATTCAAATTACTTACTGACTATCCACTAATAGAAAGACAAAAATTACATTAATCATGAAAGTTTTTAAAATTGCTCTGTTATTATTATTTGATTCTGATATTTATTATAATAATTATGTTAAACATAATTGTGTATTGATTAAAAGTGAACTAAAACAGTAATCAAAAATAATTAATTTATACTAATTCTTAATAAATAAATATTAATGTGTATAAGAATTAAAGATACTTGGAAAGTTGTAAATAATATACAATAACAAATTCTTGTACTTTGTACAAAATGTATGTTGATTTCACGAAAAGTGGCGCGCCTAGTAGACTATTTGACGCAGGGGCTCTAAAACAAGCGCGAAACAAAGCGCGGCAATTTTAAATTAATTACTTATTTGTATATTATCTTATATATGATTATTTTTTATACCGTAATTTAAATGCAGTATTTCATTATAAAATTATGAACAATTCAGCTAATTTAGTTTCACGATTTTTATTTGTCTGCAAATACAAATAATACAATTAATTAATATAACATTAAAAAATATATGCATAATTATAATACAACATTTCTCAAACAACAAAGGTACTAGAGAGGCAATCTTAAGCTTAAGATTATTTATAGAAAAACAAATAGAATTTAATAAAGACACATTTATAGCGTTTATAGATTTAGAAAAAGCTTTCGATAAGGTACCATGGAAAGGTCTATTCTATACTTTAGAAGGAATAGGAGCTGACTACAAAGATAGAAGGATAATATATAATTTATACAAAGACCAATCAGCTATAATAAAAGTTACAGACAAAACAGATACGGCGATAATTAGGAAGGGTGTAAGACAAGGATGTCCACTCTCACCAGCTTTATTTAATATTTACGTCGAACAGCCTATCAAAGAAATTAGAGAAACAATTCTCAGAAATAAAATAGGCATAAAAGTGGGTGGAGAAATAATATCCTTCTTAAGATTCGCTGACGATATTGCACTCCTAGCTAGCAATGAGCACGATTTGGAAAGAGCACTGGAAGAAATGGCGAGNCCGGAGAATTAATATCCAAACAGGGAATCAGCTGCTCGAACAAGTGGAACATTTTAGATACCTAGGCAGTCTAATCAACCAAGATGGAAGATGTGTCATGGAAATAAGATCCAGAATCGCACAGGCGAAGTCAGTATTTATGAATAAGAAAAATTTGTTATGCTCCAATAGCATGAGTATTAGAATGAGGAAATGCTTCATTAAAGTGTATATAAGGAGTGTGGCATTATATGGCTGCGAAACATGGATTCTGAATAAGGCAGAACAACGAACACTCGAAAGCTTTGAAATTTGATGTTGGAGAAGGATGCTGAGAATGAGTTGGATAGAACGCCGTACCAACGAAAGCATACTCAGTGAAATAGATGAAAGCAGAGAGATTCTCAAAACCATCAGAACAAGACGATGGAACATGATTGGGCACATATTGAGGCACGAAAATGAGCTAATCTACAGAATAATAGAAGGGAAAATGGAAGGCAAAAGGGGCCAAGGGCGTCCAAGAACTTCATTTATCAAACAAATGATTTCCGATGCTAGACTATCAAGCTACGCCGAACTGAAGAGGTTAGCTGGGAACAGGGAAGAGTGGAGAGCGCATGTTCAACTGCAAAACCAACCTTAAGGGTTGAATACCAAGAGAGAGAGAGAGAGAGAATACAAAATTTAACAAATAACAATTTTCTTTTAATAATCTATGCCATCTTCCTCTTCTAAATAGTCGGAATCTTCGTCTGGATTAATGGTCAGTATAATTGACCCTAAAATTTCGTCACGTAAACCTTTTCTAAAATCTTCATCTTGCAATTTTTCGCAATGACTCATACAACTTTTCCAATTATCCACGGTCACGGCATACAACGGCTTCGTTTACAAGTTGTTCAACATCTGCTATTTTAAATGAAGCATTTTTTTTGGCGACATCCCCTTTTACTTGTGCCCATATAAGTTCTATTGGGTTGTATTGGCAATGGTAAGGTGGGAGACGCATGACTTCATGTTCCATTTCCAACGCGATTTGATCAAGCTCATATACTTTTTGTCTTGGTACCAATTGTTTGACCCTTTCACGTAATTCGCTCAATGTTTCGAGTGGTGAATATTGAACCCCTTTTTCAGACAGTCATTTGAGTACATTTGCTTTTCTTTCATTTACCTTTGGATAAGTTTCTGCTAGAACTGAATGGTATGGGGCATTATCCATCACGATTACAGAAGGTTCTTCTAAATGTTGTAACATTTGTATAAACCACTCTTTAAAAATAGCAGAGTTCATTTGGGAGTGATAATCAATAGAAATACCACTTTGACATCTAAAAACTAACTTTGATCCCGGTACAAATCCAAATGAACTGGATCCTGCGAGACAAATAATTAATCTCTTCCCTTTTCTTGTAGGTACTTTAAGTTCTTCTGAATTTAATTCATTTTGCTACATGTACCCTTTGGTGTGATTCTGATTAACCAACGTCTCATCGAAATAGATAACTGGCCGAGTATCATTATTTTAGTATAGTATAGTATTGTATTATTTTAGTATAGTATATGATTTGATTGTTAAAAAGTATTGCGATTGAAGCGATCATTTTTTTATATATACATATCTATAGGTCCTAGTTATATGTGACCCTAATAAATATATCCCGGTAAAAAAAAAGTACCTATCCGCCTATGTTCTCACGACTGCATATATGTAGGTGGGTACTCAATATGTTAAAACATAAACGTTCTGAACGTAATAAACCATCAATAATTATTATTTTTATTTTCCATTTGTATCATTTTTGAGAGTGCTCAATAACTGAAACTATTTGATTACAGTCTTAACCAAACTTGTTCATTCTTCAATTCTATTCAATTTATTTACGAAATTGTACTGATATCTGTGCTCACATACCATTCAATATTCTTATCTTAAGATATGATTACACTTTTTAGAATAAATATTGTCGTCTATGTGATTCGATAATAAATCTTAAATATTCAAGGAATATTATTAGCAACTTACTATGTTTCATCTTAGGTTACTTAAATAATACTATATATTTGAACAAAAATATTCATTAGATATCTGAAGACAGTATCTAAAAAATATTCCCAGTTTATTCCACTAAAATCCTTAAACGTATTTAATGTATATTCATGAACATACAAAATATATTAAAGGAATATACAATTTGGTATTCACATGTATTCTTTTTAATGATTAAATAATATGAGACAAGATTTTTTTTTTTTAGTTTTTTTTAAAAGCTTTATTTGCAAAATTACGATCTATACAAAATGTACAATAAGTAATATTTATAATTTACAAACAGATGGCATTTATGTAAACATGAGGAAATTACAAATTTGTGACACCTCGAAATATTTTTAAGTAATTAGTTCTTAAGTTTTCAGGTTTCGGCACCAGTTTATTTTGAGGCATCTGTTAGGGTTTCCAGGAAGTGTTAGTGAAACTAACTCGTTGATTAATTGGTTTGGAATATTTAGCAGTTTGGTGTGGAAGCGTGACAAAATTAAAAATGTCATTCGTTTATTGAAAAAAATAATTATCTTCTGTGGTAGATATCGATAGTATAGTACAAATTACGAATATAGTATAAAATATATTTTATAAATGTCTGTCCTTTTTATTGAAAAAATCATTCAGCATCAACATTAAAATTAAAAAAATACTTTTAAATTAATTTAATTATTTGTAACAATATTATTATTACACGTAATAATGATAAATTATAAGTGTACTTATAGATTTTGTTGTATGCATTTACGACACAATAAGCATTATACGTTTCTATTATATTAATACCTAATTATAAATATTACATAATCATATCATATTACGGACTATTTAATACGTTTGAATTATTATTCGTATTAATAATGCTGAGGAAATTGGCAACGAAGAAAACAATAGTATTTATACACAATTTTTTTTTATTAGTTTTTCTTAGATAACCAAGCCGTAATTGTCATTGTAAACACAAACAATATAAATTTGCATTTATTTTAATATAAAATGTCAGCCTTTAAAGCTGATTCCAAAGTGAAGGGATGTTCCGGCCAGAGAAACCCTGTCTGAAAATAGACTTCACGAATTATTGTTTTGTGAACTAAAATTGTTTCTAATCGATTTGCTTCTATTATTAATTGGGCTACAAAAAGACTGTTTCGGTTGGTTACTGTGACGTTATGCTACTACTTACATACTACTTTTTTTTACGTCTTTCGTTGATATCACATCGTACATTATTGCATACTTATTGCTTATGAACGCAAATTTTTTGCATTTTGATAACGGCTGTGCTCTCTTTTCAGATATTGCTAGCGGAACATCCGTAATAAAAAAAGTACTACAGCACACGAAAAAGTGGATTAATAGATTAATATCTATTGGCTATTATATTCTTCAATTTTATTCCACAGCTATAGACAATATTGTATTATCTTAAACATAGAAAAGTATACAGTACTGATCTTAAATTGTGGTTATACTTATCTTGGAGTCTAAAAAATATAGAAAACAATTACAATGATCCAGATAACGAACAATGAATAAAATACAATTTCAACACCAAATAACTACCCAACAATATTTTTGATGAAATTAAGCTACATAGATGAACTATATTCTAATGTATTTAATTTTTTTACCAAATGATACATTATTAATTTGAGAAACTATTTATATCCATTCAGTAGGTATTTCAGAAATTAAATTGAACTTTGTTAAAAATAAAAACTGTATAATTATAAATAAATTACATTTTAATATAATACCTATACCTAGGTGCATGAAGATTATAGATTGATTATGTAGTTTTTTTATTTTAAAAAATGAATTTGTAAATGATCAGATTTTTCCATATAAAATAATAATAATATTAAACATACTTCTAATGACAATAAAATAAATAATATTATTAAGAAAATGTATTAGACAATTTTAAAGGATGTAGATACTTTGTTAGACATTTTTTAGTAATGGAAATTATTTTTAAATGCAATATGTAAATTAACAGTAAAGCATGATTATCCTTTCAGTGATGACATGCCAGCTCTCATTATTTCATCAACAAGCAAGAGGTTGCTAGCAATAATAGTACTAAAAAAAATTTTTAAAATAAATATTAGTAAAATATATAATTTTTTAGAATTAATGTTTAAAATAAAATTATCTTACCATGAGTTTAAGATTTGTTTTTTAACACAGTAATTATCAAATATTCCAGCATCTACAGGTTGAAGGACTTCACCGCTATCAACGTTTACTCCTACTGGACCAACACTCTCTCTACACTCTTCTTGTAATTTAACTATCATATCTTGTGCATCAAAGCCACTGTTGATGGCTAAAAATATCAAATTGAAAAAAAAAAATTAAATAAATGTAAAATAAAAATAAAAATTAAACTTACAAATGGTTTTGGGTATGATCAATAAAGCCTCAGCATAAGCTTGAACTCCTAGGCGACTTTTTCCCTTAATTTCATCCTTAAATTTTTGTAGTTCTTGCCAAGCATATATTTCAAAAGCTCCAGCACCTGGTACTACAGCATCTGAAATCAAGTTATTATTTATGAAGAATCGTGATAATTGCAATAAATATTTAAATATATTATATAAATTCAAATACTACTATAATATTAAAGTATTTATTATTTTTTATACATAAATATATTGTTATTAATTACTTTTTTTTTATCTTGCTCATATAATGTGGGTTTTACTTTTTTACAACTTAGGAAAAAAAATGACAAAATAACAATGTTCTAAAGTTCAAAATAAAGCCTACACTATATTAGATTTGATGCTTATTAACTATAGACTAATAGTATTAAAACATTATAATAATAATAATAATAAAAAAATAATTGACAAAAGAATTGAACATAATTTTTTTAAAAAGCTAAAACACCAGATATAAATAATTTTTGTATAAAAATCTTAAATTATTTTGAAAAAAAAAAAAATAATAATAAAGACATAAATAAATCAATAGAATGTAATATGTTAAGTATATTATTACCGTCATCAATAGAGTTTTTAATTGCTCTCAGACCATCATGAATAGCGTCTTTAATCTGAGTAAGTGTATATTTATTGGGTCCTTTCATTAATATGGTAACACTCAAAGGATTTTTACAATCTTCAACAAATGTATATTTATTTTCACCCTAAATTTAAGGTACATTATTAATTTATATTATTTATAATAAAAAAACAATTTAAATAACACAAAAATCCTACCAAAACATATTCATAAACTGAGCCAGCATAACCCAGGACATCTTCAGTTAAATCATCAACACTATTAACAGCAGATCCACCACATGCTAATGACAGACGCTCCATATTACGTCTCTTGGCACGCCTTAAACCAATAATACCTTCTTTGGCCAACATATCCAAAGAAAATGGATCAATACCCTACCATGCAAATTAGATTAGTAACACGTTTATAGGCAAATTGATATAATATTAATAATGTATTTAATATATATATAATACTTTTTGGTTTATGACAACAAATGATTTTCCAGAACCAGGAGGACAAACTTTCCTTTTCAATTCAATGACTTTTTTCACTCTTTGTTCAATAAAATCACGTTCTGCCAATGCTAATTTTTCTCTTTCTTCAGCAGTTTTATAAAAGAAGCCAGAATTTACTTCACTAAATAAGAATATTAATACTTAAAATTGTTTTACAATAATAATGATCAATTATTTTTATACCTTTTTTCATACTCCATACTGACATTACAAGTCAAAATGTAAGCATCATCAACTTTCTTAGGCATGTCTGGATGTCTAGATCCATGATCAAGAACGAGCCCTAAGACAAATGTTTTAGTCACACCTTTATACATATAATACTACAAATTAATTTACCTTTTACAAGAGTTGTTTCAGTAGATGTCTTATGTTGCATCTCCATTAATTCCACCATGTGCAAATCAATACCATCTTCACGCTGAATACTCAAAACAGCATCAACACACATATCTGCCATTTGATCTGCCAATTTTTTATCTACTTTCGTACGAAGAGAAGTGGTAGCTACATCGTAAAGTCGTTGACGATCTGGTTTGCCTACAACTTTTATTTTTTCCAAAAGTTCCAAAGCCTTATCTCTGGCTTTAATCATGCCTTCTGTCAATACTCTAGGATGTACACCCTAAAATAAATATAGTTTTATATTATTTAGTTTTAATATTGTTTGTTAAAAAAATAATTGGAATTCAAATTTAATGTATACTTCTGAAATAAGGTTTTCAGCTTGTTTAAGAAGTTCTCCGATAATTAGAACTGTAGATGTAGTACCATCACCAGTAGCATCATCCATGGCAGTAGACGCCCTAGCAATAAGACTGGCTGTAGGATGTTGTATTTGCTGTAAAGGTACAAATAAGTTATATACAGAGTAATCAAAATAAAGTATTAGAATTTGTAAAGTTTTTAACTCTAAAATCTTACATTAACATTAATTTTTGCTACCACCATTATGTTTGGTGGTGAAACCTTTACTTCCCCCACCTTTGGTCTTTACGACATTATATGTTTAAATGTAAATATCAAATCAACTCACTATTAATCAATAAATGTCATAAATAGTTTAATCAGGGGAGTAAACCACTAATGGAAGTAGGTGTATAAATATTTGAAAATACTTTAGAAGTATGTGGAATTATACATAGTTGGAAGTCTGGTATACAAAAAATTAGATAGTGGTTTACTCCTCTGTTTAATCAAGTACCGAATAGTTATAAATTACAACCAATACTTAATTACAGAATAGTATTTAATGGGTTTACAATATAATGTTTTTGTTACCATTTCATGTAAGAGTACATTGCCGTCTTTTGTGATCTTAATTTCTCCAGCTCCAGAGACTAACCTAGAAACAAATAATATCATATTAACATTTAACAAAATAAATTTGAGTTATTAAGAAAATGTTGAACAAGCATGGTGTATCTGAGATATCTTCCTTCAGAAAAATGTACATTTTCACACTCAAGTATATGAATACATGTGTACATTGTACAAGACATTATTCATAATAATAATCTTTATTTGTCAATAACAACAGTATATACATTATTTTTTTACACTCTCATTAACTTATTGCCACAAGGTTTTTGAATTTTCATTTTGATCATTTAATTTTACCATTCACTAGAATGATCAATCATTAATGAATAACTTTGGACTATTTTACACAACCTTCACAAATCACATAAAACAAAATTTTTAAGTTGAATATTTAAATATAATTCAATCCTTTTTACGAAAACATTAGTTGAAGATATATATCTGTGTATATATTGATCTACAGCAAAATTGTTTGTTCCCCGAAAACAAAAAACTTACTCAAAATTGGCTAGACTAAAGTAGGTACAATAGTTAGGTAATTAATAGTAAATATTCAAATGACTATTAAGTAGTCTTTTTACTTGAATTTTAACTGGCATCACTTTTGGTAGGCTGAGCTTTTAAACCCTAAATACCTAATCTAATTTTTATATGATTTCATACAAATATACTGAGATTTTATTCTAATAGTAAATACTTGCCAATTCAAATAAATTGGTTGATCTCTAGCTTTGGAAATTGGAGAAAAATGTCAACATTTCAAAAACCACTTAATGGTATTCTTCTAAAGCAACTTTTCCCATATTAGGATATCCTCACTCCCACTTCCTCTCAACTTTTATCAATTGAAGTCTGGCTTTTGGGGTAGAAAAAAAAGTCAAAATATCGCCAAATGTATATATTTTCCATGAGCCCCTTCTAACCAATAACCCGTGATTGAATTTTTGATTTTCTAATGTCCTGTTGAGATATGATGGATATAAAGATGTGCGTTCGAGGACTTGTTAAAATTATTTTATTTATGGATGCTGTTCAGCACTTGGGGTTAAAACAAATCTATACATATTAGAAAATGTTATAGGAGTTTTCCATTAGTATACTGTCTAAAGAAAACGCTTAACAGTTAGAATTTCGATATTGACATATACCTACAGACTTTATGACAAACTTGATATTTTATACCTAAAAATTAAGAGAATGAAATGGTTTGGTAATGTATGGAGATCTGAAAATGATATAATAAGAAAAATACTAACGGAAACCATACATAAGAAAAGACCAATAAGTAGATCACGTACAAGATGGAAAGATGTGGTAGACAAAGATATTCAAATGTTAGTTAGAAATGTCAGCTGGCATTTAATAGGGAAAGATAGAGAGAATTATTTGTAGCAGCTTTGGTTTTACAGGGACTGACAAGTTAAGAGAAGAAGAAGATTTAATATACTTGAGTATGAATGATACTTTGATCAACTAACATTTTCATAGTTCCTTTTGGTCCCAAGTTGGTTTTCATCACATCTTGTATACCTCTTGCAGCTGAAATGTTTACAGCCAACGCTTGGGCAGCACGTGCAAATTCCGCTTTCGGATTTAATAGACTTATAGCAGACATTATTTAAAAGAATTATATTTTGAATTATGAAAAAATACTAAAATTCCTGGATCGCCCAACAAAATTGTTCCTTCAAGTCTTCCTTCAAAGTAACACACCGTATTATTAAAATTGTATGTATCAAATATTTCTTAGAGGTTAGTTAATTTTTCGTTTACCATCATAGATAATATCTTTTAAACAAGACTATGGATGCAGAGTTCTATGGTTAGATTATGGTTTTAAAATAATAAGATAACAATGTCATAGTTTGTGATAATAAGGTAAAAGAAAGGAAAGATCCTATTGATTCGAAAGAAACAATATAAATTATATGTTATATAGATATATACACAAGAGTTATTAAATAAATTGTAAAATTTAGAGAACAACGATATTTTTATTTAATATTAAAGAGAATTTATTTTTAACTGTCTTTGAATGAATATGTCTCCTATGAAAAGGGAATACTTGGTAAGTTTACCCAAATTTTATATAGGTACCTAAATTTTTTGTATACAATTATATTATTATTTTTATTTTTTATACCTATTTCATTATTGTATGTAGCCTCCACCATTATCGCCAAGTCCCGTTTTAGATATAAGCGATGATGAATTGGTGACGATTTCGGTACGTGATTTGAATCGCCAACTTAAGATGCGTGGTTTAACAAGAGATCAAATAGTGCGTATGAAACAACGAAGAAGAACATTGAAAAATCGAGGTTATGCAGCCAGGTAATTGTTTATTATTTTTTAAATTTTCTTTTCAGATATTATTATAATTGTTTTCAAATACTTCATTAAATTTATCAAAGTTAAGAAGTAACGTTTAATTATAAATAGATGCAATAATTACAATTATATAGGCAATAAATGTATACAATAAATTATATTGTAGTTATTATCATTGGTTTAACTTATATTTTATGAATGAAAAAGTAAAAATTGTCTAAAATTACAGCTGCCGTATTAAGAGAATTGAACAAAAAGATGAACTAGAAACAGAGAAATCTCAAGAATATCAGGAACTAGATGATTTGCAACATTCAAATAATATGATTCGATCAGAGGTTGAAAATACTGTCAGACAATTTGAAATGCTTAAAATATTTGCTGCAGCTAATAAAGTTATGTTACCATTAGAAATTCAATCATTGTAATCGGAAGTTCTTTTTAATTTATTTTAATGTGGGCCAAACAGTATTATGACCTTTACAATTAGCCTACTATTAGAATTATCAAGAATGGGCTATTTGTTTACTTAATTGCTAAAAATACTATTTAAACAATTTTTATAAAAGATATTTAGGTAAATGGGTATATATTTTATTATAATTGATATATTTTTAAGCAAATTGTTCATGGTGTATGTCAGTGTTCTATTTAATAGCAAAAATATATTTTTGTATTTATATAAATGTTAAACCTTGCAATAAATCATTGACAATTATATACCTAGAAAATAACTTTATTTTATTATTAATATTTCATATTGAAAGTATAACATTTATTTTAAAGACAAATATCTAAGTATATTCAAATTATTGAACTATAAAATCCAGAATGTGATTTTTAAACTAAATGTATGTTCCTTAACTTCAAAGTTTGTTGTATGTACAATTTCCTATAGTTAAATTCAATATATTATATGATGTTTTTGAAATAAGATGCTAATTTTTTATTTGACTTACAAATTAATTGTATTTAATTAAATAAATATACATTTTATTGAAATTGTATTTATTTCCCAATTGTTTATTGAAAAATAAATCACTGCTAAGATTACTGACTATTGATTATCATATCATAACTAGAAATTGGCTTAGTAAATAACACAATTTAAAAAAATTTTTTTGTTAATTTTATGTTGTAAATCAATTTTATTTTACTATTGTATGTAATTTTTTTAAAATTATAATTTAATTATATTGAACTATTCTCAACTTTTTTAATAGAAAGACATCAAGCTATTAGAGTAGATAATGTTTTAATTAAGTTTTTACCAATTAACTATGGTATCCTTCAAGGTACAGTGTTAGGACCTCTATTTTTATAATCTACACGAATGGTTTATTTGGTTTAAATTTAAACGCTAAAATTATTAGTTTTACATTCATTTTGGTTAGTGGTACCTCAAAGAATTTAGTTAATAAATTAACTATACTCACCTTATAAAAAACTAATGGTTGAAAAATAATTTAATAAATTTAATATTAAAAAATCAAAGTATATATACAGTAAAACTTTCATATAACAAATCACCGAAGGGACTGGTAATAATGATCACTATTTAGATGTGACAGTCCTTTAGAGGTTTCCTATAGAGTAGTGGTTCCCAACTTTTTTGACACTATGGACTAGTCAGAGAACTTTTGGTACATCTTGGACCACCTCAATTTTAGACTTTATTTTTCTTATAAACAAGAATCAATTATTTTAACAGATTATGAATAAATAAAATTAATGAAATTCCTTATAGGTTCTTCCTTATAATGTTTATAATTAATTCATTTTAAGTAAAATTTAAAACTATCAAAAATTTAACGAAAATTACAATTATAAAAACAATTTGTTGCGATTTTTGGGCTTGCATTTCCTTTAATAACAAAGATATTCTTGGGGGAATATTGCTAAAGCTACACGCATGCCTTAAGTGTCGTCCAAACGGTTTATTTGATTATTTTTAATATAGAGTAGTCCGGAAAACCATTGTTCGCACAAATAATTTATTGAAAACATCACTAAATATCTTAATACGATTTCCTAATGTTTAGGATACACAATTGCTTTTTTATACCAAGACTATTCGAATATGCATGTAAAATTCAAACGTACCCTTACAGTTTCGATCGTTTTGTTATTCTATCAAATCTTCCTGGTTATTATCAGGTACCTCATCGACGTTAAAAATAAAAGAGTTCCGAATCATACTTCGGATACCTATCGTTTCGTAACCATTAAATTCTGGGAAATACTGATAAATTTTATCTTTAAGTTTAAGGTTATTATACACGATTGTCGGTATTTGTGTCACGTCCCAAAGAAAAAATGAAATATTTTTAAATTTTCTAGATATTGCTCGTGGACCACCACACAATGTCTATATATAAATAGGTTGGGAACCTCTGCTATAGAGGTATAACACTTGACGGGACCAAAAAAAAATTACCGTTACACAGAGATGACCGTTAACAGAAGTTTTACTATATTTTTAAATTTATAATAATAAAAACTTATTATACAATCAACTAGTTATTCACTGCTCAAATTGTAATAGGTCTTTAAATTCTTGTAAATGTGTAAGCTTAAACATGTAGATTCAATTAAATATCTTGAGGTGATATTTGATAGAAATTTCAGGTGGACTCTTCATATAACTCATATAGAGAGTATAATACGTAAGTTGTTTTATACATTTAAGTTGTTCAAAGATATCCTCGACATAAGGACCTTGCGTACAGTGTATTTAACTCTTGTACAGTCTATAATTAACTATGATGGTACTGTTATTCGGGGAAATGCATCCAAGTTTGAAATATCCTGGAGTTGTGCATAATTAAAAATTATACGTATTAAAACGAAAAACACGTATTTTCAAGAACGACAAATGATCACATTAAAATATTAAACGGACAAACAGTGAATAACTCTGTGAAAAGGTAGGTTGATGAATTATAATTTTCGATAAGGCCAAGGAAAATAATTCGATTAGAGTTGGAGAAAGATGTTAATATTTTGAATACCTACATTAATTTTGATTTATTAAAAATTGGGATTATCCAAACATTTATATTATTTTATCTGACCTACCCAGAAAAATATTTCTAGCTACGCCTTTGGAGATTGTACTTATAAAATTGCTATCAGTTGAACACGTTGAATCGAATTATTTATTGCTAGGTATGCTGGGTATTTAACTAGTTTTTATCCTTTTATCTTCGTAATTATATGAAAAACACAGACACACGGTATTTCCAGGGCTGGATCAAGACATCTGTAGGTTAGGTTACACTGTCAGATACACTGACATGTAAATCAAAAACTAAAACCAATATAGTTTTTCGTAATTAAATGAATAAATATAAATAAACGAAAAATATACAAATGCAATATTTTTCGTCTTCCTAATTATTTACATTATATTATAGTATAATATTCATTTTTAGGGCAAAATATTTTGTATACTATGATAGTTCAATTACGAGTATAATTTATTGTACCCATATTATTTGTATTATAATGTGTAACAAGATAATCTAACCGCAACTCGGACTTTTTTATTTTACCTACTTTGATCCCGACCGCAACTTGTTATCCACCATATCATATTGCCAGCGCCCACTTTTCATTGGAGATGTGGAAAACCGCCGAACCGTATTTTTGTAAAAAAAACTACTATAGGTATCGTGCAGAAGTGCTGAGTAGGCATGTACGGCAGGTTGTTATTTAAAATAATACAACTTTACGTCGGTTTTTTTTTTTTTAATTTTCGTCTTTTTTCGGTTTTTCCCAATTATTAAAAAAACTCCTTTGGAAAATCAAATAATGATCTTTCTAGTGCACCAATTAGATAAACATGTTCGGCAAAAATCTAGTTTAACGCCAACGCGAATTTTTGTTTTTTTTTTTTCAAAATGTGTGTTTTTAAATGCTTAATCCGTTGACATAATCAAAGCATACTTACTTTTATAGTTATTGTGCATAAATCATGAAAAATAGCATTTTTGGAATTAATCCAAAATGTCGTCAAAATAAAGATCAATAGTGTAGTGAGGTTTTACAATGCTGTTTATTTCTTCTTTTTTTTTTCAATTTCGCACGTGGGTGGTGCCACACTTGTAGGTGAAAAGTTGGGAAGTAGTGGAGGGGAAATTTCATGTATATCTGTGAACAACGATAAACCATTGCTAACGAAAAAACAATTCTGAGCAAAGTTCAGTTGATAGTTTCTTTGTCAACAATATAAATGCCATACCTAATAAGGTCATCTTTGTAAAACCATGAGCTTATTTACTACACTCAGAATCTAATATGTTAATACTTTCATCTAAATAATTAAAATAATAAGTTATTATTAATAACATAATACTAATATTATATTTCTCCAGAAAGATTGAAAGGTAGTGTTATTTTTTTTTTGTCATAAATATTCAGTGAATATTTTTGTAATTATTTTGAGAAACTCTATTTTCTTCCATAATATGTTAGGCATAATAAGTAATATAAATAACAAAAATTACCCAGTTATTAAAAATCATTTCATTTCATTTTTATATGATCTCTGAAGAATTTCTTCTGTATTTTCTTCATTAAAAAAAAATATTTTCTTTTGTCTACATAATTCACTGAAGTATTGTGATTCATCAGCAGTCCAGTTGGATTTCCTATTAGAAAAATTTTTTTTAATAATTTAGTAATATATAGTGTCACTCAAATGGTAAAACAGAAGATTTCTGTTCAGTGACCTCGGATTAAAATGGGGGTTTCAAATTTCTTAACCTTTCAGTGTGCCCATATGGACTTATGGACCGATAGCTTGGCCGGTGCGTTCACCTGATTTGATGCCTCTAGATTTTTTTTCTTTGTGGACATTTAAAAATTGTAGGTTATGCTGACCCACCAACCAATAAGTCTCCAGCATTTAAAACAAAAAATCATTGAAGCATGTGCACAACTAACAAATAAATTATGGCAAATACTCAAGATGAAGCATGTTTACAACATAATGGATAAAACTTTGAACAATTTATAAGATAATTATGACTGATGAGTATTTTTTGTAATAAATTGTTTAAAATAAAATACATTTAATAATTATAAAATAATTTTGTTTCCACTTTAACTAGCTATATTTCAGCCAATTTTCAAGATAAGGGAAAGGTTTATTTAAATAGGTTGCTTAAAAAATGGTTTATCCAAATCAAGTGTTGTAAATAGGTGTTTCAGTTTAAAAAAATGCAAGTTTTATTGCGCATGCACATACTAAAAGGTTAAGAAATTTGAAAATCCATACAAAATATGTATTTCAATAATTCCTATCTTCCATTAAAAACCCTATTTCAATTAAAGGTTACTTGACAGAAATATTTGGAGTGAAACACGTTGTATTTCATACATTTTCCGATTTTTCCTCAGTTTTTTTTTTTCAGTTTTTCACATATGTTGAGAAAATCGACAAAAGACTCTCTAAAGTACCTCACCAGTAGGATTTCTTTTTAGAAAAATTGCTATCATTATAAATTAAAGCAAAATTACTAAAAGAAAAGTTGTGCGCAGATAAAAAAAAAAAAATAATAATAATAATAATAACATATAATGCAGTAAATAACCAGAATATATTGTATAATAAATTCTTGGATTGATTACTAATATAATAAAAAATTGTGTGGAAAACATATTTCTAAGTATTAAAACTTATAAGTAAATAGATTTTTAATTTTTTTTTTGGAGGTATACTTCTTTTTAATAATATTCCAAATATTTTATTAACAGTTATGTTTTATTTTTATTTTGTTTATAATTTTAACAATAATAAGAAATTTGAATTATTTTTCATACATTCCATTATAATTATAATGCTTGCATGTCCTTGCAGTGATTTTTACATTAAACAATTTTTGACATTACACTTTACTTTATTTTTTTAGTAAAATTTTGAAACATTTCTGCTTGGCCAAATCAATTTTATTGATAAAAAAACAAATTAAAATTAAATATTATAATATGTCAAATTTCGAAAAATAACTAAAAAGCATGCTCACTATTGTCTAGAAACGCAAAGTATTTTATTAAAATAAACGAAATTACTAAAAAAAACCAAAATTAATGAAATTATTGCCATAAATTCTCAATATTTCTCTTAAGTCATCTTTTAATTGGAACATGATTTCTGGTAAAAAAGTTGTTTACAGAAAATAAGTAAATTAAAATTCTATAATTTAAAACTTGTTTCAAGTGTATCAATTGTATTTATTTTTTTATCCAGTAGGTACAATAGTCAATGTTCTCTGGTACTTCCATTCAGAACCACCATCATTAGAAAATGAATCTAAAAACAAATAAATAAATTATTTTATTTTATTTTTAAACCTATAACATACTAAACAATAAAAACTCTTATTATTTTGAAATAAACCATAAGGAACTAGTTTGATAAAACAAATTATAAATACATATATAACAATTAAATTCTTAAGTTTGCTTTAAGTTTAGATATGACAAAAAAGACTGACAGGAGTAGGCCATTGTTTTTTCCTGGTTTTTCTCAATTATTATGAAAACTCCTTAGAAAATCAATGACCTTCTTACAGTACCACCCGGGTAAAATTCTATTTCAGAAAACATACTACATATAAAATTTAGAGCAAGAAGAAAGAAAATTCTTCTAAGATAAAAAATAAAAATTAATGTAATGAGTTCAAAAATACTAACATTTAAGGGGTTATGTATAGGCAATTTTAATGACACGATTTAAAAACTAATAAAATATTTAAATTCATTTTTCCAGTTTAAAAATGGTACCACTTCCTTAACACAAGTATTTGTTAAAGTATTCGTTAAATTATTTTTAAATATGTTCATGTAAAACAGAAAAAGTTCCTTTCAAAGAAAATCTTGAATTTGTAGGCATTATACTAATTTACGATATCATTATCTAGAGTTAACATATTGATTTTCACTTAACTTAAATATACTTAAAAATACTTAAATGATACTATTGATTTATAATTTTATAAATTATATTATTATATTCAACTAAATTGACTATATAGTTTTATTTTTTCCTTTTTATCATACACTTTTAAGGCTAAATCAGTAAGTCAATAAGTAATCAATAAGTTATTTATTTTGAGATAAAAATATTTTTTTTTTATGTTTATAAATGTTCACTTTTCTGAAGTAAAATAAAAAATATTAATAAAACATTTTTTAGAAGTTAATTGGTACTCTAAACTATAACAATTTATTTCTCATGAATCTGAAATAGTTTAGAGGATTCAATAAATTTTATTTGGTCCATATTTTATAAAACAAATAATTTTGAATCATAGATTATATGATATATATAGAAAAAGGAGCTGATACTGGAGACAGGTGTGCAACGGTTATATATAACAATAAACAATCCAGAGTGAAATTCTGCAATACATATTTTCAAAGGCCATAATATTCATAATTTTAGTCAAAATTTGTAAAANAATGAACCCCCTGTAAAGTTTTCAAGCATTTCTGTTTCATATTAAAATTTAATCCACAGAGTATCTACTAAATAAAAATTATGTACAAAACTTGTAAACTCCCATCATTTTTTTTCTGGTTTTTCTCAATTATTTATAAAACCTCTTTTAAAATCAAAAACTAATTTCTCTAATATACCAACTAAAGGTGCTACACTTAATACAAAAAACACACATTATAGTAAAACTAAATTTTAAATTGTATTCTATTAAAAAAAATAGAACTTGTTTTCAGTATGTTTAAAGGTAATCAGCTCTAGTTTCCTTAATCTGTTGCTTATAAAATAATATTCACAAAATATTGAGCTAATTAAAGGGTTTTCAAAATATTGAGTAGGTAACTTTATTTATCAATTTCATTAAATAAATATTATTTGATATTATTTAAGTTTTAAAAAATATGTATATTTCCTTGTATCATACTACAAATGCTTGAAGCTTATAATTTTATCTAAACAAATTTTTATTTTACTTACTGTCAAAATGACTGGTAATTTTTTAAGCTAAGATGTTTTGACATAAACTAAATAATTACCCTCATTTTTTAATGGGTAAATAACTATATTCTTTTGTTATGAGCAATTGTTGATTTTCTCAATGTCCAGATCAAATGAAAGGTAATTTCAGATTGCATTCCATTAGGATTCCAGCTAAGTAATTAATATTATTTTGATTTAAATGATTTACAAAAAACATAATTGATATGTATAACATACTTTGTTTACGAGAAAAATTTGTATTCCTGCGCCTAAACAACTAAAAATTGATGTGTCCTCCTTGTGAAACCGCCTAGGTTATGTTTTGATGTGGTAGGCAAGACTATTCATATGTCTGGTCTGAGTAGATCACTGGTAATCGCATTAACTATTACAAATCAAGTGGCTATAACAGTTATATAGTCAATGTTAATGGTTTTTTAGTGAACTTTAATTCTACAGAATGTTTATGTAAAAATTAAAAATCAATTAGATCATGCAAATTAATTTCAAAACTGGAAAATACCAATACAATTTCGATGAGTCTACAGGTGGCGAATGTAGGTATTCATAGTGATTTTGATTAAACCTAGAGAATGAATATTGTTTTCTGTCCAATTATTAATTAATGAGAAGTCAAGTATGTTGTCCAGTTCCATAAGTGGTACAATTTTATCACCAAGAAATTTGTTGCCAATGACTTGTAATGATCAGTCTAAATAAGAAACAAAATGTATTTAACTATAAGCAATCTAACTTATAATTAAATATTCAGTTAGAGCGTAATAAGTGTATTTTTTTTCACTTGAGTTTCAATATCATAAAAAACATAACATTTTTCAGTTGGAACTTCATTATCTTGTACAATGAATATAACTGGCACTTGAAGCTATGAAGATTTGTGTATATGTTATTTTTCTTTTATGACATCTTATACCCAATAGAAATTAACTTAAACATTTAAATTCAAAAGGTTGTACACAATTAATTAGAGCAATTTTCAATCAAATAATAAATGTTATTTTACAATTATAATTTTCAAATTAAACTAGTTCTGATTATAGATACTACATATTCATTTAACATTAACAATAAGGTATAAAATATTAATTTTAATAATTGTACATACCTACAGTTAATTAAAAATAAATATAATAACTGTAACAAAAATTGTTTGTTAAAAAATAGAAAAAAAAAACACATTTTAATTAAAAATAAAATTATTACACTTAACATATTCCCATTATTTAAAAAATACTTACCCATAAATATACCACATGATAAGATTATGGCTAAAAATGTAGTTAGACCAAGTATTAATTGACAACACTAAAATGAGCAATAAAATATATTTAGATTTTAAACAAAATAACTAATGGTTTAAATAAATAGAAAATTAATTTTTAAATTTTTATTAAAACTAAAATGGTTATACTTTATCATCACTTTTTTTCTTTTCTATATTTACATACACCATGTTAAAAAATAATATAAAATTTGAACAAATAATAAAATATTTTCTTATTTCACAATTTAAAAATTAAACTCAACATATTACTTAACTAATGAAAAATATTTTGTGTTGGCATTTATTTCTAATATTACAAAAATAAATTGTAATTGTTTAATCACACATTCCTGAATTTTAAAATATAACATAACTTACCCAGTATAACATAACAGATGAACATTAGTTTTATAAAGTATTTATTTATAAGATTCATTGTAAATAGATTTATTGATTTAGTAGATCTCAATGCTTCTTTTACAAAAAATATAATTATAATTCTTATTAAACAATTTGCACTGAACTTGAGTGTAATTTAAAAAATATTTAACATTAAATGCTAATTGACAACACCTATAGTTCACATAATTATTATACATCTATAAACTAAACATTTATAAACCTGGTAGAAATATAAAATTACCTCTATAAAAATATAAATTTATATATACATATATTTTTATTGGAATAATAATAGTTAATCTTTAAAAGTAATATAAAACAATTTAATTAATCCCTGCCATCTGATAGGTTCTTACTATTCCTAGTATAACAAACATTGAATATTCTGTTGAATATTTCATAATTGAAACTTACCTAATATGTAGGTTGTATACTTATAATCATATTTTAAGAATCAATTAAATATTTATTTGGTGTGTTTTAATCTTATTTTTAAATTAATAATTTTATAATAATAAATAATCAATTAAAACTTCTTATAAAGAAAATTGTATAAGAATTAAAATATATTAATTGTCAAGTCATTTAATTTTCATTAGATATAATTTTTCAGTTCTAAGATTAAAACTAAAATTGGGGATGGGAGCGGCTACTATTGTAGGCTAGAAGTTGGGATGGGAAAACATAAGGTTATTTCATTTATATCTGTAAGCAACGATAAACCATTGCTTAACGAAAGACGATTCCGAGCGCAGTTCGGTAATACATAATTTGAAGTGATGTAATTTTTTTTGCGATTTTCGTTTAAATATAGAATAGAAGTTATTTATTAAATAAACTTTTTTTAAGTTACTCCATTATAAAATAATCACCAATTATTATTAAATTAATAAAATGCAATAAAACAATTACAAGAATTTCAATTTTTTTTCTGTGATAAAAATATAAAATATTTGATTTATGATAAGTAGTAGTTATTTAAAAAAAATATTGTATTCAAATAATACATTAATCATTTAATGTTATATTGTATTATATGCTTAAATAATTACTATAAATGTGGGCTTGGTGAATTGTATCCCAAAAAAAAGTTGAAATATTAAATAGGTGAATTGCATACTCAATATGCTACGCTCAGAATATAAAAATTTAATTTAAATTTTAGAATTACATTTTTTGGTTGGCTATTTCAATGTTAATTCTAACTAAGTAATAATTTAAAAATCTTTTTCCGATTCAAAATTAAAATGTGATATTAAAGTATATCATTTATGAATTCAAATTATAATTGTTTAATCAAATTATTGTCATCATTATTATTTTAGAAAATTGTAATCAATATCAGCTCATTATTTATTTTGGAATGGCTAATTTTATGTTACACACAATCAGAAAAAAAAATTTTATCCAAAAAATGTAATCAGTAGATTCATAATTAAATGTTTTATGTATAATATGATCTACAGTTATTCTACTCAAAAAAAAAAAAAATTATACAACTTACACTGTAGATATTTGATAACTTTTTTTACCTTTTACTAAATATATTTAAATTATTTAACACATTGACTTTGTATGTATTTTTGCAGTTTTCACTTCAATGTATACATAATTTTTTAATCCTTATCATTTTAATCACAATAATTAATAAGCAAATATTATTCAATCATGTGTAGGGAATACCATTTACAATAAATGTATATTGAACACTAAATGGTGTCAAACGCATTTTTGAATGATCGTTGACATTAAGCATTATAAAAAATGTTTAGTTAATTAATGGTTTATATAAATGACACATACTTTTATATAAAACCAAAATTTCTATGTGGTAGAAACCTAACTTAATAATAGCTCTAATATTATTTGGAATATTTTTTAGCACATAGTAAAATAAATCCATAATTATTTGATATTTTCCTATGATCCATATTATTCTGTTTAATAAATCCATTTGTAATAAACATAAAGGTCCAAATGAAGGTCCAGGATAATCCATTATAACTATGATGCTCTGCCCCAGTAGTTATATTATGTCCTATGTCCTGAGTGTTCGAAAGAAATTCTGTTCCAAATCCTGATCCATCCAATGAATAATCAATATCCATCAATGTTAAAACAATTTCTTGAGTATAAATCCTTTTTTTTTATATTAAAATCCTAAATTTGTATCCTACATGAATATCATGTTTTCTGGAAGTTTCCATTTCCAATAGTTTTTTTTTTAAACAAAAGATCCAGGGCAGAAAATCCGTTTGAAGAAAATGTTTTTAAATCATAAAACTGATGTAAATGATACCATTCATCTTTTTAATTATACTGAATGAATCCCTACATGTATTGCTGTTGTGATCAGCAAAGAGATACAACTTGAATTTTAAAATCCAAAATCCAGATGTGTATAAAATGTTTCAGTGTATGTTCTATGTATTCCTAAAGGCAGTTTCTATTCATACTCATGCTCCTTGCTTCCATATGTAAGGCAAGCAGAAAAAAACTCCATTTTAATTAATAAATAACATAGTACAAATGGTATTTTCAGTCAGTGACATTATCCTTAACATGAGTTTTTTAAACTCGGTAAGTGGTCCATTTCGTGTCTCATTGTAAAATAACATTTTAATTTAAATCCATTTGATACACATATATTCTCCAATATTGACGACAGGAGGTGGCAAATAAAATCAATTAGATATCCTTTGTAAATAATGCTATGTGTCCTTTATTTGTGTCCAATCCAGTTATAATCAGCTACAATTTTAAAGTTATAAAAAATGACAAAAACACTTTTAACTTAGTTTAACCCTCGTATTAAAAATTTGTCAATAATGTTTCTAATAAAAATAATAATAGTAATAATAAGAAAAAAAAACACTATAGTAATGGAATGAGGGTCAATAAAGTATTGTTGCATGCTTTACCATTTGGTTATCTGCAATATTACGAGCGGGAACGAGATCTTGAATAACTACGGCTTTTTCTAACTGGTGAATAAGTTGGTGTTCCACGATCTCGTGGTGAATAGCTAGCAGAACGACTACGACTACGACTATTATAGTCACGACTGCGACGACTGCTTCCACCGCCATAATCATCTTTTACACGTATATATGATACTTCACCCTAGATAAAAATAAAAATTATAGCGATTCATTAATTAATTTGTATGCTTGAATAACAAATTTAAAACAGTAACATTATAATAACTGAACAAACCTCATGAGACCTAAATCTTGAGTCATCTAGCTTACGAACTGCATATTTCATATCATCATAACGTAAAAATTCCACAACACCTGATCCATCTTTGTACACGTCCGCATAACAAACATCTCCTGCTTCACGCATGTGATCTTTTAGGTCTTGCCAACTTCCTGAAGCTGGTAATCCTAAAAAATTATATACTAGATTATATAATATAATATATACATATAAGAAAATGAGTTAAACACTTTACACAGTAAATCAGGTTTATTTTTTACATAATACAAGTTTATATACTCACCAGTAACAAGCACTCTATACTGGGAACGTCTAGCAGGTGGTCCTCTACTTCTTCCGCTACCACCACCAGCACCTCCTCTATTATAATTACCACCGCCTCTATGTGGACCATTGCCTCGTGGGAATTCTACACGTAATCTATAACCGTCATAATCATAACCATCTCTGGCATGAACAGCATCTTCAGCATCTCTATAATATTAAATATTTTATTTATTTATCGGTATTGTAAAAATACAAGTAGTACAATTATCAATTCAAAATAAAGTTATTACAATTTATGAAATTAAGTTAGTAAAAAATTAAAAAAGTACCAATTATAAGTAATGTTCATTAAAGAAAAAAAAAACATCATCAAATGTGTTGGTTTGGAATGTTAACACGAAAATTTAGTCTCTGAAAAAAAAAACCCTCAAAAAAATAATCCCATAAGAGTTTTTGCAAAAGGTAATGGGTAATATTGTAATAGATAAAAATTCAAATTAATCTAAATATTAGTATTATACTATTTCATATAGTAAAATTCTCCACAAATAATTTTAAATTTGGATTCAATGATAAATTACCTATTGTATATGATAAAAACAATTCAGAGTGAAAATGGTTTATCTGTCATATCGAATATCAATCAGATATATAATAACTACAGACATATTATAATGGATAAGAAAGGTGTTAATAACTTTATTTTTAATGTTATAATAATATAATTACAAAAGTGGTAATATTTGTAAAATTGTTCAAGTTCTGTGTAATCAGTAATACATTGTACTATGTTAAATACACCAAATTTGACTGTAAATAATTTGTTTTGTTTACATATTAATATATTATTATCGACATATAATATTAATATAGAGTTATATATTGGAAAATCGTTGAGAATATACACTTAAGTTTTAAAATTGTTGTAACTTATATTGAATCATAATAATGTTTTATTTTTTCTTCGGATTTTGCATTGTTACTTCTACAATGATCACTGTGTATCAGAGTACATTGCTATATTTCAGAAAAAAAAGAAAAGCTGAAATATAGACTTACTCTAATAATTAATACCTTTCTATTTACTGACATTTTTATTGTTATTCATAATTTAAAAATTATTGAGAAAAAAATATAAAAAAAATATGATATAGTTTAAAAAACTTTAAAATAATTGATAACTACCTTATAATACTTAGATAAATTAATAAAAATATACATATTATTGGTAATGAAAAAAACTATTCTGAATGTTTCATTTATTTTAAATTTGTGGTAGATAATGTACATTTTGAAGCATAAATACAGTTTAGCTCTCAAGCAATTTTTTGAAATTTTTTTCCAAAATGTGTGTTTCTGCATGCTTAATTTGATGATATTTTCAAAAAAAAGTTGCTCAAACTTCATTTGTAAGTTATGGTTAAAAGACTTCAAAATGCTTGATTTTTCTAAAAATCGTGTTTTTAAGTTTAAAATACTAACAATTTGTATTTCCAATAAAAGGGAAGAAACATTTTCTATTTCCACTATTTCTTCCAAACTAAAAATAAATTTTCACTAAAAACTTGTTTATGTTATTACACACTGATTGGAAAAAAAAGTCCAAAATTCAATTTTGAGTTACTTTAATGTGCAAATGATTGAAATAACATTATAATTATGTTTTATATGGTTTATTTACAACAACATAAAAAGTAAGAATGATAGATGAATTCTGATTTCATCAAAATGTTAGGTATATAATTCTTAACATTTCTAAATAAAAAAAAAAAATAAAAAAAATATAAATTTTTGTAATTTTGAACTTAAAATTATATAAAATTAGTTTTCAGAAAAATTGAAATTTTTTAACCATAACTTCCAAATGAACTTCGAGCGACTTTTTTTGAAAGTAATATTAAATTAAGCACGCAAAAACACACATTTTGGAAAAAAAATTTTAAAAAATCGCTTGACAGCTAAATTACATTCGTTCCATTTTTAAATTATTATTATAATAATATTATTTTAAAATTTTATAGGGAAATATAGAAATTGAAATTCCATTTGTTTTTATTAAAAGTGTTATTATAATAGAAAACATATAATATTACCTAGGATCGTCAAACTCGACGAATGCGAAAGGTGGACCTCGTTGATTTTTTAAATCGACAAACAAAACTTTACCAAATTTATAAAATAAATCCTGGATATCTTTTGTGCGTATATCTGGTGGAAGGTTTCCAACGTAAATTCTACAGTCATTGTTGGACATAATTATTGGACGTAGAAGTCTTGGTACACACGGAACGAATTCACTTGTTTAAAATCACTATTATTTAATTTAAAACAAATATATAACAATATTATATTAAACTATTGTTATATTAGGTACGTTAAATATTTTACTTATTAATAAAAAAAAATAACACTATTAAAATCACAAAATTAACACAACGATAATGCGGGAGAGAGCCAATCAGTATTCAGTTGCTTATTATATTATTTTCTATGCCGATGGCTGAAATGCTGAATGGAAAAGACAAATATAGATAAGGTCTAAAACGCAAATTGGCAAGACGGACTTATTTCCAAAAAGTAAGCAAAAACAGTTAACAGTTAACACAAACACTTATCCTGGACGATAACGATTATCGATGGTGACATCGATATTTCGGAGCGGAAGTAAAACGTATAATTTGTTTTAACATAGATAAACTACAGTTTTTGAATAGTAATTCCTTTATTAATATAAGATCCATTCAAAATTCTAGTACTTAATGTTTTGTCTTATAAAATATATTAATTGACATGATATTTAAGTGGTGCGTCAACTTGTCGAAACGGACTCTATAGTCTATGGTGAAAACAATCGCTAATTCGTTAATGTTAATTTATACAATCAATAGAAAGTTTGATAGGAGACAATTATTAGGTGTGTAAGAAAAACCATGTTTTTCAAATTCATTGATTATATAATATTATAATAAAATAAAATAATTTGATAAAATCAGTCCACACACACACACACATTTAAATGGATTATTTTTGTTTTCGTTTAATTATTGTTATTATACTTGAGTACCTTAACCATCGTGGGATGGTTAGTATTAAAGTATGTTTATGGTGGGCATTAATGCTAAGAAAAAATGGTCAATAGTAAAAATATTAATATTAGGTCGTAATTGGTGTAAAGCTCAGAACAGTCAAAACTAGTCAGTGGTACATTTTTATTTTTCTGACTGTTGTTCATGGAAGAAAAAAAAAGTTTATCGATTTACTGAGTCGGTGGGTCGACGATAGTAGAGTGGCTGATAGAAACTGCCGTCTCCTGGCCAATGAGAGACGAATATTATTACTCAAACAGAGTTGTTAACATTACTACTCAGACATTTATTTTATCGGCGAATTTCGGGAGTTATTGTAACTTGACGATCAAAAGTTTTTTTGTGCTCGCCGCTTTTGCTTTAGACTTCCAAACATTGGAGAATATACCGAATCCCTACCAAACGACGTAATAGTTCCTTGTACTTTTTGTTTAAAGGTAAGTTATTGACCGTAGGTTTTACAAGACGTTTAATTTTTCAATTTCGTTTTTAACATAGCGAAAAATAGCGATTCAAAACCCAACCATTTATTTTTAATATAATTATTTTCCAGTTGATTTCTTCTACACATTAAGATGTCTGATCGCAAAGCAGTTATTAAAAATGCTGATATGTCTGAGGAGATGCAGCAAGACGCGGTTGACTGTGCTACTCAAGCACTTGAAAAATACAATATCGAGAAGGTATTATAAATTTTACTTTAATAATCATTTACTTACATCAAATATGTTCATATTCTATTCCCAGAGAGGAATAGTACATTAATATAAATTTAAAAGTAATATTGTTCAATAGTATACAATTGTGTACCAATTAATTTATTATTTATTTTTAATGTAGTTGGTACCTATATATTGTTTACTATATATAATGTAGGTACTCAATAGTAAATTTAATTTGTTAATTTTCAATAATTATTTAGTATTTGCAAGTGAGTAAATTATCTCTTATAGTTATTAAAGCTAACTGTTCTTAGAATTTAAAAAAGTTCATATTTTAAGTTTTCATCGTAACTGAAATCTGCATTTTAAGAGTGATTCTAATATTAAATAAACATAATATTTTGTATTTCTATCTGAGAAAAATGATTATTCAACTAGTTCTAAAATAAACATTTTTGTTTGAGAGTGGTAGGTTATTTTCAAAATATATTTTCTTCTAGTGTTGTACTTAATTTATATACGTTTCTTTTAGTAGCCTTAACTCTTAGAGATCTTTGTTTAAAGTTAAAATTTTCTGTGTTTACATCCTACTTTTGTATATTATACTTAATTTATTATGTATTTTTAATCTAGTAGGCTAAATTATTTCCTGGATGATTAATATTTATTCAACTGTATGTTGTTTGTTTTTTGTTTCACATTTTCTATAATAAGATTTTATATTTGAATATAATTATTACATTTTGGATTTAATAAATGATTATTTATTTAACAGGACATTGCTGCATATATAAAGAAAGAGTTTGACAAAAAATACAATCCAACTTGGCATTGTATTGTTGGCCGCAATTTTGGAAGTTATGTCACCCATGAAACGAGGCACTTTATTTACTTTTATCTGGGCCAGGTGGCCATACTGCTGTTCAAGAGCGGTTAAATCTCGAGTTGACTATTGCACACATGTCCCCTTCCAATATGCAAAAATTTAATTGAAAATAAAATACAAATATTTCACCAACTACTCTTAAAAAAAAAAATAAATATTTTTATGAGCATTAGCCATTCGGTTTTTAATTTTCAATAACCAAAATTATACAATATTTATTACATTCCCTGAGCATTTTTTAAATTTATTATTTATAAGTGTTTATTGAATAATTTATTGGAAGGGCTTGACAATTTTTCTCATTACTAACTATTTTTATTTTTATTTTTTCTAAACTAAAATGTGCGAGTAGCTTTTAATATATATATGTATACATAAATATATATATATATATATATATATATATTTTATTTTTTGAGTGCCATTGACAATGGCTTAAACTCTATTCCCCTTGCCATTTTTAACTCCCTTCTTAACAGGCTACTCATTCTTGCATTACTATTTTATTAAAAATATGTTAACTACACAGTAAAAAAAAATATTTTATTAGTATTTTCATGTTTACAGTTTATATTATTATTATAATTATTTCTAGTCCATTAAAAAAGCAAATACGTTAATGAAATTTGGGACTGTATATTTAATTTAAATAGTTATTTAGAGATTGTGTTGGAATGCATATAATGTTCATTATACTGAGAAAAGTTTTGTAACTAGAAGAATGGTTTTTACGATGTCTTGTAAATTATATGCAATCCAGCATTACATTTTAATATTTTATTATTTTCAATGCTACCAGAATATGTCACCAATATAGATAACAGTTAAAAGTGGATTATATTGTTATTGTTTACTTATGTATAATTTTTTTTTTTTTTATTATTAATATGTTTATGGTACTTTTAGATCTTATAAAAGTTTTTTTTTTTTTTAATTTGAATTTTTTTCATTTTGCAATTAGATATATAAAATATTTTGTGTTTTTGATGTAAACAAGAATGTTTCAAGTAGCGACTTAACATTGATGATTATTGATTAATGAATTCTAAAATAAAATTTTAAATTAACAGTTCTCTATATTCTCACTTTAATTATAGTATCGTGATAATTATTTACAATATTGTTCTTAATTTATTAGCAGTATTACAATTTAAATCCTGAATGAATTGCTACAACACCGAATGTTAAGTTTGTATATGTGACACATCTGAAGCCAGCACACTCTATCATGTATTTGAAATCTTCCTGTAAAAAAAAAATAAGAACTTTTACTTTCTTTATTTGTGTAATAGTTACCTATATTTAGTTGATTATAATTTAAAGGGAAAAAGAATACAAATAATTTCCAAATTTTACCTGACATGGAAATTTTCTGATACTTTCCACTAAATATTGGTAGGGTTTCCATTGCCCAGCAACTATATGTCCCATAACTGGTATTACATTAAATGAATATTGATCATATAACCTTTAAGAAAAATTCAATCGAATATACAATAATAATTGATTTAAGTAAATATAAAAGGAAAATTAAAATTGTGGTTTACCATCTTAAAGCGGTCGGATTAACTTGACTAAATTCTAAACATAGAAATCTACCTCCTGGTTCAAGAACTCTGTATGCTTCGTCTAAGACTTTGTCAATGTGTGTCACATTACGAATACCAAACGCTATGGTATAAGCAGAATAAGAATCCGATTCCATTGGTAAATTCTCTGCATCACACTCTACCCATGAAACTTTGTCTTGATTTAATTTCAAATTTAGAGCTCTTTTTTTTCCTTCTTCCAACATTGATCCATTAATGTCAGCAATTGTTACGTGTCCATCTCCTTTCATATCTGATATATAATTCAAATATCTAAAAGCAATATCTCCTATATATATATAAAAAAAAAAAATGCATTAAACAACAGAATAATAAACGAGTCGGCTTTATTAATTGTTTTGTTCAATACAATTTGACCACTATGTTAAATTTTGGTAAGTTTTTTAAAATTAAATTTAGAAACCTTAACAAAAAAAAATGTATAGCTTGTTGAAGCAATTTAAATAGACTAGTAAACTTAAGAATGCCATATATTCTATATGGAAATTATAACTATATATATAGTTACATATCTACATCTATTTTTAATAACTCAGTATTATAAAAATAAACTACCTAAGTACTTATTATTAATAGTGATATGTATTACATAAAAAAAATACCTGTTCCACCAGCAACATCTAATAACCGTGTACGTGGACTTGGATCTAATGTTTTCATTAATTCATCTTTCCATAGTCTATGTATTCCACAGCTCATTACATCATTCATGACATCATAAGAATCCGCGACATTTTTAAAAACTTGGTGCACTAAAAATTTGATTAAAATTGTTTAAATAACTTGACAAATGTTCATTAGTGCAACTCATTTTAGTCATATCAATATTTACATTTAAAAATGTATTTTTGTTTAAATTATTTTATAGTGGGCTAGAATAATAAACAGACAATTAAGAAAGATACATTTTTTAAATGTATGTTTAGTAATGTTTTATGAAATCTTTCAAACAAATTAACAAATAAACTAGTTTATAATGTATATATTATTGCTGAAAATTAAAATAAATCCTATACCACAATAGTTGCTATTATGTAATACATATAATTTTAATTACATTTTATTTTAGCAATTATTACATTTTCTATAAATTAAAATATTAAACAGAGTATATGGTAATATTACCATATTAATAATATAATATGAAATAATTATTTTATGATATCAACAAGTTTAATGGGAATACAATTTTAATAGCTACATAAAATAAAAAAACAATCATATTTTTTGAAGATGTATATAATAATAGAAAATTTGTGTAAAGGAGGAATATAATTATTCATATTTCAGTCTTGTAAACATATAAAGGACAAAGTACATTTATTATTTTTGTATTATCCACTTGCAGTGCTTGGTAGTTACTAAATTGCTTAATCGTCGTCACTAGACCAGTTATAAGTTTCATGACTTTTGTTTTTTCGATCTGGAGTATTATCCCATTTAAGTGTATTCAAGTTATCTTTCTGAGATGAACCATCTATAGATCTTCTTTTTTCTAATTTTGAACTGTTTCTTTTTTTAGAATGATCATCTTGTTCTTGTTCCCTTCTACTAGACTTTTTCATTTCTCTGAAACTTTGACTAGAGTTATTTCGTTGAGGTCTTGATTGATATTTACCCCCTGGATTTTTATACAAATGCAAGTAATTACAATTTTTTCCCTTTGGACACATTTTTCTAAAAAATAACCCGCATACTGCTTCTGACCATGAAGGAATGGTACAGAATTCTGCTGTTATTTTACGTCCACCATAGTAACGACCACATAGGTTTCGATATGCTTTTAAAGAATGACGTCTACTTCTATACTGGACATATACATTGCCCATAAGATGCATTTCTTGATTTCTACAAACATTAAGTTCAATTATTTGACCATAACTTTTAAGCTCAACTAATATATCTTCGAAAAATTCATAAAATTTCTGATACGCCTCTTTTTCATCACATTCTAGACCAATATCTATGTCAAATTCTCGTTCAAACCGCATGTTCAATTCAAAATTTTTATAAAATCCTGGAATCAACAATGTATTGCTTATACCTGGTCGAATGTGATTTCTTGAACAGTTATCACGGAAACGACAAGCAGCAACTTTAGAAAAAAAAGGACAAAGTGGCTGATCTGGTCTTGAACTTGTATTGACGTTTATGGATTCAGGTAGAGGACCAAGACCATTAATATACATTTCTATTCCTTCAATAAATTTAGCATTTATTTCTTCTTGGAGCTGTTGTTCTTTTTTCTTCTTTTCTTCTATCTCTTTAATTTTGTTTTGTTCCCTTTCCCATTCTAATTTTATTACCAATTCTTTTTGCTCTTTTTCTTGTTTAATTTTGCTAAGCTTCTTCTGTAATGATTCCCATTCTTCTATAGCTTTATATTCTCGTTCAATCCATTCATTGTATTGTAAACTAGAAATCCGTTCATATTCATTCCGTTTGAATTCTTCTAACTCTTCTTCATTTTGTTGCCATTTTTGAAACGTTGGAGAGTTTGAACGATTTTGAATGTGTTTTTGAAGTGATTCTTCTCGTTCAATTGCATTTTTTTGGCGCCGGCGTTTGCGGCAAATCTTTTTCCATTTATTACGCAGTATTTTATGTTTTTTCATAGTTTCCCTAAATGTTGGGGGAATTAATACTATGAAGGAGTATTTTAAATACCTTTTTTTGATTTGTCCGCTTCATCAACTGTCTGAAAACCAAAATGTGTTTGAGTTGAATACAGTGCTGTGAACTTGAAATAGTTATGAACATTTGAACAACGCAAACAGCATTTATTAAATAAAAGACTCATTGTGAATAAATAAAAATAAGAAATAATAAGAAATAATAATTTTAAATGAACAACAATTAAGTTTTAAGTTATATTATTTTATTACTATAAAAAAAAAAAATAGTAAGTATTATCAAGGTATATCTTTGCAGTTAACTATAGATAATAAAGATTATCTATGTAGTCAAATATTTTCCCTATGGATAAACATTATCAGTTTAATTATTACAATATCAAACATATGGCTATGGGTGCATTCCGGTTAGACACTGCACGAGCGCTCCTCTGCTCACCGTGTGTTCCATCCATGAACAATAGAGATAGGACGCTGATCTGTGCAAATCGTGGAACTAAAAAGAAGTTAATTAACTTCTATTCAAACTAATAAGTTTAACTTAGTTTATAGTTTATATGTCTATAGTGCAAGAAAAGGTGGTCTAGAATTATCCTAAATCGCTAGAATGCATTTTGGTTAGAAGTGATGTCGGTTTTACACGGAAAGTATAGGGAATTTATTGGTATTTTATTATTATGATCTAATTGGTGAAACTAATGAATAATTACTATGAAATTATTTTTTTAAACAAAGTTGTCCTCGATCAAATATATGTATTTTCAAGTTTATACGATTTTTAGGCTAAGAAATATAATTGTTTAAAAAGAAATAGTTTCGAATTATACACATACCTACCACGAATTTTGTTTTTGTTTATTTTATTTGTCATAAACAATCTGGTAATTGGTTAAAAAGTCCGGATTCAGTTTTTATTGTCGGACAAAATTTTTAATTATATAATTTATTATATAGGTATGTTATACTATATATATATATAGTATAATATACTATTTTTAATAATTAATATTAATTAATTACTATATATATATATATATATATATATATATTAATAGCAAAAAATCATTTAAAAAAAATTATACTTATATAATGATATTGATTATTGCTTGTAGGTATAAACTTATGATAGGTAAACTGTAGACATACAGCCGTGGTAAATATAAGATATATATATATAGGCAGTGGTGTCTTGGCAAAAAAACTAGAGGGTACACGCGTATTTAAGAATTTATGACAATGACTATTGTGTATTTATTAGGATCAAAACTTATCAGATTTTACCACTCAAAACGAAGCTCGCGAGTGTTTTCACAAGTATAAACTTTTATATAAAAAAAAAATGTTTATTCATTTTATACCATATTATTTCTTGATTTGTCTAAGTATTTAAAGCTTCCATGAAAAGTTCAATATTTCCCCGATTTTAAAGGCAAAAAATATAAATATAATTGTAAAATAAAAGCATAATCATGTAATAGTAAAATAGGTAACTACAAAAAATATAAACAATTAACTTTTAACAATTAACAGAACCAATACATAATAAAAAATATCATTTTTTTTAAACATGTTATATTAGTGAGTGGAAAAGGTTTAACAAAATTGAATAGTATTTTAATAAAAATAATAAAAATAACTTTCTTTTTTTAAATGGGTAACAAATTAACAAACAAAATATGATTCTTATATTGTACTTAACATTATATCAAAACTTGAAAACTNTAGACTCTTTTTGACAACTTTGCTCTCACTTTTGCCTATGTTATTTCTTGCTATTTTGGTCCTAGTGTCTTCTGCACACCTATGATTGAAGAACCATCCATACAAATGTTATTCATAACACTGAATCCTCTTTCACATTCTGCAGTTAAACATGGAAATGTTTTAAGAAAGATGTAGAACGCAGACATCACGTTTTAGGATCAATAGTTTGATTGTAAATAATTTGTCTCACCTTTTACATAAGTATTTAATATCATCTTCTCGATATATAATATCTGGGTCCTCGGGCCAAGTTGATTTTTCCAACACTAAAATATTTTTCAAATTAATTTTATTTTCACCATCATTGTCAAGAAGTCTTGATTTTAAGTTATTTTCAATGCTTGTTAAAAACTGATTTTTATTTATGCTTATCATTATTTTTTTTTGAAGTTAAATCAATATTTTTGAACTTCATATTTTTTATTGCAACTACAGCATGGTGCATATCCATTAATCACCATAATTATTTTTAAAAGAAGTTAAAACCCAAATACATCTCTTTATAGATTGTTCAGCTTGCATTAATGTAATAGTGCGACTTTGAAGTTCAATTGATAAGTTGGATAATTCCTGAAGGACATCACACATAATAGCTAAATCATTAACGAATTCAGGGCTAGCTAATTTTTTAAGGAGTCCTAGGTATTTATTCTTAGTTTTAGAATCTCTATTGGAATCATTGGATGCAGTATACAAATGCTTATAAAGTGCAGGAAATATTTTTCATACAACATTTACTGCTCTCAAACTACTAGCAACCCAACGAACACTAAGAACCTGACCAATTTTTAAAAACAAAAAATCTAAATCATGACAAATTTCTCTTAATTTCGTTTGATTTTTAGGGGATGCATTGTATAGAACATAAAGTGAGTCTATAAAACATTTGATGTGATTTGTAGTGCTTACATCTTTGAGTGAATCATTAACTGCTAATTCAAGACGATGATTCATACAGTGCCAACTTAAGATAAGTGGGTACTTATCCTTGAGTTTTTTAGCAACACCATATTTTTTACCCAACAAAATGCTTACTCCGTCGCTTATAAAGGACACCCATGTTGTTGTAAATAGTTTTCATCAATCCCTGATGTATGTAAGCAGTTAATTAATTGACTTACAATATTTTCTGTGGTTTAGTTTTTCAATTCAACCAAGTCTAAAAAAATAAAGAGAGGTTCATTAATCGACATTGATACTTTTAAATAAATAACTATGAATCACTACATAAATCACTGAGTGTAGTTGATTCGTCAATTAGTATGGAACATTTTGCATTTGTCAATAATATTTTTAATAATTTTGTGTTTCATTTCTTTAGAAATATGTTGAAGAATATTGATAGATGAGTGTCTAGAATGGAGGGTAAACCCTAATTTTATACCATTTAGTTTCTGTAATTGCACTAGTTTTAAATGATCATCAAATGGACGATTATATTTTGCTATATAATAAGCAGTACGGAAAATAGAATGTGTAGTTTTGTTTATCTGGTAATCCTTTTCTTCCATAAGCTTGGACAACATATTCTTATCTTTATTGTCTAATATTTGAACAAAAGATTTGGATTCAAAATGTTTTTTAAGTTTATTTCTTAAAATAGTGAGGCAAGTTTTCTTGTTAGTATTTGTACCTCCATCAATTTCACATGTTGCCCATTTTTGAGATATTTCAATCTTCTGAGGGGTTTTTAATTTACTCACTTTTCTGCATATATCACATCTAATTTTTCCATCAGCACAGTAAAGTCCTTTAAATTTTTTTTTTTTCTGCCCATTGCATTGATGTCCACTCAGACGGCGCCACAGTGAATCCTGACAGTCAGCTTCAGAAGCCTCAACATTGTCTAATTGAATAGATGAAGAAGATGGCTCGGAAAACAGATTTTCATTTACCTACAACAAATAAAACCATTTAAGTATATAATTAGATTAGGTACCATTCAGAATTTCCAGTATCTTGAATAAGAGATATTTGGTACCAATACAATTTTTAATTAAAAATTAATTAATATATTTATTAAAAATAAATTAATTCAAATTACTTGACGATGGTTGTAACTTTTAATAAATTACCATAATTAATAATCACGAAAAACAAAATATTAAAATTGTGGTTTCTAATTTTTATATGTAGTATAATATACAAATTAGATTAGTACAGTAGGTACTACTTTGACTCAAATAAATAATAATTGAAACGTGAATTGTTTTCTATTAACTTATTAACTTAAATTCTACCGAACGGTTTTAACCCTTTACTGCATGCATTTTTAAAATTAAAACNAATAATTATTTTTAAATTACTTTTTGCTCATTAAGTATGAGAAAAATAACTAAAAATGTAATTTTAATTTTATTAAGTCTCAAATATGCAATTATATGTACCTATATGAACTACCTAAGCATTGTATAGTACTAGGAGTTTTTAAATTCTGTTATAGAGCAATAGGTACCTATATTGTAAAAAACAAAATTTAAAGTGCATTTTTCAAAAAAAATGCATAACAATCGAAAAAGAATATAATTTTTATATAAATGTGAAAAACATTTATATGAAGTAAACAAATATAACAATATAGTAACAATTTAGTTACAATATGGTAACAATTTTAAATAAATAATTTTATGAATATGTCATTATGTTGTTATATTATAAACAAAATAATAACAAATAATAGAAAAAGAAAACAATATACCTTATACTCTTATTTATGAGATAGATGACAATAATTGAGATTCTACTTTTTTAGACGCCACCTAAATAGCGCACAAGTAAACGAATTATTAAAATAAAGACAATTTAAAATGTATTAACTTATTAGTTTTTATAGTTACTTATCTCAACATTTTCTAAACCGGTTTTTTTATTTGTATTTGTAGAAAAATAAGAAAATAAAGTGTTTTTTTTTTTTTTGTGTGTGTGTGTGAAGAATCTATATTGTCAACACTTAACACTTCACTTCACAAGCCACATAAAAAAAAAAAAAATTATAAGAAACAAAATGTAAAATACATAATAAAGAAAGACGAGCAATACCGCAGGAAGTCAGCACTCGGAATAACAATCGCAACACTATCTAGAATATTCTTGTATAGAAACGTTCAAAGGCCGCTTGTAGATATTATAATTTGATACCTAATGAATATAGCTAAACGATAATCGATAGTTATAAATAATAACCAATTATCAATGTTATTATTAAATAATATTAACCTTCCAATAACAAATTTTCTAAAAATAAACGTATGCCCTATGGATTTACTCTTCATGTTTATAATTCTCTTCATTGTTGATAATGTTTTTTTTTTTCTATTTATGAAGTAAGTATACGAGCGTATTGGTGTTACTTTTATAAAGTATACGCTAAATCACCAAGATGTTTCACGGGTATACGTCGTATACCTGTGTATACCCTCCAAAACGCCACTGTATATAGGTATCTACCAGTATTGGCTTGGTCATCGAAACGCCCAACCAAAATTTTTCTTTAGGAGCCCAACCTACTTGACCACTCGTGCATTATTGTTTTCATTTTTCATGTTTGTACTAAGTAGATAAATTAAATCATCAGATATAGTTAATACAATTTTTATTTTTTAAGAGTTAATACAAATTGTAATTTATTACAAATGTCACCTTTGTATTTATTACCTTTGGTATAAAAGTAAATATTAAAAAGACGTCTTAGGACAATGGTGACGGGCGCAGTCACTGTTATAATTAATTTAACGTATAAGTATTTGTAACTCTGTAAGCAACGATAAACCAATTCGAACGAAAAAACGATTCTGATCGCAGTTCAGTTGATAGTGATGCTTGCTTTGTCAATAACATATGTGTCATAAAATAATTAAATAGGCTTTTTATAATTTCTTTGTAATATTTGATTAATGTTGTACCGATTTTCCCGGTTTTCTCATGTTTTTTCTCGGTTTTTCACATTTGCTGGGAAAACTAGGGAAAATCGAAAAAGTGACCTCCCCGCATAGATTTTCTTTCAGATAAGGCGCTACACTTAAAAATCGGAGCAAAATTGCTGGTAAAAAAGTTGTTCACAGGAAAAACGAAGGCCGTAATATATTTTAACTAATACCTACGCATTACTTAAATTTTTGCGATTTTCCTACGTTTTTTTCGGCGTTTAAAACTTTACGAGAAAATCGAAAAATGACCTCCCTGAAATATCACCCCAGTCGAATTCACCTCTTGGAAAAATCACGCTTTACAGATTGTAACGTCCAATAACGACCCTTTCTTGTTTTATCATTACGTCGCAATTAATGTGCCCGCGCTCATAATAGTACGCCGGTTTTAATCGATTATGGTGGTGGGCGACGGATACGTTATTTCTCCAAAGACCTTGCAACAACCATACCGGCGCGTTCGTCCGCTCGCAACCGGTGTCCGCCGTCCAAAAATATTGTAAACATAACCGCGGGTGTCGGCCAATCATTTCAATCTTTTCTCGTCGACTCACTGTCGCTGACGACGCTCGTCGTCCGGCGAGTCTCGGGTTTTCATTCCGTACTTTTCGCCCAGCAAGTGAGGCTGTGCCGCCTTGGCGACTTTTCTCGTTCCACTGCGATGTCGTTCAACAATACCACGCACGAGCGAACACCACTGCGGTCCGCAATGGCGGATGTCCTCGGGACTACCGACACTTGGTAACGTACATTTAATTTCATAGTTGGCCGACACCCCGTCCACTTCATTTAGCTGTCGAGTTTTTATTTTGCATTTATACTTATATTAAATATTCTAACTCGGGTGCCCTACCCACGTGACGTTTATTTGCAATACCGTGTGTATGTCTCAAATGGAAAATGTTCACTTTATACGCGGGGCTCTCGGCTCATAGTCGTCTTATTTACATGTAAATATTGTTTTAATTCCGTTAGTATTAATATTATTTTATAATTACGGGGATCAACCATTGTTTCTGCGTGACGCTTTCGTCTCTGTGCAGTAATCGTCCGATTTCACACCCTGTGTGCAATAGGCAAACCACCCCCCCAAATCCGTATTTTTTGTTTTATTTTCATTTTTCCTATTAGGATTTCATATCCACGACCGCGCGTGTGTATACGAAATAATCATACAATCGTGGATCGATGATCCCATTCGCTATCCGACTTGTGGACGCGACCCCGCAGGTCGACCCGTTGGGCTACTTTAATCACGGACAAACAAACATGGAACCATAGCCTTTTGGCTGTCCGTCCCGGTTTTAATTTGTGTGCGTGGCGAACACACGTCCCTGTTCGGTGCCTCTATAGAAAAAAAAAATACATTTATTATTCACGATGTTCCACGTGACGACGTCCGGACTCGATATACCGATCTCCACACATGCGGACGTGCGAACCCATCCTAATTAATATTTAAGTAAATCACTGTCATGCTTGCACACGTCCCATTATGCCTCGATATGAGTGCTAATTATATTGTGAAAGGTTGATCCCGTATAAGGTTAGTGTTCAAGTTAGTAACTTGGTTATACTAATATCCCTGTTAAGATGATGAAAATATCGTCATATTTACTATTTATTTGAATTGTGATTGCACATGTATAATTTTTCATTCGTTTTATTTATTTGAGCGATAGTTTTTATGCCTCTGGCTTTTCTGTCGCACAACTTAACTTAATCATTTAATAACTATTATTAAAATCATGATTAATTTCCCCCAAAACTCCGTGTTTCCTTATTATAGTTATTAAGTACCTTTTCTCCTATCAACTACCGAAACCGGGTGTTCGATGTTTCCGGTAAACAAACGAAAATCCTGGAGCTTCGGTTTTCGGATCTCGGCTCCAGGTTGGTGACCTTGCTCTTGGCAGCCGTCAACTTGGCGCTCGCGCGACTAAAATAACAAGGCGGCCGAACGGTACGTCACAAGGTGTTAATTCAAACAATCTATACAATCTAGCACAATAAGTTTATATGATAAGAGTAGAATATAATATGAAAGGTGTGAATTAAGTAGCCACCCATAAATGGATCTTGGCTATTGATAATAATTATTTTTTTTTATTAATTATATTAATATAAAATTTTTTTTGCCGCCCCCCACAGTTGGAGTCCATACGTCTAGATTGGTTTTAGTAGAGCTTTGTAAATCAATAGTTAGGTCTTTAGGGTGGAGCATTTATTTCTAATTAGCAGAGGTCTGAGCATATGCATGCGATTATTTAAGGCTAGCTTTTTGGTTTGAAGGTGTTTATTCTATGGCAGCCTTTTTTCTAGGATTAATCCTAAGTATCTGACTATGTCAGATGTGGAAATTGGGACATTGTTAAGGACAATGTTTGGACATATTCCTTCTTTGAGTGTGAACGTTGTGTGTACCGATTTATTTTGATAAATCGGTAAGTGTGATATTGGGCTTTTTGGTCTTTTAGAAAGTGTATCAGTGATTTGTATGACTGAAGATTGACTGTTTGTATTTTCAGACTGCCTTTCAAAGATCTGCAGAAAAAGTTATCGACTACAATAATTAGTTCTATTAGTGCTGCACATAGATCTGGGAAGTTAGAACCTTTTACAAAAATAAGCGGTGGTAGTTTGATTGAATTAGCAGAGTTAGAGGTTTCCGAGGGAGGGTTTTGAGTGTTGAGTGCTTATAGGATCAGTTTGCAATACTTTCAAAACGATTTAGTGTTATAATCTGTTATATTTATTTATAGTAGGATCAGGTGACAGGGGATCGGATGAAGCTGACAAATTCTTTTTATTAGGCAAATGTCTCCACTCACTAATTGAAGAATCGTTCATGTTTTCATTGAGTATAATACTATTTGTATCAAGTTGTTTGTTTAGGCGACCTTCCTGTATAGTCTTAATTTTGTTATTATTTTTACTTGGAGATACTTTCAAAAGTAATAACTATTTAAAATAAGAGATATTTATTGAGTAATAACTTAGTTTTGTAGATCGTATTACAAATTTATCAATAATGAACTAATGAACACTAAACATACTACTACAATAGTCAGGCTCACGAAAGACAAATATGAAATAAGTAAATACTAAATAACTCATATGATTATTATTTATTATTGACAAATCTTAAATACACTGTATAAACAGAATTCGCCATAATGTTATTTTACCAAGTTATCGATTCCCATAGCGGCTAATCTAAAAATAGACTGTTGTCTATTTTAATGTATACAAAAATCCGTAGATAATATTGTTATCTTGTTTTCTACGGGCATTCCGCAACCCGCATTTAGATTTCCGAGCAATATACCATGATTTGTTCCTTTATTCATCAGAGATGGCATCGGAGGCATGTAATCTAAATCTATAACACGAATTAAGATTTACAGGATACCGAACGAACGTGTGGTAAGTGAAACTAGAACCTTCTCACTTTTAAAAAGGCCACTAACACCATCTAGTGTACTCTTTACAAAATATATCAATATTTATTATACAATAGTCCAAGGCTGTAATCATTGATTATAAAATAGACTATTCTATAATCAGTGCCGTAATAAAATAGATATGCAATTTATTACACACGTACTCCTCTAGTCTAAACTTAAACTGGTTTTAGTTAAACTATAGAGTAATATAGAGGCGGCGTTACCTATTCAAACCATAAACCTATAATCATTATAAGGTCTATGATTCAAATTGTATTATCAGGGTGATGCCAAACCATTTTTTTCATAGTAGTCATTGACCTTCAATAAAAGATCCATTGATTATGCTATATACCGTTAGATGGCAGTTTTCAAATATTGTTACTCTATGGCGGCGGTTCCCAACCTTTTTAGTTTCGCGGACCACTAATTTTGTAAAAAAATATTTGAGGCTCACCCATAGCTTACCTATATACGTTTTTATAAAATTATAATATATATTATATACATATATACATGTATATATAGTTATTAGGAATAAAAAATTTTAAAAATTAAAAAAAAACTATAAAATATATTTTAGTTTTCTTTGTTTTATTCAAACTTGACACATCAACAATCTCACTACTAGTAGTTCCACTACTACTAGTTCCTTCATCATTTGACAGCTTCGTCTTACGACAAGATCCAATTCGAAACCAAGTATCCATATTTACGTGTAGCGTAATTAATAATATGTACTATGACACTATGTAGTATTATATGTAGTAACTCACAGCAGACACAACGACGCATAAACACACAACCACTGTCGCAAAATAACTAGTTTACCAATTTACGAAATCGAAAGACCTATTAAATTTATCGCAACCCGCACGCCGTGCACGTTAAATACGATAAAAATGACAGATAACAAGAACCTATTAATAATCAACGAACTATATAAGATAAAACTACATTCAAACATTCGATATCGTATCGTTAATTGTACACTTACTGTACATTATAGTTAAAATTGATTAAATATTATTATGATTGGAAATATAATAAAAAATATATAATAATATTATTTTAAATATATATAATATTTAATATTATACCTATGGCTCGCGGCCCAGTACCATGCTGCTCGAGGCTCACAAGTGGGCCGCGGCCCATGGGTTGGGAACCGCTGCTCTATGGCATAGACATAAAGTAACATAATATTGTATATACATATGCTCTATGGTTTGAATTTTGTGCACTATTTACAAAGTAAATGCTTAATGTTTGTTTATTATTTATTTACAATATCGTTAAAAATGCCTAGCTGTTTTACTTGTGGCAGAAGTAAAACTGCTAAATCAAAATCTAAAAACATCAGTAAAATTATAAAAATAAAATTATCTTATTTATGTAGCTTTTGATTTATACTTAGTAAATAGTAATAAATAACAATATCAAGCGATTAAAAAAATATTATTTTTACAATGTTTGAACGCAAATTTAAACGCTTGAACTGGGTCTGTTGTAGGGAGTGGTTGTGGTTAGGTCATGATTAAGACCATGACAAATAAAATTGTTATTTAAGAAACGTTCGTTGTTCAATATTTAATGGCGGTTAGACAGTTAATGTGTTGTGGTCTTGAACACTAATGCCTGTTATCACCAACATAGATGTTGATTTTTAATTGGAGTTTATAAGATAATCGACCATTCGTGGTCGGTTATCAGTTAAAAACTCAATTCAAGAATCAAATAAACGCCTTTTTTTATGTCGGTGAGAACGGCTCTAAGTTAAACTACAATTTTTTTTTCTCCTCATCACTCCGGGAATACTGGGGTACCACCATTCATAACAATGCCACATAAAATAATATACAGTACAGTATTTTTAATTTTTTAAATGGCTACATTTCAAAATCTCGTCCGTCTAACATTACAGCGGAATTTCGCCTCTAGACTTCGAGATAAAGAATATACTGGAGCGCACGCTTGTATACCCGCACACATAAATAATACTAGCTGTCGGGCGGCGTCGATTCAAACTTTATCCCCAACACCGTATGGTAAGGAACATATTATTACGTATGCCGTACACAGGAAAGATACGAAGAATTCATTGTTTTTCTTGCTGTGAATGCGATTTTAAGGTACCTACTAAATGAACATTTAAATAATAAAATAATAATGTATGTTTAAAATATTTATTTATTAAGATCAATTAAAAAACAACAAAGTACATTACAGAAATATGTACAGAAGAATGATTTTTGAAAATTTCTCACATATTAAATTGCTTTTCTTAATGTTTCATTCTAATGTCAGTACATTTTTGAAAAATTAAGGTGAATAATGAACATTCACGAGTGCACAAAATTCAAAATCGATAGGATGCGGGTTGGCAAAAACAAAAAAAAAAAAAGTATTTTTATTCAATATATTTCTTCTAGTACTTTCGGTAATTAACAATTTTATATTTTTATGAAGATTTTTTTCCCTTATAACAACAGTTTGAAAAAATGATTTCAAGTTGTAGTATAATTAATGAAACTGCCTTAGAAGTTATTATTAATTTACCTCAATTTCGGAAATTGTAAAAGATGAACTTTGAAAAAGAGGAAAACCACTAAATACTGATGGAACAGCATTTGTGTTCAATAATTTTATAGTCGCACCTGGTCAAATTTGGTAGTTTGTGTCAATAAAATGTTCACTGCAGATAAAACTATATATTATAGGAACAAAATTTTTTCTGTGTACTTCTTTCAGCCATTGACATAAAACACTAGGATTTCTAAAGGAAATCTAAAATGAGTAAAAAAATATTTATAACTAGATTAATATTGTATATTAAATATAATTTATGTCATATCAAACCGGTGAAACTGTACAGAACTGACTTTTGTCTGTCTATTGGTGCATCCAAAAGTTGAACACGAAATTACCATTTTCACTTTAAATAGAAAGAAAAATCATACAAAAAATTGTAATTATCTTCAACAAAAAAAGTCCGCCACAAATAAGAATAAATATATACTTTAATAGTTCAGTTTAATTGTTGTAAAACTTTAAAAACCGCTAATTTAAACCTCATAAAAGTCAATAAAACGAAACTATTAATGTAAAAAATAAAAATTTTTGCCGTACAGTGGTGTGGATGATTATTATCACGGCGGTTCGTTTTCTGTTTACGAGTGCGCGCTCCAGTGTATTTTTATCTCGATGCCTCTTTACTAATCTATGTGCCAAACAGTGAGGACCGGGCGGACTTAGAAAAACATTGATAGGACCTTCCCGTTCGGTATTCTGTATATCTTAATTCGTGATCTACACCAATAATAATTAACTATAACTGTTATCGGCTATCATCATATAAAAATAAGATGACAAACACATCTAGTCTAATCTCAGATCATATACTAGTATATGATCTATGAAATATCCACCACATATCTCATCAACCGATTCGGAAACACGGAGAGTAATAAAGCCATCATTGATGCCATTAGACTCTAATGGTCTCTAATGATTAGAGATTTTCGGATTTAAAAAGGAACAACACCGATGGCATCGATACCATCACAGATAAATTAAGGAACACATGGATAGTTAATAGTATAATCAATAAACTTATATTTTTAGTTATCCAATTTAAATCGTTTATAATTTTTGTCTCTTGTACTTATGATACAAGTTGATTACAGTTGGACATAATTTTATAATATAAAATGGTAACTTAGTACTTCTTGGAGTATAGAATATAATGATTACTGTCTACTAACATAAAACAATTACCTGCATACCTGCGCATACCCTCCACTACATCCCTAATACTATTATATGTTATAAAAAAGATAGCAGCATCATTCTTGTATCTGCCGTCTTTTTCTAACACGGTATTTCGGTTATGTTTACATTAGTATTATGGCAGTTAAGCACTAAGCATTTTAGTTACCATAATATAAGCGCTCACAGCACATGTATAACCTCTGATTCGTTTTTTGTTAGCAATGGTTTATCGTTGGTTACGGGTATAAATTAAATAAATTTATGTATCCCATCTTCCTAACCTAACCTAATCTTCCCAACTACCCTCGCACAAAAGTTTTATTTTTGTTTAGGTACATGTTTTCTTGTATTTACTATATTTTGTTGACTAAAATTTTTTGAGGATCGCTCATTAAATTTCCTAAATTTAAAATTTGTTATACGTCAGTGGTCAGTCATTCGATATTGTCTATTTGTTTTTTTCACGGTTCCTCTTATATTGAAAATTCATTGTTCTAATAATAGCATACCTACTTTTCTACACGTGCACCCATGATATATTATTTAATAGGCGAGGGGGGGGATGTAAAAAAACTACCAAAATAAAATTCAATCAAAAATCTTCGTATACAATACGTTATAATATGTATAGATAAACAACGGCTGGTTCACCGTGATAAAACAATATCATTCCGCATGACGATTATGCGTGTACCTGTATTATATAATACGACGCGCGAGTGTACGGGATAGAATAACAGGGGGGGGGGAGGTGCTCGAACAATACGCAAAAGACAAAAGGTTTTTGTGTCGTTGGCTTTTACACACGCGGGCACAGCGGTATACGTAAAGGCATAGGCTCGTGCAACACGACCTTTAGTCGGTTTCGAGTTATCAACCGCGCGGTAGTGGGGTCCGCCAGCGCGTGATAAAAGGGTCGGGACGGGAACTCGTACGGATGTATACATATAGGTAAAATAAGTACGACGATCTGCTCGTTCTTTCTGTCTCTCTCTCTCTCTCTCTCTCTCTCTCCCACTCGCTCTCTCGGTACGGCTTTTGTGCGCGCCGGTTTAATTACAAACGGTTTGGGGCGGTCGCAGGCGCGGGGCGACGACGAGGACTTACGATCGGCAAAAGCTAAGCCGCTTTATTCGAGCTGCAGCAGCCGCGGCATTATAATATCTGTCCTTATCGGTCTCTCGCAGTGCCCTCCCTCCGCCCCCCGATGCAGTCTAATCCGTCTTAAGCCCGCCGCGCAGTATAAATACAGTACTATACAGTCAGACCGGCTTCGCCTCAAATATTATATAGGTGCGTGCGTGCGTGTGTGTGTTTGTGAGGTGCGCGTGTGCGTGCGGACCGCTTGGTGTATACATTAAAATGTACCTGAATATGTATAAGTAAACGAATGCTTCTGTTCGACTTCAAAAAAAAAAATCATGAAAATGCGATGTTGGATCTGAAGTCGATAAGATTTCTAAAAAACGACTACAGATTTCGCGGCATGAGGTTATGGGTATATTATTATTATAATAATATAATACATGCAATTTTTACGTAAGCGATGGTCAGCGACGTTTAAATTGTCAATGGTTTGTATACTCGCTCGCGCAATTATATTAAATAGTAATAAATTATTATATTTTATTATTTTTTATTGCAATCTGTAATCGTCAACTATTTAAAATGGATTATTATTAGACATAGATATGTTAAGAAATACAAATTATTTGGTTATTATTTATTATCTAAAATGTATTGATATAAGATATTATTTTTAAATTTTATAATCGGTTTGTACATTTAAAATATTATTGCAATTATTTTTCTTTATTTCATTGTATACATTATGTAATTCTTCTAAAACTGAATTAATGTAAATGTTATTTTGTTTATTTAATATTTCTAAGTCTGTATTAATATCAAAACTTGAATTATGGTTATTTTCTAAAACATG